AAAACCTGGACCTGCTCCTTTACCAGGAAAATTCCCCTACGACCCCCAGAAAGAGAAATGGCAGGTTGCAGCCAATCACCCTCTCTGCAGAGCGGATGATGCGCTGCAGCCTGCATTTGTCCTTTGCTGTGGTTGAGGCGTACCAGACTGTGAGGAGAAGGGGATGGACTCTATGATGGCAGTGTAGAATTGAGCCATCATAGTCTTTGACAGGTTGAACTTCTTCAGCTGCAGCAGGAAGTACATCCTCTAATGTCCTTTCTGGATGAGGGAGATGACACACACAACACACACACACACACACACACACACACACACACACACACACACACACACACACACACAGAGGAACACACACACCCTCATACACACACACACACTCACACACACACACACACACACACACACACACACACACACACACACACACAAACACACACACTCATACACACACAGACAGACGTACATACACACACACACACACCTGAACAGACGCACACACATACGCACACAAACATATACACACACACACACGCACACAGACATATACACACACACACTCATGCACACACAGGCAGACACACACACGCACACATACACACACACAGGCACACACAGAAGCACATACACACACACACACACAACGCACACACACCCACACACTCATACACACACAGACAGACGCACACACACACACCTAAACAGACGCACACAGGCGCACACACACACACTCATGCACACACAGGCAGACGCACACACGCACACACACACACACACACAGACACACAGACACACACAGACACACACACACACACACACACACACATATACACACACACACACACACACACACACACAGACACACACAGGCGCACACACACACACTCATGCACACACAGGCAGACGCACACACGCACACACACACACACACACACAGACACACAGACACACACAGACACACATACACACACACACACACATATACACACACACACACACACACACACACACACACACACACAGACGAACACACACACCCTCATACACACATAGATAGTATTTTCAGACCACTGTTAAATGAACTTAAAGTTTCTGCAGACTTCAGGTCAGCAGGCAGTTTGTTCCACAGAGCCTCACCATAGTAATTAAATGCACCTTCACCACATTCAGTTCTGACTTCAGGTAAACTCTGTAGAGCCCGTACACCTGCAGATTGGGCTGTAGTCTTCACTGCACTGAAGAGATGATGACATGGATATGAGCTCTTTCTCTGTGGGCCTACAATCAGGATTTCACTGTTATCTTTAAGTTTTAGGAAATTATTTATGTAAAATTTTATATTAAATTATAGATGAATAAATAATGATTTATTTTCTTCTGCAGCTGTTAGAACATAAGTGAGGAAATGATGCCATCTTCTGGTAAAAAACCAAACTGCTGCTATAAAAAGGAATAAAAACTGGGACGCTGATGCGTGTGACTAGATTCAGCCTCACAGACCAACAAAGGTGTGCAGCTGCAATCAGCCTCAACCTCGCAGACCATGACCTCACAGTCTAATGAAGGTGGTTCATGTTCATAGAGCCTCCTCTGCTCCACTCATCACAGAAAAACATTGGTCAGACTTTTACTGTAAACTGATACCAGAGGTGTGTCTGATGCATGCTGGGTAACTCACCTCCTTAATCCGAGTTCAGCACAAGGAGCTCTGTGATTCAAACTTCTGTAAATCAGTGTACTTCTAGGGATGATGATGGCAGTGATGATAGTGATGAAGTACAGTGGTCTGTATCGGTGGCTCAGGTCTGGTGTCTCTCAGAGATTCTCTTTTGGGGTCAGGTCAGAAGTTTGGGATGTCATGATGTCACCTACTGGTCCACTGTGTTTGATCCAGTTCAGAGTCAACGCAGACATCTACTAGGAGACTTTAGAGCTTCATTCTTCTGTCAGCTGACGAGCTTTACACAGCCGCTGATTTCCTTTTCCAACAGGATGTGGAACCACAGCACCAAAACTACCAGGAACTTGTTTGCTGATGGTGGTATAACTCGATTGGCTAACTCGCCTGACCTTAACGTCAAAGAGAATCTAGGACAGACACCTGACCCTAAGATGCTGTAACCATCAAGATTCAAACAGAAAAGATTTCACTCTATGTGTAATAAATGTAGAACATATGAACGATTCACTCTTTCAATTCAGATACAGAACAAAATGAACTTCTGACCTTTACATGTATAAGAAAAGGAATGTCATACATGGAGCCCTGCAGGAAATAGAAACAGAAAAGTACAAAGATAAAATAAGTTAGACTGCTGTACACACCTGATTACAGTAATATAAGGACACACATTTCAAACACTATGAGCTGTTTAGACAAACGTGATTCACTGTGAATGTTTTAAATTGTATTGTCTTTCCTGACTTTGTATCACATGACCTGTCAGCTGACCTCAGGAGTTCTTTATATATGGAGGCGTGTGTCCTCACTCGGTGAGGGCCCCAAACCTCACATGTGCTGATACATTAAATGTGAATTAGACCACCTTCTGTTTGTTTTTCTCTAAAGGTCAAAGGTCAGCTGCCCCTGAGGGGTCACTTACTGTGTATGCTCCATATGTCTGTATTTCCCTGAGGAAACATTCAAGACGAACGACCGAACATTAAAAACCATCAAAAACATAAACACACACATATACACATACAGACACAATCTATGTGTCTGTATGTGTGTGTGTGTGTGTGTGTGTATGTGTTTGTATGTGTGTGCGTGTGTGTGTGTGTGTGTGTGTGTATGTGTGTGTGTGTTTGTATGTGTGTGTGTATGTGTGTGTGTATGTGTGTGTGTAATGGCTCTCCAGTTTATATTTAATCAATAACAGCAGCTGCAGGTGTCCTCCTGCGTCTCTTCTCTTCTTGTTTTTGTCTCAGCTGGACGCTCTGCTTTCATCCGTCACTGTTTGAAGACACTCTGTGAATTATGTTTTTATTAAAGCTGTTTAAATGTGAGGTGGGGGGGGGGCTTTAAGTAGGTCAGAATAAAAAAATATTTTTGTTATGAAAAATATTTTATGTAACAAAGCTTCTTTAAATCCGTCAGTTTAAACTTTAAAAATGTTCATTCATCCTGTGTTTACGAGCAGGATTCACTTTACACCTGAGCTGTTACCTGAGCTGTTACCCTGTAGAACACTTGAGCTGTTACCCTGTAGAACACCTGAGCTGTTACCTGAGCTGTTACTCTGTAGAACACCTGAGCTGTTACCCTGTAGAACACCTGAGCTGTTACCCTGTAGAACACCTGAGCTGTTACCTGAGCTGTTACCTGAGCTGTTACTCTGTAGAACACCTGAGCTGTTACCCTGTAGAATACCTGAGCTGTTACCCTGTAGAACACCTGAGCTTTTACCTGAGCTGTTACTCTGTAGAACACCTGAGCGGTTACCCTGTAAAACACCTGAGCTGTTACCTGAGCTGTTAACCTGTAGAACACCTGAGCTGTTACCTGAGCTGTTACCCTGTAGAACACCTGAGCTGTTACCTGAGCTGTTACCCTGTTGAACACCTGAGCTGTTACTCTGTAGAACACCTGAACTGTTACCCTGTAGAACACCTGAGATGTTACCCTGTAGAACACCTGAGCTGTTACCTGAGCTGTTACTCTGTAGAACACCTGAGCTGTTACCCTGTAGAACACCTGAACTGTTACCCTGTAGAACATCAGAACTGTTACCCTGTAGAACACCTGAGCTGTTACCTGAGCTTCTACCCTGTAGAACACCTGAGCTTTTACCCTGTAGAACACCTGAGCTGTTACCTGAACTGTTACCTGAACTGTTACCTGAGCTGTTACCCTGTAGAACACCTGAACTGTTACCTGAGCTGTTACCCTGTAAAACACCTGAGCTGTTACCTGAACTGTTACCTGAACTGTTACCTGAGCTGTTACCCTGTAGAACACCTGAACTGTTACCTGAGCTGTTACCCTGTAAAACACCTGAGCTGTTACCTGAGCCCTGTAGAACACCTGAGCTGTTACCCTGTAGAACACCTGAGCTGTTACCTGAACTGTTACCTGAGCTGTTACCTGAGCTGTTACCCTGTAGAACACCTGAGCTGTTACCTGAGCTGTTATATGAGCTGTTACCTAAACTGTTACCTGAGCTGTTACCCTGTAGAACACCTGAGCTGTTACCCTGTAGAACACCTGAGCTGTTACCCGAGCTGTTACCTGAGCTGTTACCCTGTAGAACACATGAGCTGTTACCCTGTAGAACACCTGAGCTGTTAACTGAGCTGTTACCTGAGCTGTTACCTGAACTGTTACCTGAGCTGTTACCCTGTAGAACACCTGAGCTGTTAACTGAGCTGTTACCTGAGCTGTTACCCTGTAGAACACCTGAGCTGTTACCTGAGCTGTTACCTGAGCTGTTACCCTGTAGAACACCTGAGCTGTTACCTGAACTGTTACCTGAGCTGTTACCTGAACTGTTACTCTGTAGAACACCTGAACTGTTACCTGAGCTGTTACCTGAGCTGTTACCCTGTAGAACACCTGATGTTAGCTCCTTTCTGTTAGCTCCTCCCTGTTAGCTCCTCCCTGTTAGCTCCTTTCTGTTAGCTCCTCCCTGTTAGCTCCTTTCTGTTAGCTCCTTCCTGTTAGCTCTTGTCTGTTAGCTCTTGTCTGTTAGCTCCTGTCTGTTAGCTCTTGTCTGTTAGCTCTTGTCTGTTAGCTCCTATCTGTTAGCTCTTGTCTGTTAGCTCCTTCCTGTTAGCTCCTGTCTGTTAGCTCCTATCTGTTAGCTCTTGTCTGTTAGCTCTTGTCTGTTAGCTCCTGTCTGTTAGCTCCTGTCTGTTAGCGCCTATCTGTTAGCTCCTTCCTGTTAGCTCCTGTCTGTTAGCTCCTGTCTGTTAGCTCCTTCCTGTTAGCTCCTTCCTGTTAGCTCCTTGTAGACATCTTGGAATAAAAAACCTCACAGAGACACATTGCTCTCTTACAGCATGCTTTATTACAGATTCAGATTTCACCACATTTTTAAAGTTTCTTTTTAAGGACTGTTTGTTCTTTAATGTTGATTTAATTCCCAATAATCAGACATGACATTAGCTAGAAGAAAAAAATAAAAGCTTCTGACTCCATTAAAAGCTGCAAGAGTCCAGAATGATTCACAAACATTTTTCAAGTTAAACACAAATCAAACAAAACAGGCATGAAGAATCAATACAATAAATTCAGTCGGTGACAGACGTGAAGAGGAATGTGTTTGATTAACATTTCCACAGAAACATGCTGCAAGGACAACTGACCGACTCATGCTCCTCCTCAGACTGAACATACACACACATGAACACACACACATACACACACATTAACACACACAAATGAACACACAGTGTTTGTGAAGATCCTTAGAGACATTTCAGCAAGTATGAGTTACAGTTCGCTCCTCGGCCGCAGTCACACAACTTCCCGATACGAGGCCCGAACTTCATCGCACAACGATCGCCCATCCCACACTGAAAGAGAGAGACACACACACATCCAAACACACACACACACACGGACACATACAAACACACACACGTGCACACACACACACACACACACACACACACACACACACACACACACAGACAGACAGACAGACACACACACACACACACACACACACAGGACTTAGAGAGAATCTGAACATTTCTCATTATAATCACATTAAAAGCCTCTAAATGAGGCATGGTGGTTACTTATTGACTTTCTGTTACATTAACTCAAACATGAGAATAATAACTGATTATATTAATTAAAAATGTTCATTGGCTCCTTCATGATGGATTCGTCTCATTAGACCTCAGTAATAATCCTGATCACTCTTTAATTAAAACCCCTGAGTCTGTGTTTTCTTATCTTTTAATGAGCTGCAGCATTAGCAGATTTCATTAAACAACAGGAATACATCTCTGTTTTATCACAGGACTCACAAGCTGCTGCTACTGCGGTCCACTCCATGAACAGCAAACAGTAATATGTAATCAAATGCTGCTGCTGCTGTGGTGGTGGTGGTGGTGGTGTGGGGGGGGGCTGAGAAGGACATCACACCCAAGCTCATGTCGGAAAAGGACGCCACCAGGAGTACCTTTGTTTTGTTAGCTAACACCTGACGATAACGACTGCCTGATAGATAGTGAAGGAAATGATCATAACATGTCCGCAGATAGAACAAGATACCATCGCAGTGCTTGATTTGATTACACTCAAAGAGGATGTTGAGTTGAGATGTACAGCTTTAACTTTACTGTTGATGCACGTAGCAACCATGTTGGATTTGAGCTCAGGCTATTGAAGATTCTCTGAGTTTCCAAATCAATCAATCAATCATTATTTGTATATTACCAATTCATAACAAGTGTTAACTCGAGAAGCTTTCCAAAAGAGCATATGGGATTATATGCCACCTCCACCACCTGCTGTAGGTCCACCCTGTCCTCTAACACCCCCACCACCCGCTGTAGGTCCCTCCTGTCCTCTAACACCCCCACCACCCGCTGTAGGTCCCTCCTGTCCTCTGCCACCCCCACCACCTGCTGTATGTCCCTGTAGAGGGGTTGTGCAGACGGAGCACTGAGGGACTGCTACTTTCAAAATCATGCTAGTTTTCGAAAATTACCAACCCTGCCTTTAGGAAAAAATAAAAGCCTAACAATTTTTATTTTCTATGAGAAATAATGGAATTTCAATCATGCAATTGATCACAATATATATAAATACTCTTCTGGGTTATTATGAATAAATTTAAGGTTCATCAGAGTACATGAAAGTAGATTATTTTACCAGTGGGATGCTTCCTCTCTTCTCGGTGGAGGAAACTCGAGAGTGAATCCTGGACAGCAGAGCCTCCACAGCATCAACCTGATCAATACACAGACCAATTCAAGTCCACCTTAAATCACTAACAGCAGATCTAAATCAGTCCACATTAAATCACTAACAGCGGACCTAAATCAGTCCACCTTCAATCACTAACAGTGGATCTAAATCAGTCCACCTTAAATCACTAACAGTGGATATAAATCAGTCCACCTGAAATCACTAACAGTGGATCTAAATCAGTCCACCTGAAATCACTAACAGGGGCTCTAAATCAGTCCACCTTAAATCACTCACAGGGGCTCTAAATCAGTCCACCTTAAATCACTCACAGTGGCTCTAAATCAGTTCACCTGAAATTACTCATGGCGGATCTAAATCAGTCCACCTTAAATCACTAACAGTGGATCTAAATCAGTCCACCTTCAATCACTAACAGTGGATCTAAATCAGTCCACCTTCAATCACTAACAGTGGATCTAAATCAGTCCACCTGAAATCACTAACAGTGGATCTAAATCAGTCCACCTTAAATCACTAACAGGGGCTCTAAATCAGTCCACCTTAAATCACTCACAGTGGATCTAAATCAGTCCACCTGAAATCACTAACAGGGGCTCTAAATCAGTCCACCTTAAATCACTCACAGGGACTCAAAATCAGTCCACCTTAAATCACTAACAGTGGCTCTAAATCAGTCCACCTGAAATTACTCATGGCGGCTCTAAATCAGTCCACCTTAAATCACTAACAGTGGATCTAAATCAGTCCACCTGAAATCACTAACAGGGGCTTTAAATCAGTCCACCTTAAATCACTCACAGTGGCTCTAAATCAGTCCACCTGAAATTACTCACGGCAGAACTAAATCAGTCCACCTTAAATCACTAACAGTGGATCTAAATCAGTCCACCTTAAATCACTAACAGTGGATCTAAATCAGTCCACCTTAAATCACTAAGAGGGGCTCTAAATCAGTCCACCTTAAATCACTAACCATCACAATGGTTAATCACTAATCCATAGGTACTCACCAGGTCTCTGTCTGGAGCAGCATCAGGGTCCTCTGAGGATACTTCAGGAGACGCCTCACATCCACAGAGGACAGAGAGGAGGAGGAGCAAGAGCAGGGAGTGGAGTATCCCGGAGATCTCCATGAGGCTGAGGAGGAAGAGGAGAGGAGGAAGAGGAAGAGGAGGAAGAAGAAGAGGGTAGAGGAGGAAGAGGAGGAAGAGGAGGAAGAGGAGGAAGAAGAGGAGGAGGAGGAGAAGGAGGAAGTGGAGGAGGAAGAGGAGAGGAGGAAGAGGAGAGGAGGAGAGGAGGAAGAGGAGGGGAGGAGAGGAGGAGAGGAGGAGGAGGAAGAGGAGGAGGAGGAGGAAGAGGAGGAGAAAGAGGAGGAAGAGAGGAGGAGGAGGAGGAAGAGGAAGAGGAAGAAGAGGACGAAGAGGAGGAGGAAGAGGAGATGGAGGAAGAGGAGAAGGAGGAAGTGGAGGAGGAGGAAGAGGAAGAGGAGGAGGAGGAAGAGGAGGAAGAGTGATATGAGATGATGTCTTTAATCCAAATTAAAATAAAAAAATTATCGTCTGAAAAATCAGATTTCACAACTTTCATATTAGATAAAATGTAAAATAATCAGATAATAACATCGTTTAAAACTGTACCTGAGATGAATGAGACCTGGAGGCTTTTATCTGTCACAGCAGGAGTCTGAAGAAGAGGAGAAGAAAGAGAGCAGGAGGTGTACAATAAGAGCTGGAGTTCCCAGCAGGAGGACACGGTCAGGTCTGGAGGATTAGGAGGTCTTGGTGGGTCCAGAGAGAGTCTCTCTCAGACACAAAGCCCTGGCTTATAAAGACTCATGAAGCCCGGCCCACATCACAGAGGGGGCGGAGTCAGATAAACACCAGCAGTCAGTCAGTGTTCTGAAATATTGATTTCTTAAGAATAAACAGATGAACGAGCTGTGATCGTATCTCCTCGACACCACAGAGGGAATAGAAAACTCTGAAGACACAGACAGTGAAGTCCTGCAGTACCTCTGCACACCACACGATGAAGCTGTAAACACAAGCTGCAGGAAACCTCCTGAACTTTATCAGTCTGAGCGTCATGTGATCACACAAACAGCTGAATGTTTCTCGCTTCAGCCTCCTATTTATTCTGCAGAACGTCAGAGTGATCTGATGCGAGAATGCAGCAGGATATAATCAGGAGAATTCACCTGGAGCCAGTGGGAGGGGGTGGTGTCCTTTATTCCCTGTGATCGCTGCACCACCATAGACTGTCTGCACGCCACCTCTACCATCTCTGTGCTCTAATGAACCTGCTGCTGCATGTTTCCTGTTCTCCAGTATGTTCTTCTCCACTCTTTAGTTCACATTGAGATTCTCTTCAACTACACGTTGCATTGATACAAAGACACATATTCTTATTATAGAGTCATATAGAGGCTTAGTACGACACGTCTTACCCCAGGAGACCCCCCCCCCTCCTTCTGTGAGGTGGAGGTGTGCACAGCCATCAGGAGGATTTCAGAGACAGACTTTAATGATCTGTCAGTAACTTTGATTTGATTTAAATGTTTTAAATAATAAAATATGTTATTTGAATGATGATTAAAAAGTGTCAGATTTGTTACTTTGATCATTAAATTCACAACATTACCCAGTGTTTGGCTCCTACCTCTGTTGCCATAGTAACATATATAGTTTTAAATGGACTAGAATGATATTAAAAACTCTAACTTTGTGTATCAGCCTTCAAAACTTGATTAACCTTAAAGAAGAAGAATTTTCACTCCATTATTAAACATTTCCCTCTCCTTCACCCCGTGATGGCCCCCTGGCCGCAGCTTGGTGCACCGCAGTGTGCGCAGCAGGGGGCGCTGCGGTGCAGAGTTTGCGTGCTTGTGGCTGCGCAGCGTCGTTTCCTGAATATTTGGGGCTGAGACAGAGAACACACCCAGAGACAGAAAAGTTGGAGTGTGCAGAGAGCAGCGCGCCTGGACTCTCACGGATTCTTCCTCGGACTCTTCTCAGATTCTTCCCGGTGAACGTGTGTTTGGTCGCCGTCACTGCTCGCTCGGTGTTCGGTGTCACGATTCAGCAGCGGAGCGAAAAGTTTGAGTCTTCAGGATGTCAGCTTCAGAGGAGACGGACGGGCTCCGGCCCAGATACGGCTGTAAGTCTCTCTCTCTCTTTCTCTCTGCTCACCTGGACGCCCCGTGCGGGCGGGGGCTCATTGAACAGGGGCACGGTGATCCGGATAGACTGATGTGGTCTTTTTGAAAGTGAATCTCAGAGGTGTGATGTTTGTAACGAGGCTGCGCGCGGATTCAGGCTCCCCATCACTTCCGCGTTTTATTAGAGAACATCTCAGAGGAGGGGGGGATTACACAACTTTCTCACCCAACAGTCACACACACACACACACACACACACACACACACACACACACACACACACACACACACACACACACAGGATTGTTGTTACACACACACATACAGACGCACACACACTTGTTACGCACAAGCACACAAACAGACGCACACACACACTTGTTGTTACACACACACGCACACACACAAACGCACACACACTTGTTACGCACACGCACACGCACACACACTTGTTACACACGCACACACACTTGTTGTTACACACACGCACACACGCACACGGTTGTTGTTACACACGCACACACAGACGCACGCACACACAGACGCACACACACTTGTTGTTACACACACACACACACACACACACACACACACACTTGTTGTTACACAAACGCACACACACAGACGCACACACACTTGTTGTTACACACATATACACACACACACACCTACCTGTTGTTACACACACATACACACACATCCACACACACACACTCTGTTGTTACCTGAGGTATAAGGTGTGTACACTGAACAAACTGAACTTTCTGTGTGTCTGTGATTTAAAAAGAGGGTCCTCCATGTTTACAGACACGCCTCTTTCCCGGTAACAGAGCAGGAGCTCTCTGATTGGCTCATTAATGAACTCATGACATCATTTTAATCATGTTCATGTTTTAATGTCTTAATGTGTGAGCTACAGACTGTTTCTGTTATCTTTTCTATGTTTGATTCAGGGTGATCAGGATTTACCTGTTCACCCCCCCTCCCTTTATTAACATTTCTTAATAGGCGGGTCCTCTCTGTGATACCCCCCCTTCCCCCCACACACATCCCTGCTGCATCGTGTTTGTTCAGTATGAATGATCCATTATCAACTAGCCCACATCACACACTGACCTCGTGTGTGTGTGTGTGTGTGTGTGTGTGTGTGTGTGTGTGTGTGTGTGTGTGTGTGAGAGAGAGATTTGAACTTGGGCCGCCCGCTTGGAGGACTTCAGCCTCCATACATGGGGTGCTACATACTAATTTAAAGAATAACAACAACAACTTTATAAACATCTTCTCTAGCAGCACGCTGTGTTAGCGAGCAGCAGCGACTACATCAGCTGATTCTGTTTCCTGTTTGCTGTTTAGTGTCCTAACTGCCCGCAAGTGATAACAGCAACGCTCTTCACTTTGAACACCTTCAAAATAAAAGCACCAGACTTATGTTTGTCCACCTTCAAAATAAAAGCACCAGGATGGAAACTAAAATTCACAGAGCAGAGAATGTTTAACGGATGCAGTGTGGACAGATCGCGAGTCATTGTACGACCGCGCCAGATATCCAGTCCTTGCGTGCTGGTAGGACATGGTGTTTGTTTTTTTGTGTGATATTTGTATGACCTCTTCTGTTGTATTTTTTCAATAGCGGTGCTGGACGGCGTGGAGCGTCTCACTGCGGAGGAGATGGACGAGCAGCGGCAGCAGAACATGGCGTATGAATACCTGTGTCACCTGGAGGAGGCCAAAAGGTGAGAGAATCTCTGAGTGCAAACAGGAAGAAGACAGTATTCTGAAGCCAGATATATACTTCTGTGTCAGCATGTGTGTGACGCTACAAACAGACGCTACAAACTGACGACGCTACAAACAGACAACGCTACAAACAGACAACGCTACAAACAGACAACGCTACAAACAGACGCTACAAACAGACGCTACAAACAGTCGCTCCAAACAGACAACACTACAAACAGACAACGCTACAAACAGACACTACAAACAGACGACGCTACAAACAGACAACGCTACAAACAGACAACGCTACAAACAGATGCTACAAACAGACAACACTACAAACAGACAACGCTACAAACAGACGCTACAAACAGACAACACTACAAACAGACAACGCTACAAACAGACGACGCTACAAACAGACGACGCTACAAACAGACAACACTAGTGTGTGTGTGTGTGTGTGTGTGTGTGTGTGTGTGTGTGTGTGTGTGTGTGTGTGTGTGTGTGTGTGTGTGTGTGTGTGTGTGTGTGTTGTGTGTGTGTGTGTGTGTGTGTGTGTGTGTGTGTGTGTGTGTGTGTGTGTGTGTGAAACAGGAAGCAATGTGTCAGACAGGATGTGAGTCATGTTTTCTTTTTGTTTCTCCCATGGTTGCCATAGAAACAGAGGTTGTTATAGTGCCGTGTTCTCGCATGAGTATTCCTCGGATTCAAAAGTTCAGTGTGTGTGTCTCCTATACCACATACTAACGTACTGCATACGTAATACTCTCCCTCTCCCTCTCTCTTTCTGTCTCTCTCTCTCTCTCTCTCTCTCTCTCCCTCCCTCCCAGAATGCAGTCTGACATGTTCTTGGATATTTTGTTTTATTGATTCACTCACATTCCCTCGTTATCACACACACACACGACATGGTGTGTTGCCGTGTTGCGTTCACTGACCTGCACAACGTTAATGGTTGTGTTTAGGGCGTAGCTGAAAGTTTGTAATTCTTCAGGTGACACAGATTCTTGAGATGAGTGAAAGTGAGCGAGGAGGGTTTGATTAGTTGACGTGTTAGGAGAGAAGAAAGTCTTTAAATGTTCTGTCACCTGTCTGTGTGAGGAACAGGTGAGTGTGAGTCTGTGTGAGGAACAGGTGAGTGTGAGTCTGTGTGAGGAACAGGTGAGTGTCAGCTCGCTAACGTTTATCTAAAGGTGAATTATTTCTTTATTCAAATCGTCATTTGCATACAGAGCGTCAGAGAGTCAAACAGAGTCCGTCTGTCAGGCTGTTTCACATCTGCACTCCGGATTATATGTAGATAATTACGGAGGGGGGTGAGAATACCCCTGTCGGGGGGGGGGGGGGGGGGGGGGAAGATTTCCTGAGGTAAGAGGTGACGTAAATAAGCAACGCGGAAGTAGCGGCCATAGCAACAGAGTCCGCTACACGACGTTATAATGACAATATTTGCCTTTATATGAATGCTATGTGTAATCCAATGGAATGACAACATCCACAAAAGTGAGGAGAACAACATACTGACGAACAGAAAACATAATGCAGACGTTTAATTAAGTGCACGGAGATCGTAGTGGTTGCGTGCAGTCACTATATAAACGTCATTCTCTTTCTATTGGCTGAAATTGAAATCTCTGGAGTATATGCTGCCGCGTTCAGACATCAGCTCACTCGGATTTTCTGCTGAAAAAATACTCGGGGTCTGTCAGGAGAAACTCCGGGTAATGTCCGTGTGAAAAATGTGTCTGTTTGCGTTTACACAAGTCCCTCCAGGTAGACTAATCTCCAGAGTTTTTCAGGAGATTTCTGTATATGTGAAAAGGGTTTCTGAGGCTTATTGTCACTGTAAAAACACAAACTGATCTTTCTTTAATTATCTCTTTAAATACTGTGATTGGTGTGTTTTACAGTGTAACCCCTCAAACTGTTTGATTTTTACAGTTTGGATCACAGTGTGTTTTACAGTGTAACCCCTCACACTGTTTGATATATACAGTTTGGATCACAGTGTGTTTTACAGTGTAACCCCTCACACTGTTTGATATTTACAGTTTGGATCACAGGGTGTTTTACAGTGTCACCCCTCACACTGTTTGATATTTACAGTTTGTATCACAGGGTGTTTTACAGTGGAAACCTCTCACACTGTTTGATATTTACAGTTTGGATCACAGGGTGTTTTACAGTGTAAACCCCTCACACTGTTTGATATTTACAGTTTGTATCACAGGGTGTTTTACAGTGTAAACCCCTAACACTGTTTGATATTTACAGTTTGTATCACAGGGTGTTTTACACACTGTTTAATATTTACAGTTTGGATCACAGTGTGTTTTACAGTGTAACCCCTCACACTGTTTGATATTTACAGTTTGGATCACAGTGTGTTTTACAGTGTAAACCTCTCACACTGTTTGATATTTACTGTTTGGATCACAGGGTGTTTTACAGTGTAACCCCTCACACTGTTTGATATTTACAGTTTGGATCACAGTGTGTTTTACAGTGTAACCCCTCACACTGTTTGATATTTACAGTTTGGATCACAGTGTGTTTTACAGTGTAACCCCTCACACTGTTTGATATTTACAGTTTGTATCACAGGGTGTTTTACACACTGTTTAATATTTACAGTTTGGATCACAGTGTGTTTTACAGTGTAACCCCTCACACTGTTTGATATTTACAGTTTGGATCACAGTGTGTTTTACAGTGTAACCCCTCACACTGTTTGATATTTACAGTTTGTATCACAGGGTGTTTTACAGTGTAAACCTCTCACTGTTTGATATTTACAGTTTGGATCACAGGGTGTTTTACAGTGTAAACCCCTCACACTGTCTGATATTTACAGTTTGGATCACAGTGTGTTTTACAGTGTAACCCCTCACACTGTTTGATATTTACAGTTTGGATCACAGGGTGTTTTACAGTGTAACCCCTCACACTGTTTGGATCACAGTGTGTTTTACAGTGTAAACCTCTCACTGTTTGATATTTACTGTTTGGATCACAGGGTGTTTTACAGTGTAAACCCCTCACACTGTTTGATATTTACAGTTTGTATCACAGGGTGTTTTACAGTGTAAACCCCTAACACTGTTTGATATTTACAGTTTGTATCACAGGGTGTTTTACAGTGTAAACCCCTAACACTGTTTAATATTTACAGCTTGGATCACAGTGTGTTTTACAGTACAGACACAAACACACACAGTTTCATTTTTTTAAGTTTAAAAACCTTTAAAGTGGGAATAAAGACTCTGTGCTTCTTCGTCCGTCTCAGTTTGAGCTTGAGGAGGAATGTTAGCCTATAAACAGACTGTCGCACATCAGGCATGCTGGGAACTCCAGGTTACCACGGTAACAGGAGGTCTTTGTTGGCATGGCGCTGCAGGCAGGTTGTATTTAGAATTTCAGGAGTAACGCTAACTGTCTTTGTTCTTTAGGTGGATGGAGGCGTGTCTGGACGAGGAGCTGCCGCCCACAACAGAGCTGGAGGAGGGGCTTAGAAACGGCGTTTATTTGGCCAAGTTAGGAAACTTCTTCGCTCCGAGAACCGTCTCGCTAAAGAAAATCTACGACCGCGAACAGACAAGATACAAGGTGAGAAAAACATGCAGAGTATAATGTTTATATTAAATCTTTCAAAGACTTCCTGTTGAGTCGCCCCCCTGCTGGCCAAGAGGAAAGTTTGAAGAATCTTTGTGTCTCTCTTCAGGCCACAGGTCTTCATTTCAGACACACTGATAACGTGATCCAGTGGCTCAACGCCATGTCAGAGAAAGGACTTCCTAAGGTGAGGCTGACACACACACACACACACACACACACACACACACACACACTAACACATACAGTCACTTACATGCTGTTCTGTTTGTTCCTGTTTCAGATTTTTTACCCTGAAACGACCGACATTTACGACAGAAAAAACATGCCGCGCTGCATCTACTGCATACATGCGCTCAGGTACTGTGTGTGTGTGTGTGTGTGTGTGTGTGTGTGTGTGTGTGTGTGTCTTCAGCTGGTTGAAAACCAAAAATAGGTCAGGTAATATTTCTACAGGTGGAGTCCACAGACTCTGTCCTTCTCCTTCATCGCTCATTCTTCTCCTTCATCGCTCATTCTTCTCTAGTTTGTGTTCTGCTTATGTCCTCGTCACTACTGGCAGCACAAGTTGCTGTTGCAGTTGGCTTAAACAGCTCTCCAAGCTCCTCCAGGAGGACACAAGAAGGTTTACTGTGTCTCCCAGCACAGTCTCAGGAGCATGGAGAAGATACCAGGAGATTCCAGGAGCATGAAGGAGATACCAGGAGCATGGAGGAGATTCCAGGAGCATGGAGGAGATACCAGGAACATAGAGGAGATACCAGGAGCATAGAGGAGATTCCAGGAGCATGGAGGAGATACCAGGAGCATGGAGGAGCTTCCAGGAGCATGGAGGAGATTCCAGGAGCATGGAGGAGATTCCAGGAGCATAGAGGAGATTCCAGGAGCATGGAGGAGATGCATGGAGGAGATTCCAGGAGCATGGCTCTTGCCCTACCCAGACGACAGGCTAATCTGTGCACTGACCAGAGACCAGGTGATCTGGGATACGTATTTTATGCTCACTCACGCTCCACCTTCTTTGAGTGGCTTTAAAATCTGTTGCCAGGTGCAATGCATATCTAACCACTTCGGAAGGGCAGAGAACACTCCTGAAGAGGGCCGCAGGCTGCTTCTTGTGGCCCAGGGACGGGCTTGTAAGTCCTGCACAGGCTTTGCTACAGCTCACCAATGCGCCTTCTTCACCATGGGAGATCTCGCACAAGCCCCGTCCAGACAACTCTTGTATTCTAACAGCTGCAAGATTTTATACTGCTGGTGTCAAAACAGAAAAAAGAAATCTGCAACCGGTATACTGTCCGATTTGCTCTATATTGACATTCCTGCAGGACTTGTAAGCCCGGGGACGGTCTTTGCCTACCCTGAAGGTCTTTGAACAAATATACCTGTTCCTAAGAGGTGCTCAAGGTTGCACCCTCCAGTACGTCCCACTGCGACAACATGTCCTGTGCAGACTCTGGAGGCTTACATTAATGCCCCCACAGCAATAAGGCAGTCAAAGCGTCTATTTGTCTGCTTTGCTGGTTCCTGGGTCACTGGGTTATTGACACCATCGCCAAGGCATATGAGGCAGGGTGTAGTGCCACTCCTCTCCCTAACCTTGAGGTATTTGCTGACTTAGTTGTTCCTGATGACTCGTGACTGTTGGTATGAGTCGTCCAGTGCACCACCTCTGCCTGTCATCCGGATTTCCTTCACAATCGTTGTCCTGACTGCCCTCAGTTATCCTGAATCCTGACTGTTGTTATCCGGACTGCTCTTAGTTATCCTGACTGTTGTTATCCTGAATGTTGTTAGTTATCCTGTCTGCTCTTAGTTATCCTAACTGTTGTTAGTTATCCTGACTGTTGTTATCCTGAATGTTGTTAATGATCCTGACTGTTGTTAGTTATCCTGACCCATTCATTAAGATCTATAGTGGTTTAAGTGTTCCCCTCATGTTTTTGAGCAGATTATGGATAATTATAGGTGTATTGATTACTGAAGGTGTAGTGACCAATTTTAACAAACCCAATATTGTTTAGAAAAGTCACTTGAGGGATGAATGTGGAAGCTTTCGGATGCGTGCTTAGCTCGAAGAAATTAACACAGTCCATTGATGATTTGATTTGGATATTTCAATCCATTTATTTTTAAACACTTCTTTTCAAATAAAGGAAAATATGATGAACCACTAAGTCTATAAATAAAACAAACAAATCCGTGTTGAATGCGTTTAACTCCGACAGGCTGACACAATAAAAAAACTGTTTGCCTCCATTCAATCACCTGTCCCACCTCACCTGAAGCCTTGCTTTAACCACAGCATCCGCCCAGGCTACACATAGTGCCCAGTAGAGGGCCAACACACACAACCACAAGGAAAATAGCATCACACAAAACAAACACCTCATTTGGCTCCAACAGAAGGTGTATTGATCATTTCTAATGTATTGATTATTGCAGGTGTATTGGTTATTACAGGTGTGTTGATTATTTCAGGTATATTGATGAGGCATTGATCATGTGTTGTTTTCCAGTCTGTACCTGTTCAAACTGGGTCTGGCTCCACAGATTCAGGATCTGTATGGAAAGGTAGATTTCACAGGTGAGTCTGTTTCTTCTTCAAGTCTTTGACAGTCACTCATCACCAGAAATCACCTGAAATTCTGTTTGATCATCACCATACTGCATGGTTACCATGACGATTAAATGTTTATCTTTAAAAGAGGAACACTGTCCCCCTTCCTCCCCCCCCCAATGTCTCTCCCTATCTCCTTCAGAGGAGGAGATCAACAACATGAAGAGTGAGTTGGAGAAATATGGGATCCAGATGCCGGCCTTCAGTAAGATTGGAGGGATTCTGGCCAATGAGCTGTCAGTGGATGAAGCTGCATGTGAGTAGGGGGTCATGTATTAGGGGGGGTCATGTATAAGGCGGGCGGGGGGGGGTCATGTAAAGCCCCGTTTCCACCGAGCGGTCTGGTATGGATCAGTACAGTTTGGTTCAGTAAAGCCTGATCCTGTTTGCGTTTCCACAGCCAACCGTAGTTACCGTACTCTCTTTTTGGTAGGCGGCGTGTTAACTGGATGCCGATAACCGAGTCAGCTACGTAATAGCGTGACATCATAGCAGCGCGACACAGTATACCCTGCTAATAAATTAGACGAAGAAGAAGAACACGACACAGTAAACAAAGAGCAACAATGGAGGACATCCAGCTGTTTGTGGTCTTTCTCATCGGCTTGTGGTTCTTTGTTACAAAACAAAGCTTTGTTTCAGACGAGGCTGCGAGGAAAAATACAGCCGTCCTTTATTACCGCTGTCGCACAGGAAGTGACTATCCTTTTGACCAATCAACGGACTGCATTGTTCAGCTCCAGCTTTTAGGGTTGGATCGGTAGACTTGGCACCCCAACAGAAGGGTCGCAAAAAGTAGGACGGGACGGTAATTTGGGGACCTTTCCCGACTTTTGATAGTGGAAATGCCTCAAAATGCGTGCCGTACCGTGACCACCCGAACTGAATTGCTTGGTGGAAACGGGGCTTAAGTTGGGGGGGCTTAAATAGTAACTGATATATGCTCTGAAATTACATCTCCTCATCTGTTTCAGTGTCAATAAAGCTCAATCATTATTTATGTAATAATAAATACAGATGAATTTAATGTTTGAAGTACATTCGATTATAAAGGAAAGTGAAAAAACGATTGATGATGCTTAACATGGCAAAAAAAGTTAGCTTAGCATGGCTCATACAAAAGTGATCAACCTGAAAAACTCACCTGGATAACTCACCTGGTTAACTCAATGAAGTAAAGAGTCATTTTCATCATGACTTGTTCAGTTTGTGAAGATAACAACCTGAGGAGTCTGACCAGGGTCTGCTATCCAACTCTATGCTAAGCTAAGCTAACTGAGGCTAAAAGACACAGATATAAATCTTGAATCAACATATTTATTTAATCTCACTCAGCTATAAAATGAATTTCTTCTCCATCATCTTCTCGTCCATCATCAGTGCATGCTGCTGTGATTGCCATCAATGAAGCCATCGACCACGGCGTACCTGAGGGCACATTGGCTGCCATGCAGAACCCAAACGCCATGCTGATCCAGCTGGACCCAAGCTACGCCAATCACTACCACGAGACCCTGTACCACGCCAAAGGAGAGAAGGTCGCACGCTCACGGAAACGGGTATGACAGTGATGGTGATGGTGGTGGTGGTGGTGATGATGGTGATGATGATGGTGGTGGTGATGATGGTGGTGGTGATGATGGTGATGATGGTGGTGATGATGATGGTGATGATGGTGGTGATGATGATGATGATGGTTATTGTGATGATATGATGATGATGGTGATGATGATGGTGATGATGATGGTGATGATGATAATGATGATATGATGATGATGATGGTGATGATGATGATAATGATGGTTATTGTGATGATATGATGATGGTAGTGATGATGATGATGATGATGATGATAATGATGGTTATTGTGATGATATGATGATGATGATGTGATGGTGATGATGGTGATAATGATGGTGGTGTTGATTGTGATGGTGGTGATGATGATGATGATAATGATGGTTATTGTGATGATATGATGATGGTGGTGATGATGATGATGGTGATGATGATGATGATGATGATGGTGGTGATGATGATGGTGATGATGGTGATAATGATGGTTATGATGACTGTGATGATGATGATACTGATGATGATTGTGATGATGATGGTGATGATGGTGATGATGACTGTGCTGATGATGATGATGATGATGATGATGGTGGTTATGATTGTGATGATGATTGTGATGATGATGGTGATGATGATTGTGATGATGATGGTGATGATGATGGTGGTGTTGATGATGATAATGATGGTTATTGTGATGATATGATGATGGTGGTGATGATGATGATGGTGATGATGATGATGATGATGATGATGGTGGTGATGATGGTGATAATGATGGTTATGATGACTGTGATGATGATGATACTGATGATGATTGTGATGATGATGGTGATGATGGTGATGATGACTGTGCTGATGATGATGATGATGATGATGATGATGGTGGTTATGATTGTGATGATGATTGTGATGATGATGGTGATGATGATGGTAGTGTTGATTGTGATGGTGGTGATGATGATGATTATGATGTGATGATGGTGTTGATGACATCATTTTTTTTGTACCTGCTCTCACAGCAGATGGAGAACGCGGACGCAGAGAGAGACGTGTACGACGAGCTGCTGACTCAAGCTGAGATACAAGGAAACGTCAACACAGTCAACGGTACGACACAGACACACAAACATACACACACACACAATACACACAATGTTGTTGTCTCCATGGTAACACAGCTGTGCTCTCTCTCAGTGAGTGTGGCTCTAAGTTCAGCTGAACAGGCTTTGCTCAGCGGGGATGAAGATAAACTGTTTGAGGCTCTGAAGGCAATGGGAATCCAGAACCTGCAGAACCAGAACAAAAGCTGGTACCTGAAACAGCTGCAGGCCGACAGAGAGAACAAGGAGCAGGTGAGGAGGAGTGTGATGATGATGAAGAGTGTGCTGATGAAGAGCAGACAGAGTTTTCATGTGAAGAGGAGTGTGATGGTGATGATGATGATAATGCTGATGATGATGGTGATGGTGATGATGAGTGTGATGATGATGAGTCGTCTGCCTCCTCTTTAACCTCGTCTTCCCCAGCAGTTGTCTCCAGGAGAAGTGCTGACCAAAGAAGAGCTGCAGAGCGGTGTCAACGTGGCCAATCAGAATGCAGAGAGCTACACAAAGAGTAAGCACACACACACACAGACTGTCTTGTCGGAGTGTTTTCTCAATGTTCTGTACAGATGCTGTGAATGAACCGTGTGTGTGTGTGTGTGTGTGTGTGTGTGTGTGTGTGTGTGTGTGTGTGTGTGTGTGTGTGTGTGTGTGTGTGTGTGTGTGTGTGTGTGTGTGTGTGTGTGTGTGTGTGTGTGTGTGTGTGTGTGTGTGTGTGTGTGTGTGTGTGTGTGTGTGTGTGTGTGTGTGTGTGTGTGTGTGTGTGTGTGTAGTGTTGCGGGCGGTGGAGAGGATCAATGCAGCGGTTCGAGCAGGTGTAGCAGAGCAGACAGTGGAGGAGTTGATGAATCCTGACGCTCAGCTTCCTGAAGTTTTTCCGTCTGCTGCTGACCTTTATCAGAGAGAGTTACTGAGCCTGCAGCAGCAGAGCCCGGAGGTACACAGACACACACACACACACACACACACACACACACACACACACACACACACACACACACACACACACACACACACACACACACACAGCAGGTAATGGTGAACCTGTAGTATGTTGTTGAGTTTCTGGTATTTGGCAGTTTGATGAATTAGGACAATGTTTATGTGTCCTGCAGGGTGCGCTGTTACACCCCGAGCTGCTGGTTGCCGTGGAGATGCTGTCAGCAGTGGTGCTGATGAACGAGGCGATGGATGTGGGAGACAGAGCGGCGCTGTGGAAACAGCTGAGCAGCTCAGTGACCGGGTTGAGTAACGTGGAGGACGAATACGCACAGAGGTGATGACACACACACACACACACACACACACATCAACGCACACACATACACACACACACACACACACACACACTAGTGACAGTGACTAAATCAAGTCATTGATTTCTGAGATTTCAAAGGTGTATTTTTATTCCCTGAGGCTATGCGTTGGTGTGTGTATGTGTGCGCGTTGGTGTGTGTGTGTGTGTGTGTGTTTTCAGATACATGGATGAGCTGATGCGTCTGAAGGCAGCAGCTAGAGAGCAGGGCTGTGACTTTCTCACCTGGAACGATATTCAGGCTTGTATAGACGGAGTGAACCTGAGTGTGCAGGAGGAGCATGAACGTAAGACACACACACACACACACACACACACACACACACACACACACACACACACACACACACACACACACACACACACACACACACACACACACACACATCAACGCACATGCAAACACACACACACACACAGACATGTTTTTAAATACTACTAAACAAACACACCTGAGACAATCACCTGAGGTGTGTGTTTGCAGGTATCGCTGCCATCGGCCTGATCAATGAGGCTCTGGATGAAGGAGACCCCATGAAGACGCTCGCCATGCTGCAGAACGCGTCAGCCAAACTCACTGATGTCGACCCAGCTGTGGCTCAGCACTACCACGACATCCTGCTGGAGGCCCGCCGCGAGAAAGCTCATGTATGTAACACCCAATGTACACATAAAGTACACACAATGTACACACAAAATACACACAATGTACACACAATATACACACAATGTACACACATTATACACACAATGTATACACAATATACACACACAATGTACACACAAAGCACACACAATGTATACACAATATACACACACAATGTACACACATTATACAAACAATGTACACACAATGTACACACAAAGTAGAAACATTGTATTCACAATTTACACACAATGCCATCCCGAAAGTTCCATTCGGATCTAGTAGTGATAAGTTCTCCAGGCTGGAACCTACTCTGTGGTTGAGTCCCACCTTCACCCCTGTTGTCTATTCTGCCGATGACGTGGTCACTTCGGCTTATTCCTAGCACGAGGCAACTTGATGCCTTCATACTAAGCTGATGTGTACAACTATGCATGGTGACATCTGACCGCACGCAGCCATGCAGATTGTGCATGAAGATGGACTTGAAAGATTGGTTCTCTTTCAAACCTGGAGCCTTTCGTCCCTGGAAATATGCAGATCTTAGGCGCCAGTAATAATCTCGTGCAAGACACTGAAAGCACTAAGAAGGGCAGATGCAGGGTCAGTGTAGGTGGAGTATTCCTGGCGCAAAGCATTGCAGAGCGCAGAGTACTGGTCTTTGATCTCAGGCTGAAGGGTAGTCTTGAAGTCATGGACACTCTTGGAAGTTGTCTTCCAGATCAGCCTGAGGTTTTCTCTTGTGGATGCATCAGGTAAATCACTGAGACACAGGTTAATCGTTCCGAGGTAGTCATTGATGCAGAGGTTTGAGTTATCTGGATCAAACCGCTCTACATCCTTTGCCATAGATTCAATGAGCCTTGTGCGCATTCTTTGATCTCTGGGTAAAAGGGAGCCAACCGAGTCATCTGAGGTTTTGATATTCCTCAGCTGTGAATCATGCGATGGGAACCTACAGGTAGCAGGAGGGGGCCTGGTGTTATCTCTGCCTCTGGGAGCTGAGGTGATGTGGTGATTCAAACCTGTGAAGGTGTGAAAAGGTGTCACAGCTGTCAGGGAACTGGGGCGTTTCCCCAAAGGGGAGGGGTGGGGCTCCACAGTCAAAGTCTGGGAAAACTAGACTTATTTCCTCAGTCCTTGGGTTATCCTGGCTGCTCTGTTCTTTACTGAGCTTTTTCAGCAGGGTTGTTTGATCTCTTAAGGGGCTTGGTCCAAGATCAGAGTCATATCCTGACGATATGTCTCGCTCCATGCTTACCTGTGCTCCCTGAATTAGTTCAAACATGTCCAACACTTTCTGCTTGGCAGTTTGTAAGTGCTTACTAGGAGATTAGTTTTCTTTCTGCAAGTATCAGACCTTTGGTGGGAGTGTCCCCATGAAAGCACAGACACTCCTAGCTGTAGTCTTCCAGATCCGCTTCAGTTTTTCATGTGAGGACGCATGAGGCAGGTCAAGGAGACAATGGTCGACTTCTCTAAGGTAGTCATTGATACTTGAATCTGAGCTATCTGGGTCAAAGCACTTCAGATCTTTGACCCGAGGTTCTATCTGGCTGGTTCGCAGACCATGACTTGAAGGCTGGTGAGGGTTGTCCGAGTCGTCTGAAGACTCGTAAACCCTGTGGTTGTCATGGTAGTATGGGTGACTTAACCGTGGCGGGGTTAGTGCCCGGCTCAGACATGGTGGTCTATTGCGGAACAGGTAATGCTTGGTGTTTGCTGTAGCCTGAGACTCCTCCCTGCTTCTAGGGAGCGAAAAGTCCCTCCCCCTGAGGGGTGGGGGTCCTCCCTGCTCGAAGCATATGAAGTGACTAGTGGGGCATTTCCACGTGCTGGGGCTTCATGGTCTGGAGAGGTGGGACGGTATTTATCCCGAACACCCAGACTATTTACAGGGTCGTTATAGGAGGAGCGCGCCCTTGGGCCGTGGTCGACTTGGCGGCCCTTTGTCCTTTCCTCCAGGTCTTGCAACATGTCTGTCTCCCTCCTCCAGGGACCTGGTTCAGTATCCCATCCTTCATCTGAGGCTTCCTCAGCTGACATGGGGGCTGCAGTACGTACCTGCCGATCCTGAATTCTGGGTACCGTGACACTTTGTTTCTTCTGTTCGGCCAACCTGCTGCTTCTATGCCTTGTTTTCTTCTCCTCCTGCAGGGCCTTGCATTTGTCCTGCAAGGTCTTAAGTTTATCCTGCATTCTTTTGAAGTCGTCCCGCAGGATCTGTATTTCTTCTTGTACATGGGCTAACTGTGCCCGGTGTTTCTCATTCTGCAAACATGATTTGCGCTGATGAAGGAGGAGAAGTTGGCCTTGAACATCTGAAATTGTGCGCTGTGGTTTCCCAGTTGGATTAGTTATACACTCAAATAACTTCTTTATTTTTTCTTCGCATGTGCTGAGGGTGTAGGAGTTCAGACTGTTGATCTCTAAAGGGAAGTGGATAAGACCAGCAACTCCATCGTGAAGGGGTGGATTGTCTGATCCACAGTGAGCATTGGCCCATGGTTGATATATGTCTTCTGCATACATTCTGTCTTTGTTAGGGGTGGTCCTGGCTCGGTTGTTGACAAAATCAACTAGCTCCTCTAACTTCTTATCACTAATGCTAATTGAATAGCTATATAGGTTGGCACTCTCCTCTGAGGAGAGGCGTGACAGACCAGTAACCGTTTCTTGCAGTGCTGCGTGGTCTGATCCAAAAGGAGTCTCAGCTCCCGGCTCACAAAGGATCTAGGTACATATTTAGGGCTCGGGCACCGACTTAAGAGCGAGGAACCTATTGAAACTGAAGGAATTATTATTATTTTTATCATCTGATTATTAGGTCCCCTCCAATGAGAAGAGAGGGGTTCAGGTCCCCCCTTTTCTTCACGCGTAGGTGTGAAGTATTGCAGGGGATTTTGGGAGTAGGAGTCCTTTAAGTCTCTTTGTGATCCCAGTGAATAACTCAAATGAGGCTTCTCAAAGAGATGCAGGCCCAAGTCCATTATTTGCCTGTCTTAAGCCTGGATGGTCCAACACACTCAATATACACACAATATAATCACAATGTACACACAATATACAGATGTTTTCTTGTTGTTTTTTCACTCACTGATCCAAATATGGATACAAAGTGAGGTCAAAGAGCTCAAAGGAACGTTAACAAAGGTCAATGTGTGATGTCATAAGGTGGATATTTCTTTGGACTCGTCAGCTGAGCTGTCTGAGAGTTTGTTAAAGTGAAATGAGACATTCAAAGATGCAGCAGTGTCCTTCTTTTACATCACTGAGACTACAGGGAGACACTGAGGACCACTATCTACGGAGAGCCTGAAGGGACAAACATGAGATGAATTAATGAACTAATTTCAGACAGTAATAAATCAGACAGATAACTAGTTAATGCTAATAATGACCGACCTTGAACACATCATGAGGAAACTTAGAACACTTTATAAAAACATCAGAGGAGAGAAAAACTGTTTTCTGCAGATTTCACAGACGCAGGAAATAAGTCGTCTCGGTCGTCTGCTTCCTTAAAAGGGCAGAAAACCGACCACAACACACACACACACACACACACACACACACACACACACACACACATACATACACACACTCTCCTTGTTTAGGGCGATGAGGTAATGACAGGAAGTAGTTACAGCAGCTGAATGTGGAGACACACCTACAGGTCTGAGTTGACCTGTTGATCACTATTTCTTTTGAACTTTACTTTCTCCACCTCATTTCTTCTTCTCCTTCTTTCTGAACTTTTCTGAAGAATGACTCTTTCTTCTTCTGCAGCTCACAGGCCTTTCAGAGGTGTCCTGCAGGAAGTGTTTCTGTGCATGTAAAGCTGTGATAGGCTGCCTGATCTTTCATATCTAAAGTGTGACACCATGTTTAACCTGGTCCTGATTGGACAGGCTGTAAGCTGCAGTGAGGTCTGAGTCTGTTTCAGGTGATCTGAGGTCGTCATGGGAACAAAACAGTGTGCTATCTGATCCTGTGGTTCAGTTTGTGAATGACTTCTGTGTGTCGCTTCATAACTGCAGAATTACAACAGACAGGTCAGAGACAGATGGGCAGTCAGAGACAGACGAGCAGACAGACGAGCAGTCAGAGACAGACGAACAGTAAGAGACAAACGGGCAGTCAGAGACAGACGGGCAGTCAGAAACAGACTAACAGTAAGAGACAGACAGGCAGTCAGAAACAGACGAACAGTAAGAGACAGATGGGGAGTCAGAAACAGACGAACAGTAAGAGACAGATGGGGAGTCAGAAACAGACAGGCAGTCAGAAACAGACAGGCAGTCAGAGACAGACGGGCAGTTAGAGACAGACGGGCAGACAGAGACAGACTGGCAGTCAGAGACAGACGGGCAGACAGAGACAGACGGGCAGACAGAGACAGACGGGCAGTCAGAAACAGACAGGCAGTCAGAGACAGACGAGCAGTCAGAAACAGACGGGCAGTCAGACAGACGAGCAGTCAGAGACAGACGGGCAGTCAGAGACAGACGAGCAGTCAGAGACAGACGAGCAGTCAGAGACAGACAGGCAGTCAGAGACAGACAGGTAGTCAGAAACAGACGAACAGTCAGAGACAGACGGGCAGTCAGACGAGCAGTCAGAGACAGATGGGCAGTCAGAGACAGACAGGCAGTCAGAGACAGACGGGCAGTCAGAGACAGACAGGCTGTCAGAGACAGACGAGCAGACAGAAACAGACAGACAGGCAGTCAGAGACAGACGGGCAGACAGAGACAGACGAGCAGACAGAAACAGACAGATAGGCAGTCAGAGACAGACGGGCAGTTAGAGACAGACAGGCAGTTAGAGACAGACGAGCAGTCAGAAAGAGACGAGCAGCTAGCCCTCACCTTGCAGGCCTGCGTAAACATCAGAGTCTGCACACACTCCACTGACACACTGAACACTATGAACAGACGGTGCTCTCGTCGTCGCCCCCCCCCCCCCTTCAGCTGTCTGATTTAAAAAGGGCCAAAAAAGACAAGAAAGATTTTAAAAAGTGAGTTTGTTGAAAAGAGTTGGGATGGATAATTTCTGATTAATAACCAAATCAGGAAATGTGAACGCTGATTGGCCTTCCTGACACAGAGTCACACTGTGAGCAGCGTCACAGACAGAAACAGGATGTCATTACGGGGTTCCTGGTTTTTGTTTTCCACACAGACTGTTTCTCCCGCTGATCTGGGACTTCAAACAGTAACCAGAACACTTTCATATTAAAATCTAGACCCCAGGGTACAGAGTGGACCTTTTTTTAAAATCTAGACCCCAGGGTACAGAGTGGACCTTTTTAAAATCCAGACCCCAGAGGACAGAGTGGACCTTTTTAAAATCCAGACCCCAGAGTACAGAGTGGACCTTTTTTAAAATCTAGACCCCAGGGTACAGAGTGGACCTCCTTAAGTAGAAGAGTCCTCTTGTTCTTTGAAAATTTTACTTTATGACCTCGAGAAACAGACGAATATTGAATTCAGCTTTCACTTCTTCTTTCCATGATGTGTTATTAACTACAGCCAGCAACACACACACACACACACACACACACACACACTCTGACACCACACCCTGTCTGCAGTGACTAAACACACACACACACACACACACACACACACACACACACACACACACACACACACACACACACACACACACACACACACACACACACACACACACACACACACACACACACACACACACACACTGCGTCTTTCTTTTCCCCCCAAAGCACCATAAAGGGCGGGACACATGGAGGGTAGGTGGAGGTTCAGGTTTCCTGTTTCAGAAGTCTCCATGAGACAGACAGAGGGTGCCCTCTGTGTGCAGTCTGGTGTAACTACGCCTTAAAATAACAAGTCTGATATAAATGTTTGTGTGTGGGGGTGCACCAAAGTTCCTCCACAATCTGTCAGTAGTCAGTAGACAGTACGACCTGACTTGTGTACTGCACCAGGAGAAAATCCGGTATGGCATGATGGGCAATCTTAACAAAATGTTAAGCATCTGAATAGAATAGAATAGAATAGCAGCTCTGGCAGCCTTTTTTGGATTATCTTGCCCGATTGGACAGAGTTCCCAGACAGAACTGATTTTACTGCTCACCTCTCTTTAAACGTTTGTGTTAAGAAACATTGCGCTAGTGATGCATTGTAGCATAATGTCCTGCAATGGAAGCCCTGTTTTGTTTTTGTTAGTTTTTTCTGTCTGAATTTATTCTTTTTACTCCGTAAAACTTCCTGAAAATCTTTATAAAAACATGTTTTTAAAAAAAAGAAGACAGTAGACAGTACCTACTATCAGTGCTGTATAGTTTCAGTATATACTGTTCAGTATTCTGATATTTGTTCCTACTTCGTCTGATTCATCCAGTAAGGAAGTGGCGTCATTTACGTTACCCGAACCGGCCGCATCCACCCATTTTTTTTTTGTTTGTTTTTTGTTCAGCTTTATTCAAGAAGACTAATGCGCATACACAGTCAGTTAAACAAAAAACAATATCGCAATGTAAATCAAGTAAAAGACAGATTAAATAACTAAATAACATACAGTACATAAAGGAAAGTAGAAAGACAGTAATATAAAGAATATAAAATAAACCAATGAAGACGCAGACATCATTATTTAAATAGAGGGGGAAAGGTTTTATAATAATTCAAACATTTGTTAGATTTTCTGTTAAAATTAGAATGAGTGTTTTACATTTAACTTTGCACAGCATTGTGGGAGTTAAAATACAATTCATGTCCTGAAAGGATGCATCCGATCCATACTGCACAAAACCCGGAACTATCCATACTGAAATGTTCAGAATACTGAACGACCACGAGGGTTCAGACTACTGAATGACCACAAGGGTTCAGTCTACTGAATGACCACGAGGGTTCAGTCTACTGAACGACCACGAGGGTTCAGACTACTGAACGACCACGAGACTACTGAACGACCACAAGGGTTCAGTCTACTGAACGACCACGAGGGTTCAGACTACTGAAGGACCACGAGGGTTCAGACTACTGAAGGACCACGAGGGTTCAGACTACTGAACGACCACGAGGGTTCAGTCTGCTGAACGACCACGAGACTACTGAACGACCACGGGGGTTCAGACTACTGAACGACCACAAGGGTTCAGTCTACTAAACAACCACGAGGGTTCAGACTACTGAACGACCACGAGGGTTCAGTGTACTGAACGACCACGAGACTACTGAACGACCACGAGGGTTCAGACTACTGAACGACCACGAGACTACTGAACGATCACGAGGGTTCAGTCTACTGAACGACCACAAGGGTTCAGTCTACTAAACAACCACGAGGGTTCAGACTACTGAACGACCACGAGGGTTCAGTCTACTGAACGACCACGAGACTACTGAACGACCACGAGACTACTGAACGACCACGAGGGTTCAGTCTACTGAACGACCACGAGGGTTCAGACTACTGAACGACCACGAGGGTTCAGACTGCTGAACGACCACGAGGGTTCAGTCTACTGAACGACCACGAGGGTTCAGACTACTGAACGACCACGAGGGTTCAGTCTACTGAACGACCACGAGGGTTCAGTCTACGAACGACCACGAGACTACTGAACGACCACGAGGGTTCAGTCTACGAACGACCACGAGACTACTGAACGACCACGAGGGTTCAGACTACTGAACGACCACGAGACTACTGAACGACCATGAGGGTTCAGACTACTGAATGACCATGAGACTTCTGAACGACCACGAGGGTTCAGACTACTGAACGACCACGAGGGTTCAGACTACTGAAACTCCATACTGAACTGTGGCTCTTTGGAAAGGGCCTGTGTCTTTAAACTGTGTGTGTATCTATCCTAACATCCCTGTCCGGTTCTTCAGGAGACTCAGGATCCGTCAGCTGTTCTGTGGTTGGATGAAATCCAGAACGCCATCCTGAGAGCCAATCAGGGCACACAGGAGGCGCTACAGTGTGAGAGCTCCCACTCATTACATTCAAATACACGACACTATGTTTGTATATTCAAATATATATTTATTATTATATTTATAAAGTTCGATCATATGAATACTAAGAAAAGAGAGACAGGACACTCCATTGAAAACCACAGAATTCAACAATAATTACAATAAATCCAACTGAACGCTTGTCTGTCTCTCAGTTTCTCAGTCCATCCAGGCTGTCAACGAGGCCGTCGACTCAAGTGATCAGGCTCAGACTCTGCTGGCTCTGCGTAACCCGGCAACAGGACTGTACGGGGTCACCTCCGAGTGTGCACACACCTACCAGGACGACCTGTCGCAAATCAAAGAAAACAAGATGAGAGACGGTGAGGACAAACGTTTCTAATGACCTGTCTGTCTCTGATGACCTGTCTGTCTTTGACCTGTCTGTCTCTGATGGCCTGTCTGTCTCTGATGACATGTCTGTCTTTGACCTGTCTGTCTCTGATGACCTGTCTGTCTTTGACCTGTCTGTCTCTGACCTGTCTGTCTCTGATAACCTGTCTGTCTTTGACCTGTCTGTCTCTGACCTGTCTGTCTCTGATGACCTGTCTGTCTCTGACCTGTCTGTCTCTGATGACCTGTCTGTCTCTGACCTTGTCTGTCTCTGACCTGTCTGTCTCTGACCTGTCTGTCTTTGACCTGTCTGTCTCTGACCTGTCTGTCTCTGACCTTGTCTGTCTTTGACCTGTCTGTCTCTGACATGTCCGTCTCTGACCTTTCTCAGGTGATAACGGCAGTGAGTGGGTGAAGCATTGGGTGAAGGGAGGCCACAACTATTATTTTAACCTGAACAGCAGGGAGGGGACATGGGCGGAGCCTGAGGGCTTTGTCCAGAACAACACACAGCTCAACAAGGAGGACATCCAGGTTAGTCTCAGGGTAACGATAACACACTTTTATTTAATCAACCAGGCAATCACTCAACAGTCAGTAAACCACGCTTTCTGTCTTTTCAGTCAGTTGTCTCCGGGGTAACCACGGCATACAACCGAGAGCAGTTGTGGCTGGCCAATGAGAGTCTCATCACCAAGCTGCAGGCTCGTTGCCGTGGTTACATGATGAGAAAGAGTCTAAAGGAGCGGATGAACTTCCTGAACTCTCAGGACCCAGCTGTTACCTGCATACAGGTAAGCAATATCCATATACAGGTGGATAAACCTAGTAGTAAAGTAGACAGTTCTGTCTTTAACAGCTCACCTTTTAAGGGACAGTGCAGTATCTTTAAAAACAAAGTCCTCAGTCTTTAAAGGGACAGTCCTCAGTCTTTAAAGAGACAGTTCTGTGTCTTTACAGGGACAGTGCTGTGTCTTTACAGGGACATTCCTCAGTCTTTAAAGGGACAGTCCTCAGTCTTTATAGGGAGTGCTGTGTCTTTAAAGGTTGTTTTGTATGATATTGTGGGTTTTTTGCCCTATTTTTCTTGCACTAAAGTAAATAATAATCATTCCTTGCCTTTCGATTGGGTCCTGGCGCCTTCTTTTTGCTCTGGCCCTAATTACAGGGATTAAATGACTCTTATCTGTAGCGATGTATGGTCGAGCTTCCATGCACTGCTGCTGGCCTCGCCTTAAAGTTTCCATGAAACAGAACTCTCAGAGTATCTAACTGTCCTGGGATAGCAGTAGTAAACACCCCTGAGTGCAGGGTGAGTCATACTGTTATTACGATGTAAAAACACTCAGATAATATTTTCTCTTTATTTATTTGGCAGATAAATGAAAATTTAACCCAAAAAACGCTGGATAAAAACCAGGAACATGTATTTTTCATTCCATGGAGACTTCACATCTCCTGTGGCTGATATACTTATTACAGAAGATTACCTCAACTACACACAACTGACCCATTGAACTGACCATGTGTGTGTCTCTGTGTGTGTGTATATATGTGTGTCTGTGTGTCTCTGTATCTCTGGGTGTGTCTTCAGGCTCACTGGAAAGGACACAAACAGAGGAAGAAGTTTAAAGATCGTAAACAGTATCTGAAAGATCACAGTGATGAGGCTGTGAAGGTAAATTCTTATAATCTGATTATTTTTATTAAAGGGGTCATATTATGCTTTTTCTGGTTTTATATGCTCTTTAGTGTGTTTTCCATGTGTCCTGTGCATGTTTAGGCACAGGACAAAAATTCAAAGTCAGCTGAAACGCGGCTTCTCCTACGTCCTCCTGTTAGCTGCAGCATTAGCTGCATGTAACGCTCAGTTCTAGCCCCCCTTGAAATTTTTTGCCAGTGTGACGTCTTGTCAGTGTGACATCACTGATCTAAGCCCATTGGCTCGTTGTGGCAAGCCCTGCAGTTCATGTTGCACGCCTGTTAACTTCTGTAGCACGCCCACGATATGCGGTAGCACAGTAGTGCTGAGGTGCTAATGTTTTTGCTCCCTTCAGAGCTAAAGTGGCTGCATTCTGAGCGACTGACCAATTACGGCAGAGCTGACAAGCCGACCAATCAGATCAGACTTGGCACACGTGGGCACTTCAGAGCCTTAGAGAGAGAGTCAGAAGCGAGCCGGTGCATGGAGCGGTAGTACATGAAAACAGACACTTTTTTAGAACTTTCGCTATTGTGAACATACTTTAGTAGGTACATAGATTAAATATACGAACCTCAAAAGGGGCATAATATGACCTCTTTAATTATATTATAGTCTGTTGTATGGAGGATGTTTATACTCTGATAATTGTTGTGTCTCAGATTCAGGCCATGGTCCGGATGCACCAGGCTCGTAAGAAGTACAAAGACCGTCTGAAATACTTCCAGGATCACGTGAGTGTGAAACTTTTATTCAGTCCCAGATTCACTTTAAAGAAAACGAAAACAGAGAATTTTTATCTCATCAGAGGTGAAATGAAACCGTTCCACCTGAAATCTAATCAGTGCTTTAAATAATGGAGCATAAATCCTGCCTGACATTAACGGTGTCCTGAGGCTGTGATTCCCCGTCCCCGCTGTCTCAGAGACTGATGACTCATTTAATGCTCTGCCGTGTAGATTCCTCTGGTCCTGTTTCTAATGAACTCTATCGATCAGCTGATTGATTTTTATTTTTACTGCAGATCAATGACGTGGTAAAAATTCAGGCTTTTATCAGAGCCAACAAGGCCAGGGACGACTACAAGACGCTCAGTAAGTGACAACTGTCCCCATTGTGTCTTCAACTGTCCCCATCATGTCTTCAACTGTCCCCATTGTGTCTTCAACTGTCCCCAATGTGTCTTAAACTGTTCTCATTGTGTCTTCAACTGTCCACATTGTGTCTTCAATTGTCCCCATCATGTCTTCAACTGTCCACATTGTGTTTTAAACTGTGGTAGTAATATGATGTAAATACACAGAGAGAGAAAGAGAGGTAGTGATAGGAGCTCAAGGTGCCTATTCCCCCGGTAGTCTAAGCCTGACTGGTAGATGATACCAGGAGAGGGGTCTGATAGGTACCACGAGCAGGTTTGATAACTGAAAGCTCTACCTCCCATAGTACATTTAGAGACTGTAGGTACCACAAGCAGGTTTGATAACTGAAAGCTCTACCTCCCATAGTACATTTTAGAGACTGTAGGTACCACGAGCAGGCCTGATAACTGAAGACTCTACCTCCCATTGTACATTTAGAGTCTGTAGGTACCACGAGCAGGCCTGATAACTGAAGGCTCTACCTCCCATAGTACATTTAGAGACCGTAGGTACCACGAGCAGGCCTGATAACTGAAGGCTCTACCTCCCATAGTACATTTAGAGTCTGTAGGTACCACGAGCAGGCCTGATAACTGAAGGCTCTACCTCCCATAGTATATTTAGAGACCGGAGGTAGCACGACCAGGCCTGGTAACTGAAGGCTCTACCTCCCATAGTACCATAGTTACCAAGAGCTGTCCCAATCATGTCGACCATCATGACCTCATCATGTCAATTGTCCTTGTCATGTCTTTATCTGTCCCCATCATGTCCTTCAACTGTTCCCATGGCCCATAAAGTCTCTAAATGTCCTCATCATGTCTCTAAATTGTCCTGGTTAAATTATCTTAATGTCCTGTTTATGTATCTTATGTCTCGGCCATGCCTCTAAATGAGCTCATAAAGTCTCTAAATGTCCTCATCATCTACTCCATCATGTCTCTTAATGTCCCCATCATGTCCTTAATTGTCCTCATCTTGTCTCTTGTCATCTCAAATTGTCTGTAAATGTCATCATGTGTTTAAAAGTTCTTAGATGTTTGTTAATTTCTTAAATCAAACTGTCTTTGATCATCCAGTAAGTGCGGAGGACCCTCCGATGGCGGTGGTAAGAAAATTCGTCCACCTGTTGGACCACAGCGATCAGGACTTCCAGGAGGAGCTAGAGCTGATGCGTCTCCGTGAGGAGGTAGTGACCAATATCCGGTCCAACCAGCAGCTGGAGAATGACCTGAACCTGATGGACATTAAGATCGGGCTGCTGGTGAAGAATAAAATCACACTGCAGGAAGTCGTGTCCCACAGCAATAAGCTGACAAAGAAGAACAAGGGACAGCTGTCCAACATGATGATGATGAACAAGCAGAGAGGAGGCCTGAAGGCGCTCAGCAAGGAGAAGAGGCTCAAACTGGAAGCTTATCAGTATCTCTTCTACCTGTTACAGGTAACATAACACCAGCACCCTATGGAGTCAGAACAGGGACTCTATGGAGTCAGAACTGGGACTCTATGGAGTCAGAACACGGAATCTATGGAGTTAGAACATGGACTCTGAGGAGTCAGAACAGAGACTCTTTGGAGTCAGAACAGGGACTCTATGGAGTCAGAACAGATACTGTCAGAACAGGGACTGTATGGAGTCAGAACATGGACTCTATAGAGTCAGAACAGGGACTCTATGGAGTCAGAACAGATCCTGTCAAGAGGGAGACTATGGAGTCAGAACAGAGACTCTATGGAGTCAGAACAGATCCTGTCAAGAGGGACACTATGGAGTCAGAACAGGGACACTATGGAGTCAGAACAGGGACTCTTCAGAGTCAGAACACGGACTCTAAGGAGTCAGAACTGGGACTCTATGGAGTCAGAACATGGACTCTGAGGAGTCAGAACAGAGACTCTTTGGAGTAAGAACAGGGACACTATGGAGTCAGAACACGGACTCTTCAGAGTCAGAACAGGGACTCTTTGGAGTCAGAACAGATACTGTCAGAACAGGGACTCTATGGAGTCAGAACAGATACTGTCAGAACAGGGACTGTATGGAGTCAGAACATGGACTCTATAGAGTCAGAACAGGGACTCTATGGAGTCAGAACAGATCCTGTCAAGAGGGAGACTATGGAGTCAGAACAGATCCTGTCAAGAGGGACACTATGGAGTCAGAACAGGGACACTATGGAGTCAGAACAGGGACTCTTCAGAGTCAGAACACGGACTCTAAGGAGTCAGAACTGGGACTCTATGGAGTCAGAACATGGACTCTGAGGAGTCAGAACAGAGACTCTTTGGAGTCAGAACAGGGACTCTTTGGAGTAAAAACAGGGACACTATGGAGTCAGAACAGGGACTCTATGGAGTCAGAACATGGATAATATGGAGTCAGAACAGATACTGTCAGAACAGGGACTCTATGGAGTCAGAACATGGACAATATGGAGTCAGAAAAGATACTGTCAGAACAGGGACTCTATGGAGTCAGAACAGATACTGTCAGAACAGGGACTCTATGGAGTCATAACAGGGACTCTATGGAGTCATAACAGATACTGTCAGAACAGGGACTCTGTGGAGTCAGAACAGATACTGTCAGAACAGGGACTCTATGGAGTCAGAACATGGACTCTATAGAGTCAGAACAGGGACTCTATAGAGTCAGAACAGGGACACTATGGAGTCAGAACAGATCCTGTCAAGAGGGACACTATGGAGTCAGAACAGAGACTCTATGGAGTCAGAACAGAGACTCTATGGAGTCAGAACAGAGACTCTTTGGAGTCAGAACAGGGACACTATGGAGTCAGAACAGGGACTCTATGGAGTCAGAACATGGACAATATGGAGTCAGAACAGATACTGTCAGAACAGGGACTCTATGGAGTCAGAACAGGGAGACTATGGAGTCAGAACAGATACTGTCAGAACAGGGACTCTATGGAGTCAGAACAGATACTGTCAGAACAGGGACTCTATGGAGTCAGAACAGGGACTCTATGGAGTCAGAACATGGACACTATGGAGTCAGAACAGATACTGTCAGAACAGGGACTGTATGGTGTCAGAACATGGACACTATGGAGTCAGAACAGATACTGTCAGAACAGGGACTCTATGGAGTCAGAACAGGGACTCTATGGAGTCAGAACATGGACAATATGGAGTCAGAACAGATACTGTCAGAACAGGGACTCTATGGAGTCAGAACATGGACAATATGGAGTCAGAAAAGACACTGTCAGAACAGGGACTCTATGGAGTCAGAACAGATACTGTCAGAACAGGGACTGTATGGAGTCAGAACATGGACACTATGGAGTCAGAACAGATACTGTCAGAACAGGGACTGTATGGAGTCAGAACAGGGACTCTATGGAGTCAGAACAGATACTGTCAGAACAGGGACTCTATGGAGTCAGAACAGATCCTGTCAAGAGGGACACTATGGAGTCAGAACAGAGACTCTATGGAGTCAGAACAGATCCTGTCAAGAGGGACAGGGACTGTATGGAGTCAGAACAGGGACCGTATGGAGTCAGAACAGGGACTCTTAAGGAGTCAGAACAGGGATTGTATGGAGTCAGAACAGAGACTCTATGGAGTCAGAACATGGACTCTAAGGAGTCAGAACAGGGACTGTATGGAGTCAGAACAGAGACTCTATGGAGTCAGAACAGATCCTGTCAAGAGGGACAGGGACTGTATGGAGTCAGAACAGGGACCGTATGGAGTCAGAACAGGGACTCTTAAGGAGTCAGAACAGGGATTGTATGGAGTCAGAACAGAGACTCTATGGAGTCAGAACATGGACTCTAAGGAGTCAGAACAGGGACTGTATGGAGTCAGAACAGAGACTCTATGGAGTCAGAACATTGACTCTAAGGAGTCAGAACAGAGACTGTATGGAGTCAGAACATGGACTTTATGGAGTTAGAACAGAGACTTTATGGAGTCAGAACAGGGACTCTATGGAGTCAGAACATGGACAATATGGAGTCAGAAAAGACACTGTCAGAACAGGGACTCTATGGAGTCAGAACAGATACTGTTAGAACAGGGACTGTATGGAGTCAGAACAGAGACTCTATGGAGTCAGAACAGGGACTCACATTTCTCGACTGATCTTTTCTTCTAAATGCTGAACAACAGAATCAGAGATGAAGACACTGCTGGTGTCTAAGAGTGATTATTTTTCCTTTAAGATATAACACTAGAATTCAATAATTGATCATACAAATTCCTTCTTCCTGTAGACCAACCCCACGTATCTGGCCAAGCTCATCTTCCAGATGCCGCAGAATAAATCCACCAAGTTTATGGACTCTGTGATCTTCACGCTGTATAACTACGCCTCCAACCAGAGAGAGGAGTATTTGCTGCTCAAGCTGTTTAAGACCGCCCTGCAGGAGGAGATCAAGTGAGAAACAGGCTCCAATCATTTATAATGTCCTCAGTAATCAGCTGAGGCCGGGGTAACATCTTTCACTTCTGTCCAAAGGTCAAAGGTGGACCAGATGAAGGAAATCGTCACAGGTAACCCCACCGTCATTAAGATGGTGGTGAGTTTCCACCGAGGAGCTAGAGGACAGAATGCTCTCAGACAGATCCTCGCTCCTGTTGTCAAGGAGATCATGGACGACAAAACGCTGAACATTAAGACGGACCCGGTGGACATTTACAAGAGCTGGGTGAACCAGATGGAGACGCAGACCGGAGAGGCCAGGTGAGTTCAGATTTACCTGCTCTGTACGAGATCTTCTCCTCTTCTTTGTTTTCATGAACTCCTCAGACATGATTTTTTTCAACAGTCAGATGTGTGTCAGGACAGGAATTATTAAACATCATTGAACTGATACGTCATTTTGACCTGTCTCACCTGGTGTTTGTGACCTGTCTCACCTGGTATTTGTTACCTGTCTCACCTGGTATTTGTTACCTGTCTCACCTGGTATTTGTTACCTGTCTCACCTGGTATTTGTGACCTGTCTCACCTGGTGTTTGTGACCTGTCTCACCTGGTGTTTGTTACCTGTCTCACCTGGTGTTTGTGACCTGTCTCACCTGGTGTTTGTTACCTGTCTCACCTGGTGTTTGTGACCTGTCTCACCTAGTGTTTGTTACCTATCTCACCTGGTATTTGTTACCTGTCTCACCTGGTATTTGTGACCTGTCTCACCTGGTCTTTGTGACCTGTCTCACCTGTTCTTTATGACCTGTCTCACTTGGTATTTGTGACCTGTCTCACCTGGTCTTCATCCTCTTTTCTTTAGTAAGCTACCGTATGACGTAACACCTGAGCAGGCGATGACCCACGAGGAGGTGAGGACCCGACTGGAAGCGTCCATCAAGAACATGAAGACAATTACAGACAAGTTCCTGTCCGCCATCATCATTTCTGTAGACAAAATCCCGTAAGTCCTCCAATCACAGCCTGTATGTCTGTCTGACTGGGAGAGACAGACAGACAGACAGACAGACAGACACACTCACACACACACACACACACACACACACACACACACACACACAGACACACTGACACACACACACTCACACACACACACACACACAGAGGTGAAATGCTGTCAGTTTTTGTCTTTCAGGTACGGGATGCGTTTCGTCTCGAAGGTTTTGAAGGATTCTCTTCATGAGAAGTTTCCAGATGCTACAGAGGACGAGCTGCTGAAGGTCTGGATGTTTGTGGATTGGTCTTATGAAACCAGCAATCTTCAGTGTAAACACTAACCCCCACTAAGCACCTTGACTTAACCCTAACCTGAGCATGCAGACACTGAGAGGATGTCAGAACAGCTGAGCTCAGATTCAGATTGAAATAGATTCAGACATGTTGGACGTCCTTGTCCCTCTGAAGACACTTTACAGTCAAACTCAGAGAACCGCTCCTTTAATGCTCTGCTTCTCTGGGGTCGGGTATCCTTTATGGTTTTTAGATAGCGGTGCTCAATAGATGATTTTCAAACAAGAAGACCTCTTTAAATTCTGATGAGCTTGTAGCTGAATGTGACAGAGAGCATCTCTTTTCTTTGTTTGATAATTTAAAGAGATTTTACTTATTTCAAAACTTCAACTGCTCATGAGCATAAAATCATTCTAAGAGCTCATACCAGATGTTCTGATAAGCCGGTGTGTGTACTCGTATGTTTCCTTCTCTTTAGCAGCTTTAGCAGCGCTTTAGGAGTGCCTTATCAGCGCCTTAGCAGCCCTTTAGCAGAGCCGTAGGAGCGCTTCAGCAGCGCTTTAGGAGCGCCTTAGCAGCGCTGTAGGAGCGCGTTAGCAGCGTCTTAGCAGCGCCTTAGCAGCGACGTAGGAGCGACGTAGGAGCGACGTAGGAGCGACGTAGGAGCGCTTTAGCAGCATTTTAGCAACACTGTAGGGAGTTTCATCACTTTCAGCCGCCTCTTTGACCACCAATCCCTCACCACAGCCCGCTTACTTTGATCATCTTGATCTTTTTCATGCTCTGTTTCTTAAACTGTCTTTTCTTGTTCTCTTTCTGTTCTTCCTTGTTTCTCTCTGTCCAATCAGCTGCAGCCTCTCTGTCAGCGCGCCGTCCTTCTCTGTCTACTGACATAAAGGCGAGTCACGCCGCTCTTCATCCTCTCCTCCTCTTCCTCCACAACCTGCCGAGTTCCAGAGCTTCTCCTCCTGCAGCAAAAACACATTCATGAAAACTCTTCTCCAGAAGACGTGTGAATGATGTTTGTATTGTTTGATTATGAAAGCACAGAATCACCCTTTAATGTAAACTGGCTCGCTGATATTCCTTCAGATCGTGGGGAACCTGCTCTATTATCGCTATATGAACCCTGCCATCGTGGCGCCCGACGCCTTCGACATCATTGAAGTTTCGGCAGGCGGTCAGCTGACCACCGAACAGAGAAGAAATCTGGGCTCAGTCGCTAAGATGCTGCAGCATGCCGCCTCCAACAAGATGTTTTTGGGAGACAACGCACACCTGAACCCCATCAACGAGTACCTGAGCGCCTCCTACCTGAAGTTCAGGTGAGACGACCTTCAAGTGATCAAACAGGAAGTTCAAGAGAGATATTTTAATGACCAGTCCAACTCCCCGTCTTCATCGTCTCCATCTTGTTTATCTCAGGCGGTTCTTCCTGGCAGCATGTGACGTCCCGTCCCTGGAGGAGAAGTTTAACGTGGATCAATACTCCGACCTCGTCACCGTCACCAAACCCGTCATCTACATCTCCATTGGAGAAATCATCAACACTCACACGGTCTGACATGTGATCATTTTAATTATCAATAATTCAAACTCTATATCTATACTCATCATGACAACATGTTTTTAGTCTCTATATTCAGACTGACTCTCTTCTCTACACACTCTATATCTGTACTCATCATGACAACATGTTTTTAGTCTCTATATTCAGACTGACTCTCTTCTCTACAAACTCTATATCTATATTCATCATGACAACATGTTTTAGTCTCTATATTCAGACTGACTCTGCTCTACAAACTCTATATCTATACTCATCATGACAACATGTTTTTAGTCTCTATATTCAGACTGACTCTCTGCTCTACAAACTATATCTATACTCATCTTGACAACATGTTTTTAGTCTCTATATTTAATATATGTGAACATATATTTCCACATTATTTGAAATATTTTCTCTCTGGCGTTTCGTGTAGCTGCTGTTGGATCATCAGGACGCCATAGCTCCAGAACACAACGACCCGGTTCACGAGCTGCTGGAGGACCTGGGCGAGGTTCCCACAGTCGAGTCTCTGATTGGTAGGTCGGACAAGTATTAACTTTAATGTTAAAACTAAATAAATGCATATGGTTGTGTTTATTGTTTGAACGGATTTATTGAAATGGTACAAAAAGGTCCGATATCTTAACTACAGCGACTTTAAATGTAGTCCGAGATCAACTTGTCGAAGGCCTTTGATTCGTTATTTATCTAACAGAAAAACTTCAGATATATAGACTTTATTTGTACCTGTAGGTAGATTTGTTTGCAGCCAGTAAGATGGACATCCATCATGACACACAGATAACAAGACAAATGCAACAATGAACAACACATAAAAAAGGAGACCTGTTGCTGCTACTTTCATGCCCCTGATTGATTACAGAGATGTTTTATATAGGCATGCATCATCTCAGTGCCTAAAATCTTTGGATACTGTCTATCATGGTGCGTTGAGATTTATAACTAATCTCAGGGCTCTGACTCATCATTCTACTCTGTATAATTGAGTCTGCTGGCCTGCATTGTCTCAGCGTAGACTAACTCATTAGCATGTCCTTATTTATAAGGCTTTACTGAACCTGCTTCCCCTCAAACATGTGTAAGTGTACTCATGTGAAGTGCTGTTAGCCACATTCTCTGTGACTCAGTCACAAACCTATTGTTGTTATCTGTTCAAAAGAAGTGTCAGGTTCTCTGCTGGTTTAAAAGTAGATTGGAGGTGCTGGAGGAAGATGCTTTAGATGCTTTGAAGAATGACTTTCTGCTCTGTGACTCAGGATCTGTTGATCTGTGTTTAATGTCTCAGTCAGGACTCTCTTATACATGAGATTCTTCATCTCAAAGACCTTCTCCTGAGAGTCTGTTTCTGATAGTTTTTCTGAAATGTCTCAGATTGAAGTGTTTAAACCAGCTGTGATTTACTCTCATAAAGTCATTATAAACTTGGATCACCTGTCTGATTTTTACCTGTGTGTATCTGTCCAGGTGAGAATCCTCTTCCTCCCAACGATCCAAACAAAGAGCTGATGGGAAAAACCGAAGTTTCCCTCACACTCACCAACAAGTTTGATGTTCCTGGTGAGGCCAACGTTGAGACGGACGCCAAGACGCTTCTGCTCAAGTCAGTTTGAATGGAGAATAATTCCATGTGAAAACAAGGCGTATGTCTTCTTTATTATTTTAATCATTTTAATTACATTTTTGTCTTCAGCACAAAGAGGCTCATCGTGGATGTGATCCGCTTCCAACCTGGAGAGACTCTGACCGAGATCCTGGACTCCAGTGCGAGCACCGAACAGGTCAAAACTAGATTTAATGAAACTTGACTGACAAATGAGAGTCAATCAGAGAGAGACACCAGACCAGAGACCAGACTCTAGAGACCAGACCAGACCAGACCAGACCAGAGTCAGAGACCAAAGTCAGAGACCAGAGTCAGAGACCAGAGACCAGACCAAAGTCAGAGACCGGAGTCAGAGACCAGAGACTAGAGACCAGACCAAAGTCAGAGACCAGAGACCAGAGTCAGAGACCAGACCAAAGTCAGAGACCAGAGACCAGAGTCAGAGACCAGATCAAAGTCAGAGACCAGAGGCCAAACCAAAGTCAGAGACCAGACTCCAGAGACCAGACTCCAGAGACCAGAGACCAGACTCCAGAGACCAGACTCCAGAGACCAGAGTCAGAGACCACACCAAAGTCAGAGACCAGAGTCAGATACCACAGTCAGAGACCAGAGTCAGATACCACAGTCAGAGACCAGAGGCCAAACCAAAGTCAGAGACAAGACTCCAGAGACCAGACCAAAGTCAGAGACCAGAGTCAGGTACCAAGTCAGAGACCAGAGACCTAGAGTCAGAGACCAGACCAAAGTCAGAGACCAGAGTCAGATACCACAGTCAGAGACCAGAGACCAAATCTAAATCAGAGACCAGAGACCAGAGTCAGAGACCAGACACCAGAGACCAGAGACCAGACTAAAGTCAGAGACCAGAGACCAGACCAAAGTCAGAGACCAAGGTCAGAGATGAGACCAAAGTCAGAGACCAGAGACCAGAGTCAGAGACTAGAGACTAGAGACTAGAGACTAGAGACTAGAGACTAGAGACCAGACCAGAGTCAGATACCAGAGCCACAGCCAGAGACCAGAGCCAGAGACCAGAGCCAGAGACCAGAGTCAGAGACCAGACTCCAGAGACCAGAGACATCTTGTTTTGTTTACAAACAGGAAGCAGAGTACCAGAGGGCGATGCAGAGGAGGGCCATCAGAGACGCGAAGACTCCCGAGAAGATGAAGCAGGTGAATCCGGTAGTGGACGACAGTCTGACCCTCCAGGGAAAGAAAGACAAGATCCGGAGCAACCTGCAGAGACTGGCCGAGCTGGGAAAAGTCCACCCCCAGAACCGCTACCAGGACCTAATCAACGACATCGCTAAGGTCAGAAATCCCTGGTTCCTGTCTGAGGCCATGTTTACATGAGACTGAGTCCTTTTTTCTGAGTGTTTTCAAAAAGTGTCTGCATTCAGGCATCTTGATAACAACCACTTGAAAGCCGCTCACACCACTATCAAGGGTGTACTAAACATGCCAGGCCAATGGTTGGTGCTGTGACTTTGTAATGAAACAAGACATGCATGCTGGTTTACTCTTCCTTCTACAGAGCGGTGAGGTGTTAACATGACTCATCACCTTTAGGCTGCCCCTCATCAGCGTGTTGGTGGGTTCAGGACCCTTACAGAGCGGTGAGGTGTTAACATGACTCATCACCTTTAGGCTGCCCCTCATCAGTGTGTTGGTAGGTTCAGGACCCTTACAGAGCGGTGTGGTGTTAACATGACTCATCACCTTTAGGCTGCCCCTCATCAGTGTGTTGGTGGGTTCAGGACCCTTACAGAGCGGTGTGGTGTTAACATGACTCATCACCTTTAGGCTGCCCCTCATCAGCGTGTTGGTGGGTTCAGGACCCTTACAGAGCGGTGTGGTGTTAACATGACTCATCACCTTTAAGCTTCCCCTCATCAGCGTGTTGGTGGGTTCAGGACTTCTACAGAGCGGTGAGGTGTTAACATGACTCATCACCTTTAAGCTTCCCCTCATCAGCGTGTTGGTGGGTTCAGGACTTCTACAGAGCGGTGAGGTGTTAACATGACTCATCACCTTTAAGCTTCCCCTGATCAGCATGTTGGTGGGTTCAGGACTTCTACAGAGCGGTGAGGTGTTAACATGACTCATCACCTTTAAGCTTCCCCTCATCAGCGTGTTGGTGGGTTCAGGATCAGTAAAGCATCTCTGCCTGACAGTGACTCTGTCGATCCATTTAACAGAGTGAGTGGCACAAACAGTACTCAGGAGTCGGCCATTGTTGTTGTAGTCCACCTACTCACTCATGGTAATTGACTAGAGCTGTACTGAGCATGTGGAAAAAGTCTCTTTTTTCAGATTATCTACGTTATCAGATTACACGACGACGGAAACACTGTCGTTTTTAATAGTTTTTGTTTTCAGTTTTCGTGTAAACGAACAAAACACAGCGAGACGTTCCCGTATACAGCTGAAATCATGGTCGTGTAAACGTGACCTGAGAGGACAAATCAACAGGAGGTTCAAAACTGAAGTTCAAATGTTTGCATAGAATCTAACAGTTTCCTCACTTTGATGCCTTATTGTGTTTCAGGACATCAGAAATCAGAGACGTTACCGTCAGCGGCGGAAAGCCGAGCTGGTCCGGCTCCAGCAGACAAATGCTGCCCTCAACTCAAAAACCAACTTCTTCAACGTTCAAATCGACTCCTACAACCAGTATATCAAAACCTGCATGGACAACCTGGCCAGCAAGGGCAAGTACGTGAGACAACCTTGTGGATGTTGAGGACTCCTGTAAATAGTTTCTTGGAAACATTGTACAGCACTTTGGTCAGCTGTCTTTAAATGTGATTTATAAAATAAGGTGACTCTTTACTCAGCAGCCTCTACCATCAGGGTGTGAATGTGTGTGAATGGATGAGTTAATACTGATGGACTCTTTACTCAGCGGCCTCTACCATCAACGTGTGAATGTGTGTGAATGGATGAGTTAATACTGATGGACTCTTTACACAGCAGCCTCTACCATCAGTGTGTGAATGTGTAGGTGTGACCTGCACTGTAAAAGCACTTCATTTAAAGCAGTCCATTTACCATTTAGCCTAAACAAACGACCTGCGAAACCCAAACACCCACTGGGGTCCTGATTGCTGTGTTGCTGTGTTGCCATACTGTACACTGTGTGTGTGTGTGTGTGTGTGTCCTCAGGTTGTCAAAGAAACCCGACAACAAGGCGAAGAAGAGTAAACAGGTGTCTCAGAAGTACACGGCCTCTCGGCTGCACGAGAAAGGCGTCCTGATCGCCATCGAAGACCTGCAGCCCAACCAGTGAGTTACTGTTATTATTATTATTATGATTATTATTTATAGCCTCACTCTGGCAGGTGCAGGAAATGGTGAAATAAAGTTTAGCACTTGATAGATTTATACATATATTTACATATAGTTTATATGTTATCACATTTACAAATGTTTGGGCCTATTGAGAAGAGGGGTCATCATATGGGGGGTTTGTCCAGCAGAGAGCGCTCTGGCTCCATACTCTACACTCAGCACTGTGTGCAGCACATAAAGCAGAGCATCACTCATCAGTCTCAGAGATAAAGTAGGAGTCTGATACAGGTGAGGAAAGTGAGGTCAGGAAAGGTGAGCCGAGGTGAGGAAGGCAAGGTCAGGAAAGGTGAGGTCAGGAAAGGTGAGCCGAGGTGAGGAAGGCAAGGTCAGGAAAGGTGAGGTCAGGAAAGGTGAGGTGAGGTGAGGTCAATGTTTCCTGTTTGACTCAGCGTTTGAAGATTTATTTATTATTATTTATTATATATTTATTTATTTGTTAGGGACAGTGCATATTAATGAACAGCTGTAACAATTACAGCTGTAAAAATGCCAGATTATAGCAGAAGTGCTAGTTTCCATATGTTGTCCCTAGGCAGGTAACAGAGAAAGACAAATTACAAATAAAATACAAATACAAAGGCACAAGTGACATAAGACAATAATAGAGGTTAAAGGTTGAAAGTGGTCACAGACTTGGTTTTCTTTTATCCACTGTTTGAGGTGTGTTTTGAAGGTTGCATATGTGTAAGTCTCTTATTGTGAGTGGGAGAATATTCCAATATTTAGTTCCTTTGACTGACAGAACAGTTTGTCTGAATGTAGTGTGTCTGTATGGGACCTCACAGTCTCCTCGGGCTGTGGCCCTGGTGCTGATCCCACTGGCAGACTTCAGCTTTATAACGTCCTTCAAAGGAGGAGGAGCAAGTCCGTGCAAAATTTTATATATAAAACATGCATTTTTAAAATGAACAAAATTATGAAAATGTAGCAAATTATGTTTATCTAAAACAGTGCAATGGTGAAACGAAAATGGCTTTTTGTCAAAGATTTTTATGGCCTTTTTAAAAAAGAGATTGTATTGGTTTAAATGTTGTGCCAGCAGAAAGTGACCATGTGGTTATACAGTATTCAATATGTGAAAAAGTCATCGAGTGTAAAAACATTCGAGCAGCATTGACAGTTATTAAGGATCTTACCTGTCTAAAATTGTTTATATTAAAATTTACCGTCTTTGTTAATTGTTTGATGTGTTTTTTAAATGTTAATGTTGGGTCCAATGTTAGGCCTAAATATTTAAACTCATTAGCTAGGGTTAGGGTTAGACTAAGCTCTACACCTTCCAGGTAAACGTCGGACTGCTGAAGGCTGGTTGGCTGTTTAGTGAACATCATGCAGACTGTTTTCTTTGCGTTTAATTGAAGACATGAATCTTTGACCCAGCTTTGCACTTGAGTCATGGCTGGTTTTATCTTATTCTGACAGAATCGGTTCTGCTGCATCTGAACCAGTCTCCACGATTTAATCCAAGCACAATCACGATCACAAAGATTCACCAACTGATTGAACATTTGTCATCCCTGCTCCCAGCATCCCGCTGTATTTTCTGTTTTACTGATCGTGATGCATCAAATTGCTGGCCGCACTTTGGCCTTTTGATTGACACCTCATTTGGCCAATCAAGACCTTCCATTAACTGTCTCTCCCCCCCCCCCAGCCTTTAATATCCAATGAGAGCCTGAGTTGACAGGAGGTGCCGCCCCCTGTTCTGACAGCCAATTACAGGCGACTGTTCTGATTACTGACATTTGTCCTTCAAATATTCAGTTTATAAAAACTGTATTTTTATTTTTTTTATTTCTGACTGTTGAAGAACTTTGTAACTCTCATCTCACTTGATGAATGAAATTCATATTTTTTCTCTTTTGCAGGTTTAAAAACGTGATTTTTGAGATTTCGCCGTCAGAGGCTGTGGGAGTGTTCGATGTGAAGGCCAAGCTGATGGGCGTCCACCTGGAGACGCTGCAGCTGGAGTATCAGGTACCATGTTATTTCTATGAATATGATTTGATTCTAGAGGCTGAGAGTGCTGTCAGAGCTGTCTCTATGAATAAATACATGATGTATAAATGAGTCTGACTTCCTGTTTCCTGTGATTCAGGACCTCCTGCAGCTGCAGTACGAAGGCGTTGCTGTGATGAAGCTCTTCGATCGAGCGACCATCAACGTCAACCTGCTCATTTTTCTGCTCAACAAAAAGTTTTATGGCAAATAAAGAAGAAAAGGTGCTTCATGTGTAACGCATTAAGTCATATTAGTACGTGTGATAAAGTCCTGAACATGTTCTGCACTTCTCCTTCTATGCAAACCTCTTTAGTGCTGTTTCTTAAAGGAGCAGAGAACAGCTGATTCTTCTTCTGTCTGTAGCTTCTCAACATCTCATGAGCTCCAACATAAACACATGCTGCACCAACTTCCTGTTTGGTGTCTTTCTTCATCATTTCTCTGATCCAGCTGAAAGTAGATTATTCATGTTTTTATTAAATATAACAATAAATACAATCTTCATAAACGTCTCAACATCTGTAAACATCAATTATTAATTAATTATCTCTCCCCACCCCTCCCCTCCCCCACCCTTTCATGCTATGGATCCAGTCTCTGGGTTAACTGGTTAGGTTTCATGTTTACAGTCTATGGGTACTGGGTTAACTGGTTAGGTTTCATGTTTACAGTCTATGGGTACTGGTTTATTTAAGATCCTAAGTAAAGAGTACTAAATTGCGTGTTCACCCCAAAAATTGCACATTTGGTTAGTGGGCGTTTTGCGGGTGATCTACTAAGAAATTTGCGTAAATGACAACAGGTTCAAACCTTGTGGAGGCGGTAGTATTTCAGTTAGGCTTTTGCCTAAAGCCCAATTCACACATACTCCGTGCGCGCCGCGGTCCGTCAGCGCCGCGCACTACGTTGTACTTAGATTCCACTCTAGTCAATCATTGTGTTCACACAGCGCGCGCTGCGGTCCATCTCCGGCGCTCTGCTCCGTTTCAAATACGCAGAGAGTCTATTTTCACCGGAGCGCGCTGCTAGTTCGCGTCAAGCTAGACAGAATATGACAGCCCGGACAGGAAGTCAGACAAGGAAACGCACAGAGCATCCGGTCAACTTCAAAATAAAACAATATACGGACTCGTGATCGTATTTTTCATCACTTTATCAACATTACGTCAAAACAGGAACCGAATTAACAACAATGCATCTTCAGAAAGACAAAGCAACATGTTGTTTTAATGTTTTTCTCTTTATTCCCGCGGGATCTTGTAGTTCTCCTGTGATGTGTCATGGGTGCGCTCCGCTGCGCTGACGTCCCAGAAACGGATCCAGTGTGAATGGGCGCGAGCCGTCCGATAGAACGAAACCGTGGCGCTGACGGACCGCGGCGCGCTCGGAGTATGTGTGAGTTGCGGGTTCGAGTTTGGACGGAAAGCAGGATGACTGCAAGCGCAAAATAGGTATCAGTTGAAGAGGCAAACTTATTTCGAGTTATAGCAGATAAAACTGAATATGTAAAAAAAACATTTGGATTATAAGAAAACCTCGTTATTAAACAGGGCCTCTCTTTTCTGCCCTCCATCTTTTGAAGATAAATTGTCATACATTGTGCATGAGGTGTGAGCTGTGAGCTGTGTCCTCTGTGGCGCTCAGGTGTGACACTCGGGTTGAGCAACAGACAGCTGGCCAGCGCTGTCAGACAGAAATGCTATGGAGAGAGGTATCGAAGACGGGGGTACAAACAGTGGTGAGGTCCCCCAATCAAAGCGTCCTACAGAGTAGCAGCAGCTTTAGAGGGAGGAGACGAGCGCATTATGGAGAGGAGCGCACCAGAGGGGGCGAGCTGGGGGAGAGAGGCGCAACCCGAGAAAAAGGAAATCCCAGTTTAAAATATAATGTTGGTGAAAAGAGGGAAATAGGAAGACATAAATGTCAATGTTGAAATTCTATAGAATGCAGAGGCTGTGAATGTTCAGTTTTGTTTAAATAGGCAACAATATAGTTTAATCATGGTGTTTCCTGCTGTCATTCCAAACATATTAACATGTGTGGGGAATAAAGCGATCTGTATGTCTTCTTTTGTTGCGCTTATGTCTCCTCCTAACTTCAATAACAGCAGTCTGTTGTGTGTAACACTGGTCTCCTGGGTTAGCACGTTCTTTTCAAAGGTGTTAAACTCAGACACCGTCACAATCATCTCAGTCTTTTTGTCCACTTGGTAAATCACAATGCGTGTACTAACTTAACTTGTTTGCATTTTCTCCTCCCAGTATTTTGTACCCTAGGGCAGAAACGCCCCATATTGAATATTCATTAAGTCAAACATACTAAATGGTCAATGCGTGTTGTTTTGCTCATATGAAAGATTCAGTCCTCACTGCGCGCTGTTAGTAGATCAGATAACACTTCTTTTTTTTATGGGTGGTATCAAGTTTGCACACGTTTTAAGACACGCAAACCTTTAGTAAATCAGGCCTGTGGGAACGAGCCGTTGTGGCGGCGCCTGGTGGACAGAGGGAGTCATTCTCTCCTGCCTCGGCAGTGAAAGCTGCGGATCCGGACCTGCGGACGGACGCTGCTCCCTCTCGGTGGACGAGCTGCTGTCGGCTTTCTTCGTTCATCTTCGTGGATTAATTTTGATGAAAACCTGCGGATTTAATCTCGCCTCAATTGAGGATACCTGCGCTTTACGGAGCAAGCTCGTGAGTTTATATTGAGGACAGTTCAGAGGAGAAACACCTGAGAGCTGTGCTAACGTTAGCATTCAGCTAAAAGGGCTAACGTCTGAATATGACCCTAAAAAACGTATTTTTTTATTAGCATCTTTATAAAGTCTTAACAAACTTTTCATAAAGTCGTTGGAACTTTTTATGAACTCGTTTTTACGTCTTTATAAACTCTGTATTAAATACACCCCGGCTGTCAAAGTGCTCTGAGTGTCACTGACAGCAGCTAAGCTAACTTAGCTAGCTGCAGCTGTTACCCTCTAATGCTCTGTTAGCATGACAGCTAGCATCATGTTAACATTCAAACAAGTGGTTTCCAGTAAATGTGTCAATATTAAGTTATATTTAAGAGTTAACTCCACACAATCAGCTCAGCTTTCATCAAAACTATCAGAGAGAACTTTTTAAATGCACTCTTTTATTTATTCCGAGTTTTATTCACAATAACAACACTTTTATTACCGCAGCTTTACCGTTAGCATAGCCTCATTAGCCCGAAGCTCTGCTTACTGTGTGTGTGTGTGTGTGTGTGTGTGTGTGTGTGTGTGTGTGTGTGTGTGTGTGTGTGTGTGTGTGTGTGTGTGTGTGTGTGTGTGTGTTTTCACAGACAGTCTGACACACACTCTCCAGCTCCTCCATCACTTTTATTCACTACTTGAACAATCAGCGGCTCCAACATGGCCGGCTCCCCGGGAACAGGAGGCTCCAACCCCCGCAAGTTCAGCGAGAAGATCGCGCTGCACAACCAGAAACAGGCGGAGGAAACCCGGGCCTTTGAGCAGCTGATGACTGACCTCACTGTGTCCAGGGTAAATATACACTTTATTCAAAAATACCTTAATCATTCATGATATACACTTTATTAAAGAATACCTTAAAAATTCATTATATATGCTTTATTAAAGAATACCTTAATCATTCATGATATACACTTTATTAAAGAATACCTTAATCATTCATTATATACACTTTATTAAAGAACACCTTAATCATTCATTATATACACTTTATTAAAGAACACCTTAATCATTCATTATAGACACTTTATTAAATAACACCTTAATCATTCATTATATACACTTTATTAAAGAACACCTTAATCATTCATTATATACACTTTATTAAAGAACACCTTAATCATTCATTATATACACTTTATTAAAGAACACCTTAATCATTCATTATACACTTTATTAAAGAACACCTTAATCATTCATTATATACACTTTATTAAAGAACACCTTAATCATTCATTATATACACTTTATGAAAGAACACCTTAATCATTCATTATATACACTTTATTAAAGAACACCTTAATCATTCATTATATAAACTTTATTAAAGAACACCTTAATCATTCATTATACACTTTATTAAAGAACACCTTAATCACTCATTATATACACTTTATTAAAGAACACCTTAATCATTCATTATATGTACTTTATTAAAGAACACCTTAATCATTCATTATATACACTTTATTAAAGAACACCTTAATCATTCATTATACACACTTTATTAAAGAACACCTTAATCATTCATTATATACACTTTATTAAAGAATACCTTAATCATTCATTATATATACTTTATTAAAGAATACCTTAATCATTCATTATATACACTTTATTAAAGAACACCTTAATCATTCATTATATACACTTTATTAAAGAACACCTTAATCATTCATTATATACACTTTATTAAGCCCTAACTATACGTCATATATTCATTATATACTGTCTCTATAGAGAGTAACTATACTTCAGGAGGGTAAGGGTTAACCCCTACAGGTCCAGAACTTCCTGTGTTATTTTGTCCTGCTTTCTGTCTGACAGGTTCAGTTCCAGAAGATCCAACAGCTTCGTCTTACTCAGTCGAGGGCGCCGTACTATGGAGGCTCTCTGCCCAATGTGAACCAGATCAGCAACAGCAGCAGTGACTTTCAGGTGAGGCATCTTCAGGGTAACAGCTGATTTAAAGCAACATATATCATTCATATAATGAATGATTAAGGTGTCCTTTAATAAAGTGTATATAATGAATGATTATGGTATTCTTTAAAGGTCTCATATTATGCTTTTTCTGGTTTTATATGCTCTTTAGTGTGTTTTCCAAGTGTCTGATTTACAGACTGATTTAAGTGACTGATTTAAAGCTGCGGTGACAGTCAGGCGAGGCGTCGTCAGGGTAACAGCTGATTTAAACACAAGCCTTGATGAAACAAAAGCATGAACAATCATCTCCAGCTCGGCTCTGGACACAACAGGTCTGAGTTTCGCTATATTCCTTAGATGACATAAGGATGTGCAGACCAAACTGTTCACATGCTGGTCTAAAGATAGGTAGATTTTCCGTTTGGCGAGTACTTTTCAGAGGGCTATCTGCCACAGGGCGGGTAAATGTTTTATCAAAAAGTCATGAAAAACAATTTTGAGTATTAAGCACATTTGATGTAGCCTAGCTGCAGCTACTTTTCCCTGCTCCTCTCTCTGCTGTCATGACTGTCAGTGAACATCACGGGGCACACTGAGACACACCAACATACATTGCAGCGAAAACGCACGCACACACGCCGTTTACTTCTGCCTACAGATAATACATTAAGGGCGCGGTCACACTGGCCATCCGTACCGTGCTGTACCCAAGCACGGTTGCCCCCCCGCAGCGCCATTCCCCCGCTGGCCGCTGGCATGGACTTACCGTGCCTAAGCATGATTACCTCTTGTACATAACGTCGTAATACAATACATGCACGCTTTATGTTATTATGAAGCGTGCTCAGTTTACAAACAAGCGGACGAGAGAGAGAGAGAGAGAGAGAGAAAAAGAGACGCGCAGTCGATTCCGCGTCTGCACATCAGAGAAAAACACAGAGAGCATGACAGCTACTTTACTGACTTTGCAGCTTATTTTAAGCCATTTTAATCAGACACAGCAATAAATAAATTTAAAAAATCAAATAGACGCGCAGAGTCCGCGCGGACGCCCGCACATCAGAGAACAACACAGAGCATGACAGCTACTATGTGGCTTATATTGTGTCATTTTAGTCAGATACAGCCAGGAAACTCTGGATTTCTCCTTAATGAAGGCTGTCAGCGTTGTGCACCCGCGTGCTTGTGCTCGTGCATGAAGTGTACCATGCCGAAGCACACCTCTCTGAAGTGTGCTAAAGCCAAGGAAGTGTACCGTGCCTGAGCACGATACGGAGCGGTCACACTGGTCAAACGAACTGGGCTTTAGCGTTGAAACGTGCTTGGGCACGGTACGGATGGCCAGTGTGACCGTGCCCTAAGAAAAAAATAAAGGCCAGCAAATATATTTTTTTACAATTTCCTTATCTGATGACATGATTGAATCTATGACTTAAATTTGTTATTGATTAAACAAAACATAATGCCTTCTCAATTAAATGTACTGTAACAGATGTGTATAGGACACAAAAACAAAATTTGTTATTTTGGCCGGTGAATTTTTTCATATACCTGCCACCTTGGCCGCTGAGTCAAAAAGTTAATTTCGGACTGTGCGTACAACTGAATGTCATCTGCATAACAATGATAGGACACATCTTTAAAAGTTCTTATAAGATGCCCCAGAGAGAGCAGGTACAACAAAAACAACAGAGGGCCCAAAACAGACCCTTTGAGGAACACCACAACAGGCTAGTGGGGAATCCAACGGTGAAAACTCTGTGTTGTCTGTAGTTAATAAGGACAGGTGAAAACGACCTGAGAAAGACAATATGTTTACAGACGATGTTTCCAAGTATAATTTACATAACGTCACACAGCAGCACAAACAGCTACATTACGGCTCCCGCTTCCTTATGCAGCGGTCTTTGACGTAACATCTGGTGTTTCCTTTCCCTCCTACACTTCATAAGTGTAGGAAGGAAAGTCCTCATAAGACTGCAAACCTTACAAACCCAGTCATCATCTTAGACTGTAAACTTTACAAACATGACTGTAAACTTTACAAACGTAGTCATCATCTTAGACTGTAAACTTTACAAACATGACTGTAAACTTAACTAACCCAGTCATCATATGATTGTAAACTTTACAAACATGACTGTAAACTTCGCTAACCCAGTCATCATATGACTGTAAACCTTATAAACATGACTGTAAACTTTACTAACCCAGTCATCATATGACTGTAAACTTTACAAACATGACTGTAAACTTTACAAATATGACTGTACACTTTGCTTACCCAGTTAGAATATGGCTGTAAACTTTACAAACCCAGTCATCATTTTAGACTGTAAACTTTACAAACCCAGTCATCATCTTAGACTGTAAACTTTACAAACCCAGTCATCATTTTAGACTGTAAACTTTTTTAACTTATTTTTTATTTAGTACACAGATAAAACATACAACTTCAGGAGATGCTTTTCAGTTACACTTGTCCATTTTCTCATGAAATCCTAACATGTCATTTTACCAAACAACTACACACACCCTTTCCTTCATACCTACATTAGATAGACATAAACTTACATACATGCATATAACCAGAGCCTTCCCTAACCATTTTGGTGCCCTAGGCAAGATTTCAGCGGTTGCCCCTTAAATTGCAGCCAGTTTGACCATTAATCACAATATTCATACACTTAAAGAAAACTGGCATACATCTTTATATTTAGCATAATTTCTTTATTTAAAACAAAAAATACTTCTAAAAAAACTTGAATATTATGGTAATAACACTAATATTTCTTATGAATAAATGCAAATAACTAGTGTAACAGAACAAACAATACCATACAGTGCAGGGAGCAGAAGTGGTCCCAGACGGCCGGGGTATGGCAGGGGATGGATTTAAATGTTTTATGATTGCATCTGGAGAGAGAAGAGGAGCATTTGTGAAACAATCTGCATTTTATAATATAGTGTGAAAACAAAATATTATTTTCTTTTCAGAGCAGAAACAGAAACCTCATACAGCATAGTTTTTTAGGTGAGCCCAAATGTTTTCCTTACAGCCAGACCTACAGCATGCACAACTATCTATTCAGTGAGGCTCTTAGACATAAAATGCTCTAAAGGAAAGGGCTTAAAACTATTAACAACAGGAGGAGGAAAATAAACATTTAAATCGACTAAGGTGAAAGCTAACTAAGTTCACAAAGATGTCAAAAAATATATAAGTAGGTTTTGTGTCCAACAACATAAGAAGAAAATAAGAAGTGTATTTCTTACACTGATTATTTTCTTAAAAAGAATAATCTTTATCTAATGAAAGTACAGTGGAACTAACAGATGTTAACTCAAGCTACTGATCAGGAATTAGTAAACACTGACGTCCATCCATAACAAGCTAGCTTAACTACAGCAGATAAATAAGTGATCCATGCAGCACTTTACCTCTGTGTCTGTTTCATATTATTTATCCTCCTCTTCTTTTTCGTCCCTGGGTTCCCAAGGGCTTTGTTGTTGTTTTTTACGTCACGTCATTTATAAAGGTGATATTAATCGGTACACTCATTGCCACTCACTTCTAATAAGTCACCTGCCCTCCTCCTCCACAACAAGCAGGTAACGAGCAGCTGTGTTGTGATGTGCTGGGTCAAGCAGGAGACAAGAAAATAGAGCCTTTTTAAATATGTGATGTAGCCTAGTTGTGGTTTCATGGCTTCTTTCATAACATTGCTAATTAAAACCATGAAAATCATATTAAATAAATAATATTTAGTGATATTTAAACACATTTTTCCCTCCTATTTCTTATTTTTATCTTCAACTTTTCTGCCTCATTCATTTGAGGCGCCAGCGGCGCCCCCTATGGAGGCTGGCGCCCCCTATGGAGGCTGGCGCCCCCTATGGAGGCTGGCGCCCCCTATGGAGGCTGGCGCCCCCTATGGAGGCTGGCGCCCCCTATGGAGGCTGGCGCCCCCTATGGAGGCTGGCGCCCCCTATGGAGGCTGGCGCCCCTAGCATTTGCCTATACTGCCTATCCCACGGGCCGGCCCTGCATATAACCACACATATGGCAGCCTTCACATCGTTTTTTAATCCTTTTTCCTTGATTGACTAACAATTTCTGCAAACATATTGGTAATTTGCTGTTGTTGTTTTCAGCTGTAATCTGGCTGTGATGAAAACATTTTTTAATCTTTGTCTCCACTGAATTATGTTGGGAGGCTGTGGTTTCAGCCAGGATGCTCTTATTGTTTTCTTTGCTATCAATCGCAAAATTCTAAGCAAGGAAATCAAGTCTCTGTCCATGTTGGTATCAGGAGCTATACCTAAAATAAAGAGTGAAGGATCCAAGATTAGATTGATGCCCAGAATCTGATTTACTTCTTTTTGTACATTTTTCCAAAAGTCTACAACTTTGGGGCAGTCCCAAAAAGTGTGTGTAAAATCCCCCACTAGTCCACATCCCCTCCAGCACAACTCAGAAGTACTGCTGTATTTTGAGGTGATGGATGGGATGTTAAAGTATTGCATTTTGACTTTCCAGTCAAACTCCCTCCACATTGGACTGTTTGTTAATTTATGTCCCTCTTTGAATGATTCCTCCCATTGTTCATCTCTTATTATAATGTTTGTTTCTAGTTCCCATTTTTCTTTAACCCTCATGTTGTTTTCTTCAGATTCATGTTGTAATGCTTTATACATTGTTGAAATAACACCTTTCTTAGTATCTTTTTCTGTAAATGACATAAATACTTGCTGTATTTCAGAGGGTGCTCTGCAAATGTTATCCCATTCCTTATGGTTTTGAAGATAACTCCTTAATTGTAGAAATTTATAAAAATCTTGTGCAGGTAGACTAAACTCCTTTCTAAGTTGTTCAAAAGACTGTTTTGTCCTTTAAACACTTTTGCTATATAAACCAATCCTTAGTTTGCCCACTTGTTGTATCCTGTATCCATAGTTGAGGGTACAAAATCTGGATTTAATGCTATTTTAGTCGCTCTGCAAGTGGAGTTTGACAGTCCTAATTTCTTTCGTACTATCGACCATATTTTCAACGTTTCCCTTGTGCATTCATTAGTTGGGTCCTTCCTCTCCTTATGTAAGACCGAAATGATGGCTTCTGACCACGTTGTTGGTGGGTTACCTGATGCTAGAGCAAAATTAAAGACTTTAAATAATACTGGTGTATTACATTTATAAAATTCCCCCGGGAACCCGTCCGTGCCAGGGGATTTTATTATTATTATTTTTTTATAGTGTCCAATATTTCTTGACATGAAATTGGCCTTGTCATGTCAGTGGCTTCTTCATTTGACAAAGTTGGTAGTTGTAGTTTTTTAAGGAATATCTTTGTTTTGCCTTCTATGTTATCAGAGTCTGAATCATGGTATAGATTTTTGTAGTATTCTGAGAATGCTTCCGCTATATCAGGCGGTTTGACCACAAGTTGTTTGGAGTTGGGGTGAATTATTTTTGAAATTGTTCTATTTGATTGGGATTTTCGAAGTTGGAATGCAAGCAGGCGACTTGCTCTATTACCCATCTCATAATATCTTTGGCTAGTGAAACGTAGGGCCCCTTCACCTTCATATGTCAGTAAATCTTCAAGGTAATTTCTAGTCTTTTTTAGGTCAAGTAGTATAGAGTTGTCTGATGTTCTCTTGTGGTTCAACTCTAGTTCTCTTATTTTACTCTCTAACCTTATTTGCTTTTCCAGTCTTGCTTTTTTTAGTCTAGATGTTAGTTCTATTATTTTCCCTCTCATCGCCGCTTTCCCCCCCTCCCATAAAATTGAAGGCGATACTTGGCCATTGTCATTTATCCCCAAGTATTCTTTTAGATGTTGTTCTAGCTCCTTCGACACCTGCTCATCAGATAGAAGTGACACGTTAAATCTCCAGTATTTAAAAGAAGGTTCGTTACCCAAATCCACAGTTATTGTAATGGGGGCATGATCACTTATGGTTATGCTCTCAATGCTACAGTTTAGGATTTTGTGTGCATGTTCTTTGGATACACAGAAAGAGTCTATCCTTGAATAGCTGTCATGTGGATTGGAGTAAAAAGTAAAATCCTTGCTCCTGGGATTAATGTTTCTCCATGGATGAATAAGGCCTAACTCTTTTAGTGTTATTTAATACTCTGGATTTTTGTGTGATCGATCCCTTTTCTGATGGTAGTCTGTCTAACTTCCCATTCTGTACTGTATTAAATCCCCTCCCATTATTTTCATCCCCTTTGCATCACTAGTAATAACATTGGCTAAGTGTTTAAAGAATGTTTCGTTCTCCTCTTGTGGGGCATATATATTTACTAATATAAATACATACTATATTTATCTTTTATTTCTTTTTTCTAAAGAGAATGGTACTGATTTATTTATTAATATTGCTACACCCCTTTTCTTGCCGTATGAGGCATAAAATACATGGTTTACCCATTCCCTTTTCAGTTTTTTATGTTCAACCTCGGTTAAGTGTGTTTGTTGTAGCCATGGATTGATATAATTGTCTTTGTAGTATTTATTTAAGGTTAAGGTAGTCTGTTATATATTGGTGTTTTGGGTTATTGATTATTATATCATTTATTAGGATTATATTGAGTAGGGGGATGTCGGGTCACATGGGTATGGGCGGAGATTTATTGATTTAACTCACCTGTTCACCTTTTGTTCTCAGTGGAAGAGAGGGGGTGAGTTGGGTTGCCGTATTTGTTGACCACTATTGTCTATGGCTCACTGTGATTATGAGTTAATGCACGTTATCATAAGTTAAGTTGATTATCTTTTTTCGTTAATAAAAAACGTATTCAAACTTATTTTTACGTATCACAGTATTCTTTTGAAAGCGCGTCGGATAAAGATATTAGGCCCAACCTCAGCCTCTCAGCGGCTTCATCTTCAGGAAAGCCGCTATAGTGTTTCTTGTAGAAGAGCTATAGAACATTTTCTTTAGTTGACTCAGTATCTTTTTTTTCTTTTAATGGGATGGTTTGCACCATGGACATTATATGAAATTATATTTAGCTTATTCATCTTGTTTAATTTTAAACCTTTCAACTCTGTACCTCTGTGAAAAAACAACAACTGTGCAAAACATAGCACAGCAAAAAGAACAATAAGCATCTCCTTTAGAACTACAATATAACAAAATAACATGACTCCCCAAAGTCCCAGACTCAGAGAGATGTGGCAAATTCTCTCTGGTGAATAGCACTATGTGCACCTGCAACTTCCTAGGTGTTTCGTAAGTTGCTTTTTACTCAAATTGAGTCTAAATTCTGCTCTTTGTTGCCAACTTTTCTGTCAGCTTCAAATTAGTTTTGCATCATTAACCAGCTCACTATTATTTTTCCATTTCAAGTCCGGCAGATATTCTGGTTGTTTGACTGTTTGTTTTATAACCTTAACTGCGCACGCAATTACTTATTACCGTTCATGCTTTGACCCCTTACCTTGTAAAACTATAATGAATAAATGAGTTCACTTGAAAAAGGCATGCATGTCCTCCTCTGTCATACAAGGCGACCCCCTCTTCTCCCTCCGTCCTTTCACTGTGGTCTAGCTGCCCTGCATCATCACCTTCTGTTGTCTCTCCGTTTCATCCTCTGCAACATTGATCCCTATCTCTTTTAACAGAGGTGCAGCCTCCCGTATTGAAGCAAAAGTCTTGGTCCCAGAGTCCAGAAACACTTTGAGCTGAGCAGGATAAGGAGGCTGTGCTTTAACGTTCTTCTCCTTTAGTGGTTCATAAAAGGAGAAAACTGTTTTACCAACATGTCCTAGCTCTGCCAGACATCACTTTAAAACAGTACGGTTTCTGATCCTCAGGGTGAATTTCCTTCAGGACTGGACTCAGTCAGAGGCACACGTCACCACGGGCTGGTCGAGAGAGTCCACCGGGACCGAAACCGCATCAACTCCCCCCACCGCCGACCAATCGACAAGCATGGCCGCCAGATATCCTTAACTTTGATCAGCTGACTTAAAGAGATGTGGGAGAGGATGGAACATGATGTCGTTTTTGTGTTTCACAGCTTTGTATGTGTGGTGAGTTGATGCTCTGTGTATTAAACACACTCTCCAGGGATGGAGTGTGGAGATTTTGCAGCATTTACAGACCATGCTTTGCCTTGAGTATGCCATTACTAGCTTCTTTGGAAGTTTACAGATGAGTTGTTTCAGGTGCTCTTTCAGTGTCAACTGCAGAAGGATTATTGAGTAGTTCAAAATTACATTTTTGAGAACCTTCATTTGTAAAATCCAACATGGCTTCTAAGTGCATCAACAGTAAAGTTTAAGCTGTAATTAATGTAGCACACGTTGACCTCGAAAATATACATTGACGCATAAACACTAAAACAACAGTGACTATTAGAAAACTCAAAAGGAGGAAAGATAAGGATAAAGTATATATGGGTATAAGGTCAGAGTGAACTTCTCAGATGATATCACACAGACAGAAGGACCACTAAGTTTTACTTCTACATATAATCTTGATGATTTAGTAACAGTGAAAATATTTACCTTAACTAACCCTACATGGAGAGCTCTCCATATGGAGCGGTGTACCTGTCCCCTCCTCTGGACAACAACTGGAGAAGGTGAGTTACATACCTGTTCAAGCACTGACTGCTGTACTGTCAACCCATTTCTGAATCCTCTTTACATGCTCTTATTGTCCACCTGTTACCTGTGGATCAGAAAAAAAACACAACGTGTGTAAAATGGTGTATATAAAGCACACACCATTTGTCAGGGTGCAGTGAAGTTCCTGTGAGGGTTGTCTTTAAAGGTCATGCAGCAGTTTAATGTTGAGTTTTAATGAACGCCAGTCAGAGTTAAACATCGGCTCATCTGAGCAGGTGCAGACTCTTAGCAGTCAGTAACACATTGTTCAGGTGAATTCGACCACGCCCCTTGTTTGTGTAAGAGAAACATGGTGAACACCACACATCACATTTATGTCTCAGAAGTACATCTTCACCTATCGTCTTTGATCAAAATCTTCCAAAAAATCTGACGTTTGGTTCAAAAACCTGCAAACATCAACAATTATCAACAGCAGCATCAAATGTTTCACACTTGCATGGTTAAACCTGAAAACTGTTTCAGACAGAAACATGTTTGTTCTGTGAGCCGACTCAGAGACCATCATGACTTTTGTTGAAATGTTTTTGTGTTCAGTGTTTATGAATTGATATTTATTTATTTAAGAGTGGTGAACAGCTCTGTGACATCTGATTCTATGTTATAGATTCAGCTCAGACACATGTTTCTTATTTCTTGAAGCTCACTACACTGCTGAGCTGTAAGAACATTCATTCTTTTTCTGCTGCCTGTTTGTAGTTTTCAGTCTCTTGTAGTTCAATCCAGAGAGTGTTTTGGTGCTCAGGGACCGACTGGCATGTCTGAATTCAGGGGACAGATCAGTTCTCACAGCCTTTATACGCCCAATCAGCGAGAGACAGACAACATATCTTCTCTGGTTTAGATTTTTTATTTCTACAGGAACAAACTTTAGTTTATGAGATGAGTGTGTGTATGTGTGAGTACATCTGTCCTCTGTGGATTCCTTTCAGCATAGTATAAAGACTATGAATTAGTAAGTAAAGTAAGGATCTGACTGCATGGTGTTCATGGAGAGGGTCTCTTAGGGGGGACTTTCCTCAGACTCTGTTGTATCTTTAGAGTCGGTCGGTTTCAGGGTCAGAGTCCCACGCTCTCTTCCTCCTCTGTTCAGCCATCTTTGGTCTGTTTTTCATGAGCCAGCCTCTCTGGGGAGGAAGTCTGAGATAAAGCTCTCAGTAGATCTCTGTAGAAAAGAAGAACAATCTACTCTGATGGCTCTACAGAGATGTTATCCTCCATCCAGGTGGTCTTATCACTGCTCTCCCTTAAAAAGACTCAATTTTTTTTCTTTCTCAACCTGAAATCACACCACACGGTGATACAAACCAGACACTGCACACTGTAAACCAAAGCTTGTTACAATATTATAAGGGATGCACAATATGAATTTATTGAGCTGGTACGATAATGACCTGTCCCTGATGGCAGATAAGATCACAAATATATTTTTACATGATTGCATTTAAAAAAAAAAGTTCATTAAATGTAGTTTCTGCACATCTGGGGCTCAGAAGGGGTCAGTATGTAGTCAGCTAAGATTTTTATATAGGTCTATAACATGTTACACTCTGGTAAAACTGAATGCTATGCACTCAGAAATGTCCTTCAAATACAGAAGGGGTCCTGCAGTCATATGTTGTGGTCTTGCTGTACACTTAAACCCTTCTGGGAGAAAATATGTTCTATTATCTTGATGATCTTGGAAATCGTTTTAGGCTAAGCAAGTTGCCCCAGATGTCTGTCTTCCCAGCAATGTTTTCCACCTCCTCCTGGTGGATCCAGAGGCGTTCCCAGTCCTGATGTGATATATGAATTCCTCCTGTGTGTTCTGGGTCTACCCCCGGGGCTCCTTCCAGTCGGGATCCAGTTGAAAATTCCCAAAGGCACACAACCAGGAGGCATCCGGATCAGATCCCTGAACCACCTAAATTTGCTACTTTCGATGCGAAGGAGCAGTGGCCCCCTACTCCGGCCTCCCTCCAGATGTCTGAGCCCCTCATCCTTTCTGGAAACACTAGGTATACACTAGGCGACAGTTGGGACTCATCAGGGCTGTCAGAGAGAGTCAGTGGTTCTGGTCTGGTTCTGAAGAGCAGTGTTGGAACTGCTCAAGGCTTGCCCGAGGCTTTTTGTGGATTCAACATGTAGAATCATCGTCAACCTTTCTGGGAGAGATATTACTCTGATTGGCTCTCAGACAGCACGGGAAGTGAAACGGAAGTGATGATTGAAAACAAATGACAATTCAAGAGGGCACGCACAGTCTCCATATGTCTACACATTTTCTCAAGTAGAGGTAATTACGAACGCCTTCAGCAGAAAAATTATAAGAAGTCTGAGGGACTAATAGCAAACAGCCACTGCCTGCTGGTATGCAGTTTGCACAATCCAGTTGGGATTAGGCTGCTATCAGTATGGATTGAACAGCTTGTTCTTTGTAGTTAGTTAAGTGTGAACCAGTCTTAAGGCTGAGTCCACACACCCTTTGTAGAAAACTCTTTTCAGTCACTTGTATCCACTATCTCATTCTTTCGGAAACAATCTAAAGCTAATGACCACAGGTGAGGGTTGGAACGAAGATCCACTGATTAATGGTATGCTTTACCTTTCTGCTCGCCTCCCTCAACACTACGACGGCCACAGCACAACTCCCACATTTCTGCTGCCCCAATCTGCCATCTCAGGGACTCACACTCCAACCAGCAGGAGAAATTAACCGTTTCCTAACAGAGAATCATCATAACCACTTTGCACTCGCCTGTAAATCACCCAAATGCCTGCTGGAGACCCAGTCTAAAAAAGCTAACGGAATATAATCATCTACAAAAAGCAAAGATGAATTTCTGAAGCCCCAAAAACCGGAAACCCTCCTGCCTTGAGATCCTGACCATCAGGAACAGAATCAGTGACTCAGCCCTGCTGGAGACCAACACGGCAGGAAAGTGTCTGGCTTTGTGCTGAAGATGCAGACTCTGCTCTCACTTCGTTCATATAGGGACTGGATGGCTCGCAGCAAAGGCCCTAGGACCCCATATTTCCGCGGTGACCCTTCACATGACCTTAGGAGGGACACCATCAGAAGCCTCCTCCATGTTCACAAAAACACGTCAATTGGATGAGCAAACTCCCTACCTCAGCAACTTCTTCCAAAAATACAGATAAGGTTCCCCTGGATTGACAGACTCTGCCTCCCCTTCATCACCTTAGTCCAAGTTTATCCATCACTTCCCACATTAGGGTTGAAGTCCCCCAGCATCACTATGGAGTCCCCAGGTAGAACCCCTTCCAGGACCGCCTCTAGAGACTCCAAGGGTGCATACTCCAAACTGCCATTCTGTGCTTAAGCACAAACAAGTCTTTTAATTCAGAGCCTTATTCCCTGCCACTTGCATTCAGTAAACCCTCTTTTTCACCTTGGAAAACCCCAATATAGCAATATAGCGTCGCTCAGCCAGGGGCTTGTGAGTACAAGGCCCACAGCGTAGTGGCTCCATGTTGTTTCTTGGGTTGATCCCGACCAGGCCCCATGGAGGAGAACTGGCCATCAGGTCTGGCTCCAGAGGGATGCCCTGGTCTCCCACTTCCTGGGAGGTTTCGGTGTTCCCCTTGTACTCTTTTCAAACATTCATGGAAGTTTTTTAACTCTTTTTTTCTGGACCCTCCTCTGTGACCGATATACCTTGGGTTACCCGGGGCAAACAGCCAGTTTCACAGGAACACCCAAACCCCTCCACCACGATAATTTATTTATAACCAGGTTAATATAATTAAAAATATCTAAGTCATGTTTTTAACAGTTCACAGTGAAGACATGTTTGTTTGTTAGTGAGTCCAATTATTTTATTTGTCAACAGTTTACTGTTTAAAAACTGTTGAGTAAGCAGATGACGACCAGATGAATGAATTGAATCTCTCTGGATTGTTTTTGTATTTTCTGGGTAAAGTATGTGTTGTGTTCCATGACATAAACTCTAATAAATAAATTTTGTTGAAGATTCTCGGACTCCTCACTTTAAGTCGTTTCTGTTTCTCCCACAGAGCTGCTGATAAACTTGTCTATCTCTTTATTTTCATAATATGTTTGAATATCTTTAAAAGTTTCTCATTGAAAACTATTTTCATTGTTTTTAAAAATTTATTTTGATGAATGGAATTCATTCTTTAATATCTGGACAGGTTGAGAGGCTGATATTATTTACTTAATTTATACATATATTTGATCATCTTTAGGGGTTATAAACACTGACTTATTGTATTTATAACATATTTGATCACCTTTATAGGGTTATAAACACAGACTTATTGTATTTATAACATACATTTGATCATCTTTAGAGGTTATAAACACTGACTTATTGTATTTATAACATATATTTAATCATCTTTAGAGGTTATAAACACTGACTTATTGTATTTATAACATATATTTGATCATCTTTAGAGGTTATAAACACTGACTTATTGTATTTATAACATATATTTGATCATCTTTAGAGGTTATAAACACTGACTTATTGTATTTATAACATACATTTGATCATCATGGGGCGGCTGTGGCTCAATTGGTAGAGTTGTCGCCTCTCAACCGGAAGGTCGAGGTTTCTATCCCCAGCTGAAACATGTCTGGTGTGTCCTTGGGCAAGACACTTTACCCTGAATTGCTCCCTCTGCTTCAGTGGTGGTGTATGAATGGGATTAGTTACTTCTGATGATATTACATAGCGATTACTACCATCAGCGTGTGAAAGGTTATGAATGGGTGAGTGTGACAGGGGGTGTAAAAGCACTTTGAGTAGTCGGAAGACTAGAAAAGCGCTATATAAGCTCAAGTCCATTTATCTTTAGAGGTTATAAACAGACTTATTGTATTTATAACATATACTTGATCATCTTTGGGGGTTATAAACACAGACTTATTGTATTTATAATATATATTTGATCATCTTTAGGGGTTATAAACACTGGCTTATTGTGTTTATAACATATATTTGATCATCTTTGGGGGTTATAAAGGTGTCTGTCTTTGTTTAAAGGGAGCAGCAGGCGTGGACGGAGGACAAACGGCCTGCTGGGTTTAGATTAATTTCACAACTTAACAGGTGACTTTGACATCTGTCGTTCTCTCTGTTTTCAGCTGTTCATCACCCGCTCACACGGACACTAACACTTTTTCTTGTTTCTGTCTTTTAAATCTGATGTTTAACATCTCGGTTCTCTTTCTTTTAGAGGAAACAAATTTCAGTCTGTCGTTAATTATATGATCTTTATTTTCTTTCATTTCTTCTCTGACTAACCAGACACAGGACTGAAGGCTCCTGATTCACATTTTCTAACTTTCAGCCTCCTACATCCTCCTCCAGATGTTTGTATTTTCAAAGATTTGAGGATAAAACAAAAAATATAAAGGAACGTTTTCTTATTTTATTGTTTATCAAGTTTGAGTTTAAAGCTCATGAGCAGATCTGAATTTATTTTAAGACAGAATACATTTTTGTTTTCCTTTTGTGAAAATGTTCTCGTATAAAACTAAATAAAGACATGATTTTACTAGAATAAGATTTATGACAACTCACTAAAAAATGACGCTTGTTTAAAAACACATCTTTATTAATCGCCCCTAACTTCAGAGTCAATCATTTTAATGATTTATAATCTATAAATGTGACAGTCTCTTTTCCAGGTTTTTACTTTAGGATCATCAAAAATGACCTAATTTTAAATCAATCAATCTTTATTTGTAAAGCAGCGAAGAGGGTGAAATGCACTGGCAGGATGTGACCTCCCCTCTCCCTCAAAATCCCACTCCTCCCATGTTTCACTGTTAAAATAAAACAAAATTCTTTACCAGATTTAATTTGTATTTCAGTAACTTAAGCATAATGATATTATTATTTATAAAATGGTCAGAAATAACAGGAAATGCATAGATTTCTGTCATAAGGTAATACAGACTCACAGACTGTACTGTAATAAGCGGGTCGAACGTTTACTACAGTGCCTAAAAAAAAAAAAAAAAACTTCTTTAAAGTCACAACGTCAAAATGTCCCTAGGGGACAATAAAGATTTTCCAAATCCAAAAAATGATCATCGGCAGTGAAAGTGCATGAAATAAGTATTTACAGTAAATACAGGAACATTTTTAACAAGTGAACAGCTCTCTAACCCTCTCCCCCTCTCCTCAGAACAAACTCGGACTCGGCTCTTCATACAAGTGTTATGAATCCAAACCCTCAGGACCCGTTTGGTATGAATCAGCAGATGAGCAGAGCCCCTCCCCAACGCAACGGTGAGAGATGCACACATCATATCCATGTTGGGATAGGAATCTGGATTATTTCTTGTTTAGAAATAGAGCCTAACAGTAATGAATTAGAATGATTTCTTTATGTTATTGTTTATTCTGTCTTATTTTGGTTTGGGGGTATTTGTGTCTTATTCCTCCCTCTGTGGAGCCGAGCTGCGGCGGCGTCATTGAAGGTGATTAAGGACACCTGGGGTGAGTGTGGGAGGTGAAAAGTGGAACAGTTTTTCAACTGCAGCTTAGGCGTGATAGCGATCTGAGTTGTTTATTTTGTCAAGTTTAGTTTCTGCTGAAAGTTTTCTGTTAATAAATGTTTAAGTTGACTTTGGATCTGCGGCTGCTGTTTGTTTTTTGATAGCATGTTAAACCCGCTCAGCAGTGGCTTACCTGAAAGTTTAAGTTTGAAACCATAACAATCCGAAATACAGAAAATCAGTGTCAAGTTTAAATCCTGAACTACTATTATTATTAGTATTTCATAAATATCTGTATTTAAGTGAACTCAAAGTGACCCAGCTGTTACCACAATGCACCAGTAATCACAGACAACATGGTGACACCAGCACCACCATGTGGTGACACCAGCACCACCATGAGGTGACACCAGCACCACCATGTGGAGACACCAGCACCACCATGTGGAGACACCAGCACCACCACCATGAGGTGACACCAGCACCACCATGTGGAGACACCAGCACCACCACCATGTGGAGACACCAGCACCAGCATGTGGAGACACCAGCACCACCACCATGAGGTGACACCAGCACCACCATGTGGAGACACCAGCACCACCACCATGTGGAGACACCAGTTCCAGCATGTGGTGACACCAGCACCACCATGAGGTGACACCAGCACCAGCACCACCATGAGGTGACACCAGCACCAGAACCACCATGAGGTGACACCAGCACCACCATGTGGAAACACCAGCACCACCATGAGGTGACACCAGCACCACCATGTGGAGACACCAGCACCAGCACCAGCATGAGGTGACACCAGCACCACCATGTGGTGACACCAGCACCACCATGAGGTGACACCAGCACCACCATGTGGAGACACCAGCACCACCATGTGGTGACACCATGACGTGGTGCTGGTGAGTTGGGAACCGGAGGGTCGCTGGTTCAAGTCCCAATGTGGACCATAATCTGTAAGTTGGTCTGGTAGCTGGAGAGGTGCCTGGACACTTCCAGAGCACTGCCAAAGTGCCCTTGAGCTGTTAACAGTTATAACAATCATTAATAAGAAATCAGTTTGAATAACCTGATCAGGTAAAAGGACCTGAATAAGGTGTGGAGCCATGGACACCATGTGACGTTTCATTGTGACAGAAAAACAGCTGATTAATATTTCCTTTCCTTTGTTACTCTTTCTGTGTGTGTCTGTGCGGGTGACAAACAGCAAGTGTGAACGAGGCGGAGGTGGACGGCTCTGGAAACAGTGAGTTTAATATACATTTCCATTGACATTGAATGAACACGTGTTTATGTAATTATTAAAGTGTCCCTCTGGTCTCTGCTCAGTCTTTTCCTTCCCCCCCCTCGCTAATGAGGAGAGTCTGATGGGAGTCAAACCTCTTCCAATGCAGCTGTGGGAGGCCAAGAAGGTGAGACACCTGGCTCCTTTTCTATCTGACATCAGTTTGTTTTAATCTCTTTGTGTTAAATCAACCTTATAGAGGAATTAGATTTGGTGCACTTTGCAACACATCCTAGATCTGAATGAATGAAATATTCTTATTAAATACTTTGTTCTTTACATAGTTGAATGTGCTGACAACAAAATCACACAAAAATTATCAATGGAAATCAAATTTATTAACCCATGGAGGTCTGGATTTGGAGTCACACTCAAAATTAAAGTGGAAAAACACACTACAGGCTGATCCAACTTTGATGTAATGTCCTTAAAACAAGTTAAAATGAGGCTCAGTAGTGTGTGTGGCCTCCACGTGCCTGTATGACCTCCCTACAACGCCTGGGCATGCTCCTGATGAGGTGGCGGATGGTCTCCTGAGGTATCTCCTCCCAGACCTGGACTAAAGCATCCGCCAACTCCTGGACAGTCTGTGGTGCAACGTGGCGCTGGTGGATGGAGCGAGACATGATGTCCCAGATGTGCTCAATTGGATTCAGGTCTGGGGAATAGGCGGGCCAGTCCATAGCATCAATGCCTTCGTCTTGCAGGAACTGCTGACACACTCCAGCCACATGAGGTCTAGCATTGTCTTGCATTAGGAGGAACCCAGGGCCAATCGCACCAGCATATGGTTTCACTAGGGGTCTGAGGATCTCATCTCGGTACCTAATGGCAGTCAGGCTACCTCTGGTGAGCACATGGAGGGCTGTGTGGCCCCCCAAAGAAATGCCACCCCACACCATTACTGACCCACTGCCAAACCGGTCATGCTGGAGGATGTTGCAGGCAGCAGAACGTTCTCCACGGCGTCTCCAGACAGGGCGCCAGTGGCGAATTTGCCAATCTTGGTGTTCTCTGGCAAATGCCAAACGTCCTGCACGGTGTTGGGCTGTAAGCACAACCCCCACCTGTGGACGTCGGGCCCTCATACCACCCTCATGGAGTCTGTTTCTGACCGTTTGAGCAGACACATGCACATTTGTGGCCTGCTGGAGGTCATTTTGCAGGGCTCTGGCAGTGCTCCTCCTGTTCCTCCTTGCACAAAGGCGGAGGTAGCGGTCCTGCTGCTGGGTTGTTGCCCTCCTACGGCCTCCTCCACGTCTCCTGATGTACTGGCCTGTCTCCTGGTAGCGCCTCCATGCTCTGGACACTACGCTGACAGACACCACAGCTCGCATTGATGTGCCATCCTGGATGAGCTGCACTACCTGAGCCACTTGTGTGGGTTGTAGACTCCGTCTCATGCTACCACTAGAGTGAAAGCACCGCCAGCATTCAAAAGTGACCAAAACATCAGCCAGAAAGCATAGGAACTGAGAAGTGGTCTGTGGTCACCACCTGCAGAACCACTCCTTTATTGGGGGTGTCTTGCTAATTGCCTATAATTTCCACCTGTTGTCTATTCCATTTGCACAACAGCATGTGAAATTGATTGTCAATCAGTGTTGCTTCCTAAGTGGACAGTTTGATTTCACAGAAGTGTGATTGACTTGGAGTTACATTGTGTTGTTTAAGTGTTCCCTTTATTTTTTTTGAGCAGTGTATTTGAAAAACATCTTTGAAGGAGGTCTGGAGGTCTCACCCAGAACATCTTTAGCAACAGAAACGTCTTTCCCTCGATTTGATCAATATTTATGCACAATTTGAAGGTTTTCCTCACCACTGAAATTGTGATTTAGTTATGTGTCCTCTTTTTATGTTCATCAGGAACATTTTCATGCAGTGATGCATTCATTTAAAAACATGTAGACTTCAAGTGTTTCTGTTCTATTTAGCCCTGCAGAGTTCCTACAGCTGTAGCTTCATACAGGCTCTGCAGTCTTTGTTGTTTTTTATGACATCATTGGACTAACTTTAGTTTTGTTTACATATAATCAAACATAATACAGAATGTGTTCATTCTGCGACACATGATCAAAGTAAGTTTTACTGACAGAAGAGTTTTATTCATAGAGAGGGCGGGACATTGTTGATTGACAGACAGACAGTCACCATGGTTACTCACTTTCACCTGACTGCTGCTTTGTAACGTCGTTTAGTGTAATCCCTATAAATTCCGTAATCACAACAGGTGAGCTTCGGGTGGAGAAGCTTGATAGTAACTTTTAAAAACTGAGAGAGAGCAGAAAACACCGACAGCAACATTTTAAACACCGGGGTTATATCTCTCATCACTGTCTGTCTGAGCTCCTCTCTGTCTGACTCTCTGCAGACTGTTAACGTCTCTCCGGCTCGTTAAACGGTTTCTTGTGTCGCTATCTGAGATGTAAACTTAACTATGCAAACTATGCAGATAAGTTAACTGTTGATCACGCCGTGTCGGTTTGGAAAAATATCAGAACAGTTGCATATAACCGGGATGGAGTTGTTTTTGCGGACTTTACTTTTAAGTTTAGTTTTCGGTTTCACCACTGTGGAGCAAAAGGGGAGGGGGAGACACGTCTGTGTCGGAGCATAAACTGCAGCATGATAGAATAAACACATGAGCCTGATTCTACGATCTCCCTGCTTTGGCAGATCGTAAGCACGTTAAAGTCCTTCACGATCTAAGATTGTTATATCGCCCACCACTACCTCGACCCGCTGAAAAAGTTACATAGTGCTGAAAACAGGCGAGCGGGGCGCTCTGTGGACATGAGAGAGACTCTATTCTCCCTGTTGGAGGTTATAGTCCTATTAGATCGACTTTTTGAAAGTGGAAAAGTTACACATTGGTGCTTTAAGACATGATGTTTAGATATGAAGCAGAAGAAAGAAGTCATAAGAAGAAAGAAAGACAGACAGATTTAACTGCTGAGACACAAAACATTCATCTGATTCTTATTATTCACAACCTTCTCCATCTTCTGATTCTTTAGCTTTGTCTCGTCTACATTTTTTTGTGTTTAGGTTTTTATTTATTTTTTATTCAGGGATTTTTTAAACCTTTATTTGAGAGACAGGAAAGCAGAGATAGACAACCACTAGGACACCAGCGCCCTGAGTGTGTTCAGGTTTTTTAACTGAGAAATAAAAATGTTTTCAGCATCAGAGTCAGAGCAGAAACTAAACCTTGATAAATGTTTTTTCTCCTCCATGAGCAGACACATTTTCCCTCCACTTAAAGAAACCTCGGATGATTTCAGGTCGCTGTGACGTCAACTAGTTTAAAACCATGTTCAGAAAATAATAAGTGTTATTTTTTCAATGTAATAAAAAGTAATGATTTCTGTTTGTGTCTCAGGTCCAGTCTCTGGCCTCCAGGCCTAAATCCTGTGAAGTGCCTGGGATCAGGTAAGTGTGAGGAAAATGTCATTAAGACGTCTAACGACCTCTAATAACGGATTCTCTTTTCAGTTGTATTTAATACTTCAATGTATTTATTTGTTTCATGTTTTTCTCTCTTCAGTGTATATTCGTCTCCAGATCAGAGCCCCGGTTTTTCTCACTTTCAGGGTTTGTTGAACTCAGGCGGCTCTCTGCCTGACCTCACAAATCTTCACTTCCCCTCCCCACTCTCTACGCCGCTCGACCCCGAGGACCACGCAGGGTTCCCTAACCTGAGTGGGGGTAGCAGCACTGGAAACCTGCCGGCCGCTATGATGCACCTGGGCATCAGCAACACACAGGGTGGGCAGAGCGACGTGTGTGTGTTTTTGAATATTGGAGTCAAAAACAAATGGATATCATGTAGGGGCGCTGGATAGCCTAGTGGTTATAACGTGCTGCCCATGAACAGAGGCTACATTTGTGTTAGGGTTTGGATCCGGCCTCGGCCCTTTGCTGCATGTCCCCCTCTCTCTCCTCCCAAAGTTTCCTGTCTCTCTTCAACCGTCCTATCCAATGAAGGCAAAATTGTTTTTAAAAGTTATAATAATATAACTTTAAAGTAAATATCATGAAACGTTTGTTTTATTGTAGTAGTAGTAGTAGTAGTAGTAGTGTTTCAGATTCAAATTAAAAAGCTAAAAAAAAAAGAAAGCCTTTAGAGCTGTTTAATTCAAATAATTATTTATCATCTTAATTCAATCAAACAGCTCGTTCTCATTATTATTGATATAAAATATTTTTAGTTTTATTTGAAGCTCGTAATGTGACATTTGGAGGGTTTTGCTCATCATTAAGGTCCGATCTGATTGGTTGGTTGGTTTACAATTCTACAATTCATATCAAACATTTTTATCCAAAGCGAGGAACTTACACATGCAAGGATCTAGAGAAAACACCATCAGGAAGTGCAAACAAACAATTTTTCGTCCGATTGGACACACAGGTGCTGACAGGAAGTGACCAGAGGCAGAGCACAGGTGCTGACAGGAAGTGACCAGAGGCAGAGTACAGGAAGTGACCAGAGGCAGAGTACAGGTTCTGACAGGAAATGTCCAGAGGCAGAGCACAGGTGCTGACGGGAAGTGACCAGAGGCAGAGCACAGGTGCTGACAGGAAATGTCCAGAGGCAGAGTACAGGTGCTGACAGGAAGTGACCAGAGGCAGAGTACAGGTTCTGACAGGAAATGTCCAGAGGCAGAGTACAGGTGCTGACAGGAAATGACCAGAGGCAGAGCACAGGTGCTGACAGGAAGTGACCAGAGGCAGAGCACAGGTGCTGACAGGAAATGACCAGAGGCAGAGTCCAGGTGCTGACAGGAAATGTCCAGGGGCAGAGCACAGGTGCTGACGGGAAGTGACCAGAGGCAGAGCACAGGTGCTGACAGGAAATGACCAGAGGCAGAGCACAGGTGCTGACAGGAAGTGACCAGAGGCAGAGTACAGGTGCTGACAGGAAATGACCAGAGGCAGAGCACAGGTGTTGACAGGAAGTGACCAGAGGCAGAGCACAGGTGCTGACAGGAAGTGACCAGAGGCAGAGCACAGGTACTGACAGGAAGTGACCAGAGGCAGAGCACTTTTTAAAAGTAATTAAAATGAATATATCGTCATCAAAAACATCGTCAGCTATCGCTGCGAGTCTAGCATAATCTTAGAGACTTCATCATCGGTCAGAGGGAACAATTAGAGAAATTTGATAAATAATCTGATAAAGCTGTATGTTGTATGAAGAAAGTTATATTCAAAGATATATGTTCATCTTTATTGTTTACTGAGTCTGTTCTCCATTCATGCATGACAATAATCCATCTATTAATTTACTGATTATTATTAATTGTATAGAATAAAGTCCTTTCTGTCCCTGCAGGTCTGTCCTTGTCTCTCAGTAATCCATCCATTCAGGCGTCTCTGAACACCTGTCAGCTGCAGTCGTCTCTGAGTAATCCTTCCATCAACTCTTCTCTACGACTGTCCAACAACTCCCCCCGAAGGCGTCCAGCTCCAATAAGCCCCCTCACTCTGTCGCCTGGCAACGACCAGCGTAGAGGACTGTCCAAGCAGCTGTCCCCCACCATGTCTCCTGCTCTGTCCCCCATCACACAGGTACTGTCCCTTTTAATTTAATGACACTTAAAGACTTGAAATCCTTAACTTCCTTCTGTCTGTGCAGGGAGTTGCTCTGGATACTTGCAATATGCTGAGGGAGCCGCCACCACCCTACCCACTTTACCAACAGTCCCAGCATGCCATTGACCAGAGCCGACAACACCAGCACCAACAGCAGCAGCAACATCAGCAACAACATCAGCAACAACAGCAGCAACATCAACAACAACAAGAACAACATCAACAACATCAACAACAACAACAGCTACATCAACAACAACAGCAGCAACATCGACAACAACATCAACAACACAAACCTGTTTCCCCCCTCCAGAGTGGATCGCTGGACTTCAACACAGGCCAAGTGAGAAACATTAAGTGTGTGTCAGTGTGTGTGTGAATTGTCTCTGTCTACCTGCAGTGAGAGATCAAAGTCTCAGGTGTGTATTTACCTGTCTGTAATACCTGTAAAGGTGTTAAATGTTTCATGTTTGAAGTTTATTAGTGAACTTTTGTACTTATGTACTGATTTTAATGTCAAAGTTGATTTTCATCATCGGGTGTTAAGTTATTGAATTATGTAGTATTTTATGTTGTATTATTCTTTAAACATTTCAAGTTATTAACTGCTTTTTATTTCAATCTTCTTTTTTTTCTTCTGACAGAACATGTCGACGCTCTTTAACGACGCCTTCATTGACCCCCAGTTCACCAATCGCAGCAAGACCCTCCCTTACCAGGTACATACACACGCACACACACACTGATATATAAACGTCTGTGTGGGGTCTATCTCTAAACGTCTGTGTGGGGTGTAAGAGGTTCTCTAAACGTCTGTTTGAGGTCTTTCTCTAAACGTCTGTGTGCGGTCTCAGAGGTTCTCTAAACGTCTGTGTGTGGTCTCAAAGGTTCTCTAAACGTCTGTGTGGGGTCTATCTCTAAACGTCTGTGTGCGGCCTAAGAGGTTCTATAAACGTCTGTGTGGGGTCTAAGAGGTTCTCTAAACGTCCGTGTGGGGTCTATCTCTAAATGTCTGTGTGCGGTCTAAGAGGTTCTCTAAACGTCTGTGTGGGGTCTAAGAGGTTCTCTAAACGTCCGTGTGGGGTCTATCTCTAAACGTCTGTGTGCGGCCTAAGAGGTTCTATAAATGTCTGTGTGGGGTCTATCTCTAAACGTCTTTGTGCGGCCTAAGAGGTTCTCTAAACGTCTGTGTGGGGTCTAAGAGGTTCTCGCAACGTCTGTGTGGGGTCTAAGATGTTCTCTAAACGTCTGTGTCGGGTTTAAGAGGTTCTCTCAACGTCTGTGTGGGGTCTAAGATGTTCTCTAAACGTCTGTGTCGGGTTTAAGAGGTTCTCTAAACGTCTGTGTGCGGTCTAAGAGGTTCTCTCAACGTCTTTGTGTGGTCTCAGAGGTTCTCTAAATGTTTGTGTGTGGTCTCAGAGGTTCTCTAAAAGTCTGTGTGGGGTCTATCTCTAAACGTTTGTGTGGGGTCTCAGAGGTTCTCTAAACGTCCGTGTGGGGTCTATCTCTAAACGTCTGTTTGGGGTCTAAGAGGTTCTCTAAACGTCTGTGTGGGGTCTAAGAGGTTCTCTAAACGTCTGTGTGGGGTCTATCTCTAAACGTCTGTTTGGGGTTTCAGAGGTTCTTTAACACAGAGATTCTCTAAACGTCTGTGTATGGTCTGAGAGGTTCTCTAAACGTATGTGTGTGGTCTAAGAGGTTCTCTAAACGTCTGTGTGGGGTATAAGAGGTTCTCTAAACATCTGTGTGGGGTCTGAGAGGTTCTCTAAACGTCTGTGTTTGGTGTGAGAGGTTCTCTAAACGTCTGTGTGTGGTGTAAGAGGTTCTCTAAACGTATGTGTGTGGTCTATCTCTAAACGTCTGTGTGGGGTCTATCTCTAAACGTCTGTGTGTGGTCTAAGAGGTTCTCTAAACGTCTGTGTGGGGTCTCAGAGGTTCTCTAAACGTCTGTGTGGTGTCTGAGAGGTTCTCTAAACATCTGTGTGGGGTCTAAGAGGTTCTCTAAATGTCTGTGTGGGGTCTAAGAGGTTCTCTAAACATCTGTGTGGGGTCTAAGAGGTTCTCTAAATGTCTGTGTGTGGTCTCAGAGGTTCTCTAAACGTATGTGTGTGGTCTAAGAGGTTCTCTAAACGTCTGTGTGGGGTCTATCTCTAAAAGTCTGTGTGGGGTCTATCTCTAAATGTCTCTGTGGGGTCTAAAAGGTTCTCTAAACGTCTGTGTGTGGTCTCAGAGGTTCTCTAAACGTATGTGTGTGGTCTAAGAGGTTCTCTAAACGTCTGTGTGGGGTCTGTCTCTAAACGTCTGTGTGCGGTCTAAGAGATTCTCTAAATGTATGTGTGGGGTCTCAGAGGTTCTCTAAACGTCTGTGTGTGGTATAAGAGGTTCTCTAAACGCCTGTGTGGGGTCTAAGAGGTTCTCTAAACGTCTGTGTGGGGTGTGAGAGGTTCTCTAAACGTATGTGTGTGGTCTAAGAGGTTCTCTAAACGTCTGTGTGGGGTCTAAGAGGTTCTCTAAACATCTGTGTGGGGTCTGAGAGGTTCTCTAAACGTCTGTGTTTGGTGTGAGAGGTTCTCTAAACGTCTGTGTGTGGTGTGAGAGGTTCTCTAAACGTATGTGTGTGGTCTAAGAGGTTCTCTAAACGTCTGTGTGGGGTCTATCTCTAAACGTCTGTGTGGTGTGAGAGGTTCTCTAAACGTATGTGTGTGGTCTAAGAGGTTCTCTAAACGTCTGTGTGGGGTCTATCTCTAAACGTCTGTGTGGGTCTATCTCTAAACGTCTGTGTGTGGTCTCAGAGGTACTCTAAACGTCTGTGTGTGGTCTCAGAGGTTCTCTAAACGTCTAAGAGGTTCTCTAAACGTCTGTGTGGGGTCTATCGCTAAACGTCTGTGTGGGGTCTATCTCTAAATGTCTGTGTGTGGTCTCAGAAGTTCTCTAAACATATGTGTGGGGTCTAAGAGGTTCTCTAAACGTCTGTGTGGGGTCTCAGAGGTTCTCTAAACGTCTGTGTGGTGTGAGAGGTTCTCTAAACGTATGTGTGTGGTCTAAGAGGTTCTCTAAACGTCTGTGTGGGGTCTATCTCTAAAAGTCTGTGTGGGGTCTATCTCTAAATGTCTCTGTGGGGTCTAAAAGGTTCTCTAAACGTCTGTGTGTGGTCTCAGAGGTTCTCTAAACGTATGTGTGTGGTCTAAGAGGTTCTCTAAACGTCTGTGTGGGGTCTGTCTCTAAACGTCTGTGTGCGGTCTAAGAGATTCTCTAAATGTATGTGTGGGGTCTCAGAGGTTCTCTAAACGTCTGTGTGTGGTATAAGAGGTTCTCTAAACGCCTGTGTGGGGTCTAAGAGGTTCTCTAAACGTCTGTGTGGGGTGTGAGAGGTTCTCTAAACGTATGTGTGTGGTCTAAGAGGTTCTCTAAACGTCTGTGTGGGGTCTAAGAGGTTCTCTAAACATCTGTGTGGGGTCTGAGAGGTTCTCTAAACGTCTGTGTTTGGTGTGAGAGGTTCTCTAAACGTCTGTGTGTGGTGTGAGAGGTTCTCTAAACGTATGTGTGTGGTCTAAGAGGTTCTCTAAACGTCTGTGTGGGGTCTATCTCTAAACGTCTGTGTGGTGTGAGAGGTTCTCTAAACGTATGTGTGTGGTCTAAGAGGTTCTCTAAACGTCTGTGTGGGGTCTATCTCTAAACGTCTGTGTGGGGTCTATCTCTAAACGTCTGTGTGTGGTCTCAGAGGTACTCTAAACGTCTGTGTGTGGTCTCAGAGGTTCTCTAAACGTCTAAGAGGTTCTCTAAACGTCTGTGTGGGGTCTATCGCTAAACGTCTGTGTGGGGTCTATCTCTAAATGTCTGTGTGTGGTCTCAGAAGTTCTCTAAACATATGTGTGGGGTCTAAGAGGTTCTCTAAACGTCTGTGTGGGGTCTCAGAGGTTCTCTAAACGTCTGTTTGGTGTCTGAGAGGTTCTCTAAACATCTGTGTGGGGTCTAAGAGGTTCTCTAAATGTCTGTGTGGGGTCTAAGAGGTTCTCTAAACATCTGTGTGGGGTCTGAGAGGTTCTCTAAACGTCTGTGTGTGGTCTCAGAGGTTCTCTAAACGTCTGTGTGGGGTCTATCTCTAAAAGTCTGTGTGGGGTCTATCTCTAAACGTCTCTGTGGGGTCTAAAAGGTTCTCTAAACGTCTGTGTGTGGTCTCAGAGGTTCTCTAAACGTATGTGTGTGGTCTAAGAGGTTCTCTAAATGTATGTGTGGGGTCTCAGAGGTTCTCTAAACGTCTGTGTGTGGTATGAGAGGTTCTCTAAACGCCTGTGTGGGGTCTAAGGTTCTCTAAACGTCTGTGTGGGGTCTGTCTCTAAACGTCTGTGTGCGGTCTAAGAGATTCTCTAAATGTATGTGTGGGGTCTCAGAGGTTCTCTAAACGTCTGTGTGTGGTATGAGAGGTTCTCTAAACGCCTGTGTGGGGTCTAAGAGGTTCTCTAAACGTCTGTGTGGGGTCTATCTATAAACGTATATGTGGGGTGTAAGAGGTTCTCTAAACGTCTGTGTGGGGTCTATCTCTAAATGTCTGTGTGGGGTCTAAGAGGTTCTTTAAACGTCTGTCTGGGGTCTGTCTCTAAAAGTATGTGTGGGGTCTATCTCTAAACGTCTGTGTGTGGTCTCAGAGGTTCTCTGAACGTCTGTGTGGGGTATATCTCTAAACGTCTGTGTCGGGTCTAAGAGGTTCTTATATATAAAAGAGAGCCTCTCTCTGATTGGCCGTTTCCTCTCCACCATCTGTCACCTAGTTGGACCAGTTCAGTCTGCTGGAGAACTCGTTGAGCTCGTCAGCGGGGAGTTCAGGCTTCAACCCCCCATCCTCCTCCTCACTGCTCTTTTACTCCCAGGCCGCCCTGTCGGAGTTGGGGGGCAGCCATGGCAGCCTGCAGGAGCCCCAGAACATGAGGTCCAACATGCTGTACTCCAACTACAGTGGAGGACTGCCCAACATCATCCTCACAGGTCAGTGTGACCACAATGTTCCCTCTCTGTGCTTTGATTGTTCATTTATCAATAGAGGAAACAAAGAAAGAACAAAGAAAATAATTAATTCTAAGCCTTTACAGTCATGTTCGCAGAAAAGAAGTAGAACTCATTTTTACTCTCTCTTCACTGTTCTTCAACAAGACTGTGTCCATCAGCCTGGGTGTAATTTAAGAGTAACCATGGCAACAGAACCTCAATTAAAGCTGTTCAGACACAACTGCTGACAAGGTCACACATTATGACAACATTGAAGACGTCAACTAGCTAGGTGGGTGAATCGAAACTTGCTTTGAGTAGATATTGATAGTGGGTCGTTGTCAGGCTTTGTTTGGACTGAGCACTTAAGTTTCATTCTCTGAGCATCAACAGGAGAGGCAGTTGACGCGTGTCACACCCTCGCAAGCTGAAAATCTGGGGCTGGATTTTCACAAAAATCCAAGTTTAAAAGAGTCTGAATCCGAAACTGCAGCAGAACTAGCTCTGATCTGAAAACTAGGAAGGTAGCGCTTCAGCGTGGCCACAGAGCCCGGGCATACACGACTACTGCTTTTGCCTATTTTCTCTGGTCATCTGCTAAACGCAACATGTGCTAAAAAGAAATCTCTGTCATTCATGGTAACAGGAAAAGACACATCTGTCATAGACAACGAAATCTTAACAACTTGGCTCGGCTTAAGAAAGCCTCTTCTACTCACCCTTCATTTACTTTTGGCCTCTGGAACTGTCAATCTGCTGTGAATAAAACTGAATTTATCCAAACACTTGCAAAAATGTCAGACATTCAGGCACTTGCCCTTACTGAAACCTGGATCTGCCCAGAAAATACAGTCACACCAGCTGCTCTTTCTGTTGACACACCCTGCTCTGTTGGACGTGGAGGTGGTACAGGTGTCCTCATTTCTAATACCTGGAAATTCAATGAACCCACTGAGCAACAACTCCTCATTTGAATATCACACAATCTTGGTTACTGCTCCTATTAAAATGTACATTGCTATCATTTACCGCCCACCAGGGTGTAATCTGAATGATTTTGTTGTGGAACTGGACATGCTACTCTCAGAAATCCCTGATGATGGAACACCACTGATTGTAATGGGAGACATGAATATACACACTGATAAAGCCCAGGCTACAGACTTCCTTGCTCTCCTATCCTCATTTGACCTCACGCAGGTCCCAACTCCTCCTACCCACAAAACTGGCAACACTCTTGATTTAATCCTGACTCGGAACTGCTCGACAGCAAACCTGACTGTCACTCCTCTACATCTATCAGACCACTTTTTTCAATTCACAATCTCCTTGCCGGAACTCCCTCAGGCACACTCACAAATGGTGTCGTACCACCAAAACATGCGATCACTCAAGCCAGCTCAGCTGTCTAACGAGGTAATGGCTGCCATGCCTGCCCAAAAGGTCTTTACCGCACTCTCTACAGACGAGGCTACAGACACACTCTGCTCCACACTAGCCTCATATCTGAACAAGCTCTGCCCACTGGTGTCCAAACCTGCTCGCAAAACCCACCCTAGCCCATGGAAGTCATAAGAGAGCAAAGAGCAGGGCTGAGGTCAGCAGAGAGAAAATGGCAAAAATCCAAACTTGATCAATAAAAGGAAAGACAACAGCTGCTCACATCCAGGCCACCACGTGGCTGAAGAACCCGCGCACAGAAAGAAGTATGGTCAGAACAGAAAATTTGGTATTTAATTACGCACAGGTTTGCCCTGAGGGGGGGGCCTGGACAGGCACGCGAGGACAGGATCAGTATCGGCAGGCGAAGGTGTACTACTACAATACCTCGTTAGGTGAGAGTTTCTCAAAATATTGAAGCAGAGGTCTCCAGTGAGTGTAAAACCTATCAGAGCACCCTCTAAGAGAGAATTTAATTTCTCCAACTTCTGTGAGAAATAAGAAATAAGACATCGTGCAGCCATGCTTTGAAGGAGGGAGGTTGTGAAGATTTCCATAAGAGAAGGATTTTCCTGTGGGCAATTAAAGAGGCAAAAGCAATAACATTCTCCTGAGTGGTCGAGGTGGCAAGATCGTCAGGAGACCTACCGAAAATAGCTATATGTGGGGATGGATTGATGTTTATACCTAAAATGTCGGAGATGGACTTAAAGAAGTATTTCTAATAATTAACTAATTTAGAACAGGACCAAAACATGTGAGTCAGGTTGCAAGGAGCCTGAGAGCATCTACCACAAGTTTCATCAGTTGTATCCAGAAATATTCTGGAGAGTTTATATTGCTGTAATGAAGTCTGTGGAGCACTGGATAAGAGACAGCCTAGCGCAGCTAGAAGAAGAATTAACAGCCCCAAGCGCCTTTTCCCAGAAATCCTCAGAAAGGTTGGTTTGTAATTCGCTTTCCCAATCAACCTTGACCTTTTTTACCGCGTACTCGTCAGTTGTGAACAGGAGGTCATAAAGGAAGGAAACCTGACCTTTGGGCAAGATTCTTGCCTTGAGTGCCAAATCAATAACACTGGGGTTTGGAACATGAGGAAATGCCGGTGAGTGGGTCCTAGCAAAATCACGGAGCTGAAAATATCGAAAAAAGTGGTTGAAACTGGCAAAAACATCATTAACGTATAAGTCACCCAGACAGCGCAGGCCATTCCTCTCCAAAGATGCAAATCGTGGGTCAATCCTAGCTGGTATAAAAAGGTGATTATTACAGATGGGCGTCACTTTAGAGAGGGAGAGCCGTGTGTCGTCTAATTTGTGACCATATTTTAAGTGTGCCTATTACCACAGTATTAGACGTGAAGCTAGAAGGAGAGAGGGGAAGGGTGCCACACACCAGAGATGGGAGAGAAGAGGAGCAGGAGTCAGCCTCTAATCGGCACCAGCTGCACTGGGGTGAGATAAACCAAAGTATAATTTTGTGAACATTGGCTGCCCAATAGTAGCTGATAAAATTAGATAATTATTAATTAATATTAATTTATATCCAGAAATAACTCCAAAAGGAGCGAAAGGATAGACGGAATACTTGTCAGGGGGTCACACACATAAAGGAGGAGATCGTCAGCATAAAGCGAGACGCGATGTTCAACCCCCCCCTTTTTGATCCCCCCGAACCCTCCAACCGACTTTAAAGCAACTGATAATGGCTCAATAGCGAGTGCGAACAACAGCGGAGAGAGCGGACAGCCTTGCCTAGTGCCGCGAAAAAGAGGAAAAGGTCTTGAACGCTGTGTGTTTGTACACACAGATGCGTAAGGGGAGGAGTAGAGTAGCTTAATCCAGGAGATGAAGCTGGCACTAAAACCGAACCGTTGCAAGGTGAAAAAGAGATAAGGCCACTCCACCCTATCGAAGGCCTTCTCGGCATCGAGAGATATTACAGCCTCAGGCTCAGTAGAAGAGGACGGGGTGTGAATGATGCAGAGAAGCCTCCCCTTTATGAATCCTGTCTGATCTTCTGAGATTACTGTGGGCATAATAGCCTCCAGACGACGGGCTAGAACCTTAGCTAGAATTTTAACGTCAACAAAAAAAGAGTGAAATTGGGCGATAGGACGCACAGCTTGCTGGGTCCTTGTCTTTCTTGTGAATGAGAGATATAGAAGCTTGCATGATTGGTTAAACATTCTGAGTAGGAGTGGAGCAAGCAGGTCAGAAAACTGTTTAAAAAACTCCACAGGATACCCGTCAGGGCCTGGTGATTTGCCACTGCGCATTGAGCAAATGGCCTCTTTGATTTCAGAGAGTGTTAAAGGGGCATCTAATGTCCGACTAGCATTAGGCGAAACTTTTGGTAAAATTAATTTATCAAAGAAATTACGTAACTGACTTTCATCCTTAGGGGACTCAGAGGTATACAGCTTAGAATAAAATGACCTAAATATGTCGTTTATCTCATCTGGGTCAGAGGTTAGAGAGCCTGACTCGTCTTGTGTCTGGGTGATCTGGTTGGAAGCCAATCTGGCCTTTAGTTGGTGGGCCAGAAGGCGACCCGCCTTGTCGCCATGTTCGTACATAGACCCACGAGAGCGGAGGAGGAGACGTTCAGCTTCTGTAGTAAGAAGAAGGTCAAGCTCCGTTTGGAGTCCTAGCCTTTCTTTGTACAAGTCAGGTGATTGGGAAGTCGACAGTAAGACATCAAGGTTATCTATAGATTTTTCTAATTCCCTCTGGCGAGCCCTGCGCAGCTTGTTCGCATGAGACGTGTACATGATAATTCTGCCTCTAATGAAAGCCTTCATGGTTTCCCACAATAATGAGGGGGAGGTTTCATCATTCTCATTAGTTTCGCAGAAAAAACTAATCGAATCAGCAACGCATTTGCAAAAGTTTACATCGGCCAGCAATAATGGATCTAGGCGCCAAACTCTGAATTCCTTTGGTCTGAGGTCAAAGCGGAGGTCCAGAATCACAGTAGAATGATCAGACAGAGTAATAGGAGAGTATTTAGTGGAAATAATTGACGGAATAAGTGTTTTATCAACCAAAAAATAGTCTATCCGAGAGAACGATCGGTGAGCGTGCGAGAAAAAGGAATATTGTCTGGTAGAGGGGTGCGAAAACCTCCAGGGATCAACATAACCATATTGATCCATAAAGGCCGAAATGGTCTGTGACATTTTTAAGAGTGGGGCCGGCCGTGAGCTAGATCTGTCTAATATTGGGTCTATGACACAGTTCATGTCACCCCCAAATATCAGAGTATGGGAATTTAAGTTCGGGATAGAGGACAGTAACAACTTCATAAAATTATGGTCATCCCAGTTTGGAGCATAGACCGACGTCAGGACAACTGGCTTCTGGTATAGTATGCCGGAGATAATCACGTAACGGCCGTCTGAATCTAGGATTGTGCTAGTAGGAGTGAAATGTACGTTTTTCCTTATTAATATGGCTGTGCCTCTTGTTTTCAAATTAAATTTAGAGTGAAAGACCTGACCAATCCACTGCCTGCTCAACTTCCGGTGATCAGAGTTTTGTAAATGTGTCTCCTGAAGGAACATTATGTCGGCATTGAGGCTCTTGATATGTGTCATGATTTTAGTTCGCTTCACTGCAGCATTTAACCCACCAGTATTTAAGGAGACGATCCTCACCGCCTGTCCGCCAGCCGCCCCCCCACTGGTCACACTAGCCATGACACAGCACAGGTCAGCAAAAGTTTCTGGTCAATCCTAGGATGCGAGCAGCAAAAGAGTGAAAAGCAGCGAGTACCTGAGCAACATAGCACAGTAACAACAAAGTTAACACGAATAAAACAAACATCACAAAAATGATAGGTTAACAGAGGTCCCCCTCCCTACACACCCGTAGAGCTGGCACTCCCTTCCAGCTTCAACTCTCCCTCCCCAAATAACCTCCCCATAGAAAGAACGATCCTCCCATCCCTCCCAACCCACTTTACCCATGTCCCTTAACAAATCCTTATCAACCAAAACAAAAGATGTGTACTTCCCTTTCTGCGTCCTCACTCCTTCGGGATTCATCTCAGATCCCATAACTCGTAAAAGAGAAAAATCAGATATGTAACCCTCTGAATACAATATGAAATATTGGCCCACCACCGTACAAAAAATAAACAGTCTGCAAGTATCAAATTGAGGTCTTAAGACAGTCTGAGCTATACTGCATTGAATAGAAAAATACAATAAGAAAAATAAGAACTGGCTCCAGACTGCAGAATGATAGACTTATTCAGCACCAAGTGTGAATGAGATATAAGGCCTCATTTATAAATACAATTTGTAGACATTGTAGCCACATAAACATTGTGAACTTTAGCACCTCAGAACCATGGACACCTCAGATAAAGTGCCAGCCTATGAGCATCAATGATATAGACGTCTACAGTATAAACAAAAAAGGTGGAGAGATAAAACAAAGACAACAATCAAACATAAAGTGTCCGAGTAAACAACAAACTCAGATTACCACAATATATTGTCTCTCATCACGGCACTTTAAGTGTACATGATGATGGTATGGCTAGCCGGTTAGCCTCCAGGCCAACAGTAAAGTGTAAGGGGCTATCAGAACATCCCAGACCTGGAGTGTCATCATAGTGTCCTTTACATCCTGATACAGCCAAAGGGATTGTGCACTTGAAGCATTTTCAAATTGTCAAAGAGTCTTACCCTGGCCGTGTCGGTATAGTTTGATGAAAGACCGTGTTAGCATGGCTAGTGTGGCTAGCGCTCAAACTCCGAGCGAGCTAGCAGTGCAGCTAATCGGGCCTCGGGGTGTGTTGATAGTTAGCCGCAAAAGTGTTAGCCTCCTCAGGGGATGAGAACCTCTTCCTTACCCCGCCATCCAATGTTATCTGCAAGCGGGCTGGGTAGAGCAGAGCCGGCCTAAGAGCGAGGTTGTACAGTTTGGCCATGACCGCCCGATATTTAACGTGTTCCTCAACAACCTCCGGAGCGTAGTTTTCAAAAATCTGGACAGGGGACCCACGGTACTGAAGTGTACCTCGTTTCTTGCGTGCCTCCCGTATAATCAGGTCCTTGGTCTGGTAACGATGGAGACGGATGATTACAGGCTGCGGCCGCGACGTGGGTTGTGGTTTAGTGATGAGTGCCCTGTGTGCACGGTCCAGTTCGGGAGGAGATTGAAGGGTCTCGTCCCCAAACAATTCAACAAGGAGGTCGGAGAAAAAGCTTGTGGGCCTGGGTCCCTCAATAGACTCCGGGAGGCCGATGATTCGGATGTTATTCCTGCGGCTGTGGCTTTCCAAGTCCGCAGCCTTTGCCGCTAGCCTAGCGTTGCTATCTGTCAAGGCTACACACCTCTCTTCCAGTGCTTGAATACGCAGCATTGTTTTCCAAAGACTCGAGACGTTGTCCGTGTTCTGTTACCGTGGTCTGCATTTTGTCCAATCTAGATTCCACAGCCGCAAAAGTTTTCTTTATATCGGCCGAGATACTAGCTGAGATACTAGCTCTGTGGTCCTCTAGCAGGCTAGCTATGCTAGTCAGACACAAGTCTGCATGAGGCAGAGGCTTCTGCTTCGGCTTTCCTTTGCGGTTTAGAAGATTTCGACATCTTGCCTTAGCATTTCGAGAATAATGATGTTTATTACTCAGTTTCGTACTTTCGTTTTGTAGGTGTGGCAAAAAAGGGTTTTTAAGAGTAAATTTAAGTTTGAGTTACGGGGGACGGAGACTACGCTGTGCTCACATGCTCACCAAACCGGAAGTTCCTCAAGTCTCTGAGTTCCTGTCCAGAAACGATCTGTTTGACCCAAATCAGTCAGGCTTTAAGCGGGGCCACTCTACTGAAACTGCACTACTGTCAGTAACAGAATCGCTACGAGCTGCCAGAGCTGCGGGTCAGTCCTCAGTTCTATTACTGCTATACCTGTCTGCTGCCTTTGACACAGTCAACCATCAAATCCTCCTATCCACACTCTCTAAACTTGGCATCTCAGGATCTGCCCTCTGCTGGTTCGTGTCCCACCTCTCTGGGCGATCCTTTAGAGTGTTGTGGAAGGGAGACGTGTCCAAAGCGCACAGCTTATCCACAGGGGTACCTCAAGGGTCAGTGCTTGGTCCCCTTCTCTTCTCCATATACACAAGCTCACTTGGTTCAATAATCCGCTCTCATGGCTTCTCATACCACTGCTATGCTGACGATACCCAGCTCTTCCTGTCATTCCCGCCAGACGATGTTACAGTCTCTACAAGAATCTCATCATGCCTTGCTGATATCTCTAAATGGATGAATAAACGGCACCTTCAACACAATCTTTCAAAGACTGAGCTCCTTGTCATCTCAGCCAGTCCCTCTATGCAACCACAGATCAATATCCAGCTTGGAACAACCAAACTCATGCCCACAAAGTCTGCCCGGAACCTGGGTGTCATGATTGATGACCAGCTAACTTTTAAGGTTCAAGTAGCCTCGATTGCCCGGTCATGTCAATTCGCCCTGTACAACATCAGGAAGATCAGACCTTACCTGTCAGAACACGCTACGCAGCTCCTGGTACAGGCTCTTGTGATATCACGCATCGATTATTGCAACTCTCTACTGGCAGGTCTTCCTACATGCACTATCAAACCTCTGCAAATGATATACAATGCAGCAGCACGACTGGTCTTCAACCTTCCTAAAAGAGCACATGTCACTCATCATGTTCATCTCCTTACACTGGCTCCCAGTTACTGCTCACATCAAATTTAAAACTCTTGGGGCGCGCGCCCTAACCATTGCGCCACCAGCGCGCCCCATGTATTGAGGCTGTCGTCTCAAGCGGTAGGCCCGGGTTCGCTTCCACCCGTGGCCTCTTTCCGCATGTCATTCCCCACTCTCTCTCCCTGGTTTCCGACTCTATCCACTGTCCTATCTCTGCATTAAAGGCACAAAAGCCCAAAAATAAATCTTTAAAAAAAAACAAAAAAAACTCGGCTCCTCCTTACTTTAACTCTCTCATCCAGGTCTACACTCCTTCCCGCCCACTAAGCTCTGCCAATGAAAGGTGTCTGATCCAACCTTCACAACAGTGTCCTAAGTCTCTGACTAGACTCTTCTCCTCTGTTGCCCCCCGGTGGTGGAATGAACTTCCAAACTCCATTCGATCTGCAGAGTCCCTCTGCATCTTTAAGAAAAAGCTAAAGACCCAGCTCTTTCATGAATACCTACTAACTTAATGATGATGGTTTCGATATCATTGATGATGATGATGGTTGTCACGATTGTTTTTGTTTGATAACGATGACTTATAAGATGGTTTCTATACTGATTAGAGCTCGCAAGAACTGCCGTCAATGTCGTGCTTTGCCTCTGTGCAATGCCTTTCAGCACCTGTGTGTCCAATCAGACTCAAAGCTGTTCGTTTGCTCTTACTGACATTGTTCACTTTTTCTAGATCCTTGCTTGTGTTGTACTTACTCTCTGATGTATGTCGCTTTGGATAAAAGCGTCTGCTAAGTGAATTGTAGAATTGTCAACTTTTCTCTAACCTTAATTCTAACAAAAAAAAACAATTAAAACTGTAAAAAATAAAAAGTGTTCAATTAAAGTAAGGGCGGCTCTAGCTCAGTTGGTAGAGTCGTCGATCCCCAGCTGAGCAACATGTCCAATGTGTCCTTCGGCAAGACACTTAACCCCACATTGCTCCCACTGCTTCAGTGACCGTGTATGAATGGATTAGTATTGTACTTACTCTCTGATGTATGTTGCTTTGGATAATAGCGTTTGCAAATTGAATTGAAGATTTGTAGAATATAAAAAGTTAAATATACAACATGTAAAAATATCAACTAAAAATATAAACTGTAAAAATAAAACTGTAAAATAAGACTTAAAATATAAAAACTATAGGAGTAAAAACTGTACAATTTAAAAACTTCTTGTAAAGATAAAAACTGTAAAAATGATAAGCCTCTCCCTCTTTCTGTCTCTCAGATGATTCAAACCAGACTCTGTCCAAGGACATCAGTGCCGCGCTCTCTGCTGTTCCTCAATGTTTCGACTCTGAGGGGGGCTTTCGATTGGAGGATGAGCTGCACATAGAGCCTCTCAGCCTGGACGGTCTGAGCATGCTCAGTGACCCTGACATGGTGCTCCCTGACCCATCTGTGGAGGATTCTTTCCGTAGCGACAGACTGTGAACACACACACACACACACACACAAAAAAAGTTTAATCTGAACAGACTTTACCGACATGAATCCACTTAGTCAATGTGAGCATGTTTACCTGGGAACAACACACACACACACACACACACATTAACATGTGACATGTGAACACGTGTTTTTGAAAACCCGGATCAGGATGGACGATCTAGCAAGGATTCCTCCGACCTCTCTCACCGACTGCACCCTGAAGCCATGGTAACCCTATCGCCATGGAAACATGCACTTCCTGGTTTTGTACTTTGAAAGACATGTTTGTGCTCGGAGACGTTTTCTGTTCCTTCTGGAAACTTGTGACTTTTTTCTTCTTCAGGTGAATAAAGGCAGCAAGCTGCGGATACTTCAGGCTCTGAAACAATCGTGGGAGAAATTAAGACTTTGGATCTCCTGTTCAAAATGTTTTTCTTGACAGTTATAAACGAACACTATTCAAATGTATTTTTAAAAGAGAAACAAAAAGGGCCAAGTGTTTACGATTTTATAAAATATTACTAAAGACTCTAAGAACTAAAAGATGGAGCCGAGTGGTCGAGAAGACGGGCGAGCTCTGTGCTGCTGTGCGCCCAGTTTGTATCTAATGTTTGTACCTGACTTCTGTAACCGCCAAAACACACACACACACACACACACACACACACACACACACACACACACACACACACACACACACACACACACACACACACACACACACACACACACAGTGATCATGTGGACTTCATGTGACGTTGTATTTAACTTGTTTTGCACTAATTGTTCCTCGAGATATTTTTACACATGGTCAGTTTTTTATCCCAAAGATCAGAACGAATTAAAAATGGATTATTCTTAGATCATCTGATTATTTTTAAAAAATATTTACAGCTGATTCTGTACTAACTTGGACTCTCTGGGAATAGAGCGCCCCCTAGTGACCATGAAAATCAATTCAGAGATTTTCTCCTTTTAACCCTGAAGCATTTATTAAACTATGCAAAGGTGTTTTGTATTCAGTGAACCCTGTGGATCAGGTTAAACTTCACATCATGTAGTATACCCCCTGACCCCCCCCCCCCCCAACTCTGAACATGTTTTTCATAATGTGGGGGTCAAATGAGCTAAAAGCCCGATATGACATGAGTCCAGTGTCCACATATGGACGGGTTTGTGCTCCTGCAGGAATAAAAACATTGAAAGAGGTTTGTATTTGATGTGAGACCTGCACTGTGTGGACGATTGTGATGAAGAGGGCTGTTGGTTATGATGTTTTATAAGAAGTATATTCAGTTTGACTTATTACACATTTTTACTCTTGTTATTAACATGATGGAGCCGCTTTGCATTTTAACTCTGTAAATTTATAATCCTGCTGCCGTCTGCTGCCTTACTTTATTTTATTATTCCAGCAGTTTTCACCTCCTGTTTTAGCATTTGTCTTCTTTTCTGTCTGTTTCATTGTTGTTGTTTTTTTGTTGTCTTACTCTTTAGTTTCATATTAAAATGCACATGTCATGTTATTTAAAGAATATTTTTGTCCACTAGTGTGGCTATTTTTTTATGTAATTTGAGTTTGTTTAATCCCACATTTAAAACATATTTGGTCTGTAACAGATGTCATAGTGGTAATCATTCTGGTTTGATATAAACAATAAACTTTAAGTCTGAATTATGGATGTGGTTGTTGTTCCTGCCAGTAGAGGGCAGCAGTGTACTGAAACACACTGAAGTATGGGGGTAGATAGGCATGCCATCATGATGTCAGAATGTTTTTACTTTAACAGAAAATAGCAGATTTTCTTTTTTTAAGTTTATATTTTATTGATTTTATGACAACATTTTGATAGCAAACAATTATAAAAACAAACAAACAACAAAACAGGCAGGAAACATAATAGATAATAAATGGATGACAGAGATTAGAGACAACGATGCAGAAAGTATCATCAGTGCATCACCAGAAGGGTGATGTGTGCTTACTAACAAACAAAAGTCAATCAACACCCTGCCAGTGATGTGTTGCATTCTCCTGATATAAACTGGCTAAAATTGTCCCATTGCTCCTTAGAAATGTCATTCTTACAGTTCACCTTTCCAAGCATATTTTCACAAGCAGCTATTGTCATCATTTCTTCTTTCCACATTTTCAGTGTCAGAGTTCTTGATTCTTTCCAAATCTAAGAATTAGCCGAGCACATGTTGTTAAGCCAGTTGTTAATACTTTAAATGAGTATTTGCTTAAATAGGGTTGTAGGAGCCTTATTGCTCATCATGTTAAATTTATGGAGGCATGTAATACTTTTTGTTCATTGGATCCGGGAGGGGGAGGGGCTTGTGGACTTAATTGGGCTCAGTTCAGACTAGTAGAGAGTGGAGCCACACAGTCTTTTGACCTCTCTCTCCTCATCTCTCTTTTTGTATAGTTTTGGACTAACCTGTATCTGTTTTTTGTTTATTTATGTTTAAGTAAACATTTAAACTTTGATCATTTGGTCCCATGGATTTTTTGGATGAAAATTACTTAAGAGAGGAGTTCTGGGAGCGTCAAGCTACGGCTTCATTCAGTGGATACCTACAAGGGTACTACACCTTTATCCCCCAGGAGACAAAGCTGAGGTGATCTGGGAAGTTGGCATCTCAACCAGTCCTCCATAAGTGCTAAAACATTGTTCCATAATGGGAAGACCATTCAGCATTCCCATTAAGCATGAATATATGTACCACATTCTGATTTACATTTCCAACATGAACTACTTTGGATTAAACCCATACTATTACGTCTTGCAGGGGTGTAATAATATCTATTCAGTATTTTATGTTGAATAAATTTGCCCCTCGCTTCTCTGATATACTTCCCATTCTGTAAAAGAATCCTCTCCCACATCTCCTCATCCAGTGTTTATCCCAAATCTTTCTCCCAAATCCTCTGAAGATTTTTACCTTCATTATTGTTTAACCATGGACATATTTCATACCACTTTGAGGCTTTAAGGAACATTACCGGTAGTTGAAAGTATTGCTCGATTGTGTTTTTTTCCTAAGGAAAGTGAAACATTTTTTCCATACAGTCTCTAATTTGCAGATACTTCCAGAGATGACCATGACCCTCTAAGTTAAAATTCTCCATCATCCTGTTACAAGAAAGAAACTGGTCATCCTCAAATAGGTCCCCAATCATTCTGATACCTCGTCTTAGCCATTACGCCCAGTAAATTGTTTATTTACCTATTTTTATTTTAGGATTATACCATATTTTTGGTTAGTTTCAGAGCGTTTACAATTTTTATGAACCTTTCGCCACACCGTCTTGGAATAAGCCAAGATGGGGTTTACCCTTGTTTTTTGAGCCTTCCTTAATGTTTGTGCGAGGGCCTCAACAGGTTGAAACGGAGGAGTGAGCTCCTATTCAATCAGGACCCAGTCCATTTCAGAGAATATAGCAGATTTGAACATGTCCTGGGGCCTCTTGTATAAAGGCTGAGTATGCGGTGTTTCATGCACACATCTGGATGGATAAAAATCAGTGTGACGTCAGACAGTGCCAAACGATATAGTTCCTAAAACTTGCCAGCTGTGCCATAATGAATTTGCCACTCAATTTCCTGAACTATTTCCATGAAGTTTGGGACGTATAAAAACATATTTTTCATGGTCTGAGCTTCAATATGGATCATGTTTGACCTCAGCAAGGGGCACAAACAGTAAACTGGAAAGTGTTCTCTATTTTTGTGACATGAAGATGTTAGCACACATCAGGGACAGTTACCGAGGCGCAGAGATATTCATGTCCCTTTTCGGTCATCGTTTCTTTTCATTTCTTGTTTTATTAACAATGTTTTATATTACAATTTCTCGTATGAATCAACATCAAATAACAGCAAGGCCTGACATGATACAAGAATGTATAAAAGCAATGTTCACCTTCTTCACACACACTAAATAGAATGAAAGAAATACAATAAATACAAAGGCATTTACAAATTATAAGTCAAATCAATTAATAAACCAAATGCAGATTGTCTCCGCATTTCTCCTCAAACAGATCGGTCGGATTCACGACTCGCTTTAAATGTTGCATCCGCAAGGAATTGTGGGACCACATATCTCATCTCCTTTGGTAAAGGATGGTCCAGTGTATCCTAGGCCAAAGGAGGTTATAAAGGAAGCATTGACCCACCTTTCCTTAGCTTTTAGAGAATTCAAACAGCCACTGAAATGCTTCCAGGTCATTTCACTCAGTTAGGAACCTTCCTAAGCAAAAAAGACAATTCAGACGCACCCAATGTGTCATTTATTCCAACAGGAATGTCATTGTTTCTCTATTCGCTGCATATATCTTCCCGTCCTGCTTTTTTCTGTGTTAAATTGATGCGTCTGCTCCATGGTCTGACAAAAGAGAGTTACAATAATCCAATCTGGAGGTAACGAGTGCATGAACTAGTTTTTCTGTATCATTTTGCGACAGGATATTCCTGATCTTGGATATATTACGAAAGTGAAAATAGGCTGTTCTTGAAATTTGCCTGATGTGAGAGCTAAAAGACATTTCTTGATCAAATAGAACTCCTAGATTTCTACTAACCGAATGTTTGTCAGATTATTTCTCAGTTTGATGGTTACCTTAAGATGTTGATTCATCAGAACTGTCATTTTCATTCACTAAATACATTTTTGAAAAAAGAAAATAATATGTCATTTAAAAAAAACTTAGTATATACTTTGTAATATATGGAAGCCCATTTCCGCCAGTTAAAAAGATAAAAATGAAAACCTGGCTTTATTGAGATTTTTTCGAAATTATGAGATAAAAAAGTCATGTGATCCAGCTGGCATTGTAGTCCCTGCATCCCCTCACTCGCCCAGCCACGCAATGCAATCCTAAACAAGGTAACTAATTCTACCAAATGTAATAAATGTTAGATGCATGATAGCCCAAATAGTTGTGTCTTTTAATCCGGTTGTCGTTAGAACTAAACACATTACATTACTGTTTACGTAGCGCTGACGTTGACTCAAATGTCAATGTAGCCTGTAGGCTACTACACAGTAGGCTAACGCTCACGGTACTAGATGGTGTCCCTGAAACGTAAACAAAGTGTTGTAGTGAGGCGGCTATCGGCCTTCGCATTGCTCTCTGAGTAAGGAGTAAGGGGGTCATCACGATACATGTAACCTAAAGCCATGAACACCCGAAATCTGTTGAATAGCTGCTTCATCTCCTCACCGGCCCCGGTGTTTATATTATATTTGTTTATTAAAATATTTTATATTTTACAAAAACATGTTTACATTTTGAAGAGATGCATTGTTAATCAAGGCTTCTGTATTTTATTGATAACTGATTCAACATCCAGCTCTGCATGTTATTACAAGCTATAGTTTTTTTAAGGTAGGCCTACTTGATCAATCAGTGCTGTCATAAGCTGCTTCACATTAAATCAAATGATTATGTGATTATGCCCTCTTACCCATTTTAAGTAGTGCGTTTGTAATAGCATCATGGGTCAGGTTTTGATCAGGTGACTTATTTTTTAAAAACACTACTAGAAACATGAAACACAAAATGAGACTGCTCCCTTTCTTCATTGTAAAACAAAAGGTTTTTGCTTATAAAGATAAAGATAAAGTTTATTGATCCCCATGGGGGAATTTTTTCATTACAACAGCTCAAAAAAACAGGAACCAGGAATATAATTATAAAAAATAAAAATAAGTTAAAAATCAAACATATGTACATCAGTTAAATATCTATATCTATATATATTATCTAACCATTGACTGGAAAGGTGCTTAAAAAGCAAAACTACAAAGGGAGAGATTTGTCAGAGATTTTATGTATTAGGTTATAATGTTTGAGCTTTAATTCTATTTAACATAGGTGCAGAGGGTTTTTGAACTGTAACAAGATGGATGAGCTCAGTGACTACTTAAGGTCCAGGCATGTGCCTGAGGAAGACATACAGTGAATGGAACAGGAGAAGGTACTTATATAGGAACTGAGTCATATATTAATATTAAAAAACAAAAGTTGAGATCAGCTTCACAAATATGTTTGGCTTTATGCAGGTTGTTCATTATTATAATTGAAAGCACTTTACCAAATAATTAATTAAATATTTCTCCCTTTTAGATTGATACCAGTGTCATAAACCTCATGACAGATGAACAGCTAAGGGATTATCTGCCATCATATGGTGATCGGCTGGCTGTTTTTGGATACTGCAGACGCAAGGAAAACGAACCAAGGAGTCGCAAAATGAAGGTTTTTGAGCGGCTTAGAGGAAAACTATCAAGAAGCAAGGGTGATCATGTGCCTGAAAGAGAACATCACACCATTCCAAACAACGCCCAAAAGAATCAGAGAAAAATTGAGATAGGATGGATGCATTTCAGAGAAAGAGGATTTGTGCAGGTACGCACCAAAAAGGGTGGAGGGACCAGAAAAAAGAGTGTCTCAAAGGAAAGTAAAAAAGAGAACTTACTAGAAAAGGCTCTGCACTTGTTTTTTCCAGATGGAAAAAATGCAGAGGGTACCCTTACTGATTTTGACATTGATTTGACCGATTTTCAGCAGCATTCATTGGACGATACTATCACAGTTGGGGAACTGTATGAAAAGACAAAGTTACCTCTCTTAGGTTTCTATTTAACAACCAAGAAGCAAGACATACATCTGGAGGAGGAAGATAGTGATGCAACCACAGAAGGTGAAAACACACATGTTAGATCTGATAACCATCACAGCTCTCCAGCAGAAGCAACAGATGTGGAGATAAATACCCCAGATATCATTTTTGTTGGAAACAGCACAGTATTTACAGATGCAAGGAGTGAGAGTGTGTCCCTTCTCTATACCACGGTTGACCCAACTGATTTACGTAGTTTCCCTGAACATGAAACATTACTTAATTTGGATGTCTTAGAGGATAGTGACATTGTAACTTTCCCCACACAAAGCGTCTATGTAAGTGAGTACTCCAGTCTTGATGATACATTGCCTCAGGAACCACCTTTGCCTCCTTCCACGGATATAGGACAGGAACAAGCCCGTCAGAGAGAAGGACTAAAGAAAATTGTTGTTCTTCATCGTGGACAGATTCTTAAAGAACTTATTCAAGTTTTTTTGGAGGAAAGAATCATGGAGGATAACCTTTACTTTCAACAAAAAGCTGTGGATGATGGAGGTGTTTTGAGGGATGTCCTGTCAGAATTTTGGAATGACTTCTATGAGCAGTGCACTTTGGGAAATGTCTTCAAAGTGCCATACCTACGTCATGATTTTCGTGAACAAGAATGGGAAAGTGTAGGCTGAATTATCACATTTGGCTGGAAAAAAGAGAAGTACCTTCCTGTAAATCTTGCACCCGTGCTGTTGGAACAAGCTCTTTTGGGCTTTGTGGAGAGTGATATTGTGGGCATCTTTTTCAAGTATGTGTCAGAGTCTGAGCAAGTGATCCTTGAATCATGTCGTTTACATTTTGAAGATGTTGACCAGGAAGAACTGTTGGAAATTATGGATATTCACAACTGCCGGAGGCTTCCAACAGCAGATAACATTGAGCAAATCTTGAAGGAGCTTGCTCACCAGAAATTGATTCAGGAGCCTTCTTTTGTGATTAAACATTGGAAGAAAATGCTCAGACCCATTAGATCAGAGTTAAAAGGGATTTCAGCAATCTATGAAGAGCTACAACCGACATCACAAAAGATCATGAGATCAATTATTTACCCCAGAACCCAGAATGCCAAGGAGAAACAAATTGTTAAGTATGTAAGCACATATCTTAGAGAGTCAGACACCCAGCACCTCTCCTTTTTCCTCAGATATTGCACTGGATCAGACTTGTTCATAGGCAAGAGCATCACTGCCACCTTCTCACAACTTCAGGGATTTCAGAGAAGACCTGTTGCTCATACATGTGGCTGTTTCTTGGAGTTGCCAGTCAGTTATGACAGCTACCCAGAGTTTTGACATGAAATGAACAAAGTCCTAGAAAGCAGTGTGTGGGTAATGGACATTATCTAAGATAAAAAGATTTCAGCCCAAATGTGCTTGACTCACCTCAGAGGCTCAGGATTAGGTTTGTAGGTTTTCAGATTAAATTTGGGTATTAAAGTAATAACTACAGACACCATGTTTTACCTTACTTTAGTATCACAGTTTTAAAAGACCAGTGTGTAGAAATTAGTGACACCTTGTGGTGAGGTTGCTCACTGGCAACCAATAGAATACAACAAAAGAAGACACAACAATCCTTAGTTTCTGATGATTAAACAATAATAACATTTGATTTCTGACTATAAATCTCCCTAAATTCTACCTAGTGGTCCTTTAACATGCTTTCAACATTCTTCTGCTGCCACTTTTAAGTTGTTCATCATTGCTTTCAATTTAAGAAATTTAAAGAAGTATGTTTCAATGCCGAGTACTGTGAATACCTTTATTAAGTACGATGTTTAAGAATTATGGTGTAGACTTCACCAACAAATTAGTTATTTCAGACAACATATTACGGTTATAACATAAATTTCTTGTTCTAATGTCAATGGTAATTTTTGATGAGAGAGAAAAATGAAGGAACTTAACCATCTGTGCTCTGGTTTGACACATTCACAACTGGTGTTTTTTGAAGCTTGAAAGAATTTGTTCAGCTTATTGTACCTTGGCTCCATAACACAAACACAGAACAACAAGCCTCCGTCTTATTTTTGGGAAATCCCCACTTTAAGCTTCACTCTATTGTCGACACATTAGAGAGCTTGCATCTTGCATAAGTTTACCTACTTCTACTTTTTTTATTGATACGACAGGGTAATGTCATTATATGTCATGTTTGCATAACCTTTTTTTGTTCCAAATGCACATATTTGTTTTAATTTAAAAAACATAAGCTTATGATAAAAAATCATTATCAAATGAAATATTTGTGTTATTTTCTTGGTACATTTATTATTTTCAGTTCAGAGTTTTTCCAGCACATTTATGTAAGTTATTTTCTTTATAACAAAACAGGTACCTTTGATTTAATACTCCTGTCATTTCACATCTCAAGCACTATTTTTTCAGGTGCTGTTATTGCTGGTTATCAAAAGAGAGCAAGGCATTCTCAACTGTTACATAAGCCAATAACTTTGTTACTGCTATATACTATCTGCTGTATAAGTTAGATTACATTGTAGTTAAAATGAAAACATAGCAGTTTTGTATACTGTGAAATAAAAATGTTTTAATAAAAAAAATGTTTCTAAATGTGTGAATTTGCATTTTTACTCACTTCTTACAAGTAGTCAATGTCAGTTCAACAAAGAACTTTATGCACTGAACATAGTTTGTATATCTTTAACATTTCTTAGGTAACTACAATTACATTAGCATTCCTCCCAGGTCAAAACACATGGAAGAAAACTGTGTTTGTGAGAAAAACATAAAAAGGGGAATATACAAAGTGACACAGGCCTAGGGAAGTTAATCATCTAGGTCCAGTTCATTGTTGATCAGCTGCCTAAGTCTGATGTACAGGTTAACTGTTTCAAACACATCATTGGTCAAATTTAGATTATACTCTGACATTAGGTCCGCACAGATGTGGAACACATCTCATCCTTGAACACACACTCTTCAAGGCAGATTTGAATCTTCTCCATATCCACATGATGTAAACAATCCCTGCCTCCGTACAGTTGAGGGACTGCATGCAATATGGAGGGACGTCCATGAGGTGAGCGTGAGTTGTGGACTTGGCGGACTCTGTGGTTATTCCAAGTCAGAACAACCTCATCAAGTTCTTCCTAGAAGGCACATCATATTTAGTCAGTGCATAAAATATAAGCCATTAATAATTACTGCCCTGGCTAGTAGTCCTGACCCATGGTTGGTTTTTATCTGTGAGATTTGTCCTTGCTTGTGATACAGTGGGCTCGCACAATAATATGAATACCAGCAAATTGTAATTTTTTGCACTGCAACTACTGTTACAGGCATAATATAACAGCTATCAAAATGTAAAAAAAAACCTGTCTTTGACATCATCATGTGATGTCATTTATCATACAATTATAAAATTATTCTATATACAGTATCTGTATATTATATGATATGAATTCATTTGATAATTACCCCAACCATCATGATTTCTTTGTTAACCACAAAACAAAACAAAATGTATTTTTTAGTCTCCATACACCATAAAGGCAATGACTATATCACACATGGTCATTTGTGTCTCTTAAAAATATAATTGGGCAATATTTTCATGTGTCACTTACCTGTATCGTTTGAAGAAAGCAAAACCGGATCAAGGACTTGTCCAAGAAGTTGTCTGAGAAGTAGCCATCTTCTCTCAGTTTGTCAAATAGCTCAATCCAAAACTGGACACACTCACTTCTCAAGGTTAACCACCATCGTTCTATCCCCTTGTTTTCCAGTGTTTGGACCAAAGGTTACACTGTCTGTTTCAGCTTGGTTCTCAGAAAAATGCAAAAACTGCTGCATTTCAGCCATATGGCCATTTTCTGTCCCCAAGTCAAGTCTGATTCTGGCAGGGCAACCACCAGCATTGGTCACAGCATCCATATAGTAGCCAGCGATGACCTTTGGGTCATTGTTTGTTTTGTAAGCTTCAAGCCAAATCATCTTCCTGGAAAAACCATCAATGGATCCACTGATTGCAATTCCAAATGGCTTAAGCTTGTCATAGCCATCAATATGCCAAACATAGTTTGGACCACAGCTGTGGTAAACACGCCTCCGCAGTCTGTTTCTTGACCTGACATCAACACCTTCACCATCAAATAACTGCAGCAATACTCGAACTGTTTCTCTGTCAGTCACAATCCCATGTAACCAACATTTTTGGTGCATCCATCTGTAGCCATGGCACTGACCAGATGCTTCCAGTTGATTCTCAATAAAGGTAGCCACCTCAGTCACATCAGTTTTATTCTTTCTTCGCCAGAGCTGCTTCTTCCTTAAAATCCTTTCAAGGGTGCGTTTGCTTAGCACTATCCCATGCGAATCCGCTAGCAAAGATAATATTTCATTTGTGGTATAACCACGTTTAAAGTAAGTCTCAGTGTACTCACAATCCATATCATATTAAACAGCAGCTAGAGCTCAAACCAAAGTAAAGCTACTGCTTTGTCTTTAGTAAGTTTTCTTCCTTTCAACTATCTCATAATTATGACTTTTTATCTCATAATTATGACTTTTTTATCTCATAATTTTGACTTCATATTGGCAAAAGAAATCTCAACAAAGCCAAGGTTTCATTTTTATTTTTTTAACTGGCGGAAATGGGCTTCCATACTAATATGATAATAATGAGTTGAATTTATATAGCACCTTTTAGGGGGCACTTTACAAAGTAGAGTACAAGAAAAATACAAGAAAAAATACAAGAAAAACCAAAGTGAGACCGGTAACAAAGGATCGAGACGCAGTGTTCAGGGAGGTTGTAGGCTGTGGAGAACAGATGGTGTTTTCCAAGTTTATTAAATGAGTCCAAAAATGTAGCATTGTGGATGTCTGAGTGGAGGGTGGTCCAGAGGTTGGGGGGCTGTGTCGCTGAAGGCCCTTTCTCCATAGGTGCAGATTAGAGGTGTTTTTCTAAACGTTTAAATGCTAAACGTTTAGAAAAACAGGATGAACATTAGTCATAAAAACATGCATTGGTGTAAGCAATAGTCGTAGCTAAAACCTGTTCTTAAACAAGAGTTACCGGATTCCTGACAATATCTAACCCTATGAAATACATCAGTTTGACCAAACAAGAATCATGGTAAAAGAGGGAATCATAGTTAGCCTCCTCCTTAAAACCACTAATAAAAAGGCCAATTTAAGACCCTAGAGCTCTTCTCTTTGTTGACTTTCAGTTGAGTGTTTGTTCACCACTTTGTTGATGTTACTAGCAGCCCTTATAGCAGACTTCATAGATGTCTCAATCCAAGCATGAGGAAAAGCTGTATGCTCACCAGCAAAGTGCACCCTGCCTTCACTTCTGAAGAGCTCTTTAGAGTACTCTAAATGCTGATAGGGTGTAAAGAGGGCAAAGGCACCCAAACTGTAAGGATCTTCACTCCACCTCTTCACAACCACACCTGTGCACAGAGACCTGACATGTTTGCCGTGGATCTTTTCCAAATCTCTCAGAGCCAGATCTTTCAGGTCTTCATCATTTGCTCCTAAAAAGAGGAGGGAGTCATCAGACCAGGTGTAGGAAGCCAGGAGGACGCCGACGGTCTTATTTGTTGGGAAACTGTGGCTGGGGTAGTAGATGTAACGAGAGGGTCCATCTGTGATGCTCTTCCCTCCTTGTATACCGTCCTCCTCCCAGAACTTCTTGCTGAAGGTGAGGATGATTTTAGTGGAGCTCTCATAGTGGATCCCCCTCAGGGCCTCCATTTTTTTAGCGGAGAGTGATGGATCAAAGTCCAGGAAGAGGGCGGCTTTGGCTGTGGTAGTTACCAGGACAATGTCAGCGGGTATTTCTGTCAAAGATGACTGGTTGCCTTTCTGATAGGAAACAGTAACTCCCTTTTTTGACTGATGTATGTGTTTGACCTTGGAGTTAAGGTGAATAGGGACATCAAGAACAGTGAGGAAAGCTGTAGTTAAGAGATCTGACCCACCAGTGACTTCATCGTACCTGCAATGGAAAGAAAATCCTCATATATCCTTCCAGACAGAAATGGTGAAGAGTGATAATAGTATGTTGACAGAGTGAAGCTACTGCCTACTTTTATGGCAAAATATAGAAATATTGAAGTATTCTTAGCAAATACTAAAAGAACAAAGGGTGAAAGTAACAAAGGGTTAGGGTTAGGGTTATAAGTCTATTAACAAACATGTGGGCCAAGCTGTAAGCAAAAGCAGTTCAGCTGGCAACAAGTTAAAAAGGTATCAATCAAACCCTGGTGCGGACCAAACAACCATTCTGAGATACATAACGTCATGAAGCGTGCTCAGTTTACAAACAGGCGGACTCAAGGAAAAAAAAAAACAGACGCGTCTGCACACCGGAGAACAACACAGAGAACATGACAGCTACTTTGTGTCTTATATTGAGTCATGTTAGTCAGATACAGACATGAAACTCTGGATTTCTCCATAATGAAGGCTGTCAGCGTTGTGTACCCATGTGCTTGTGCTCGTGCATGAAGTGTATCGTGCCGAAGTATGCCTCTCCGAAGCGTGCCAAAGCAAAGGAAGTGTAGTCTCTGGAAATGTGTTAAAGACCATCCTTCAGAAACAGTTTGGGTGGATGAGCAGTTCCTGGTTTCCATTCCATTTTCCTTCTCTCGCTACCCAAAACGTTCAAAAGTCTAAATTCTACACCGGTTGATTTGTTGAACTTTGAAACAGATGATATGACAGAACGCTGCTGGGATGTCCCCTCTTGATGGTTGGCATTTGACCCCTATGGGGTGTGTTAAAAACAGGAGTACCCTGGCTTTAAAGTAAATTGTAACATTGACCTAAAATCTTTTTGGATGAATGTACAAATGTGGGAAAACTTACGTGGTACTGTCACTGACGTCTCTCTGGAGGTAGAGTATCTCAGTTAAGGCCAGATGCATAAGACTCTGTTCATTGAGCAAGTCTCCAATCATTTGCACCGCCTCTGGACTTAACCCACCTTCTTCTTTCAGATACTCCTGGGACAAAGCACACAAAGGTTTTCTACATTTCTACACATTAACCATAAAAAGAAAATAAGTTTTTCTGCTGTTTCTCCCAGCACACATTTTATTTTCTAACTTAATATCTCATGAGATCACAGTATGAATTACCTTTACAGAATAGTGATCGTATTTCTGTAGTGCAGCTTTGCAGCCATGTGCCTCCACCTCTTCTTTCACCTACACAGAAGATCACATTTTTAAGTTGTTACTGCTATCAGATAGCATCCCTCTTATTAACATACAGTACCTTATCTAAAGCTTGCTGTAGCAGCTGGTCCGCTGACTTGCCCCTCTCACTTTTTGGCAATTTATACTTCAGGATGTCAGGGTTTGCTTTCACGGCATAATTCTTCTTTCGCAGCCCTTTGACCCGGTAAAAAGTGTTTATGTCATCCATGACAAATGTATTCAGCTTCACGCCGAGTTCATTAGCAAACCAGCGGATGATACTATGGAGAGAAGAGAAATGTGATGTTAATTCTGGCCACATGGGAACATCAATACGATTATCAATAGGGATTCCATGAAAAGTAATATAGTCTCGATCTGATTAGCAGACAAAATTACTACAGATTTAGACATTAAGGAGGTCAGAACTGCAGCATTCATTCATTTGTCTCAAGCTTTTGACCCCATTGATCACAAAAATAATAACTCCGCTCCGAGATTATTTTACAGCGGTGTTCTCCAAGGGTCCTTTTTACGATTGGATTGGACAATCTTTATTGTTCCTGAGGGGCAATTTGTTTTTTAACAGAAGTCCATACAGCTGATACACATCATAAAAACAGCACCAAGACATAAATATGTATAAAACAGAACTCCCATGGATATCATCATAATGGACGTGGGTGAGATGAGAGACGTAGTAGAAGTTTAATGCCTACAGCTGATTTAGAATAATGTGTTTTACCGTTACATTTTTGATCTTGTTTTGAACAGAAAATTTAATTTAAACTCACAGGTGAAAACTAGGTATCCTCATGGCTCCCAGTTCAGCAAACCAGCCCTCTTTTTCGTTCCTGTAGGTCTCTACCCGTCCTCCAACACGACCGCTGGCCTCTAATACAGTCACCTTTTCAGAACAGATAACTATAGTAATAACCCACATCGCCCAATGTGTGTCTGTCTAACTTTTATGACAGGGAAAAATGAATGATGTATCCAGTGAAAGGGTGTGTCATTTTGAAACCCAAAATTATTTGTTGACAAGCACATTTATGAAATTTTGCAGATACAACCTTTTGCAAAGAACCACCGTTATAAAGAAAGGTACATTTTCAATCAGGGTGCACATTCACAATCTTCCTCATCTTTAGTAAAGGAAGTACTGAGACATTCAATCACATTTGGTTCCACACAGATGCTGTTCCTGAAGTGCCTTTCTGTGGCTATAAAGCATCCACCCGCCGTCTGTACCTTGTGTCCTGCGTCTTGCAGTAATTTGGAAGCCGTCAGTCCTGCCGCACCCGCTCCAACAATAACAACATGATGGGATGAGTTCAAGTGTGGGAGGCCTTTCTGCACCGTCTGCAGCAGTTCATCATAATCACTGTCCTTGAAACAATCAACTAGTTGTTCTTTCAGATTGACAGCTGCAGGGTTGATGCAGAACACGCTGAGCAGAAGCAGACAAGCAGCAACTGGAAACACACCCCCCCCCCAAAAAAAGAAAAAACACGCACATCAGTCCAACAGGAAGTGTTTGTAATGTAGCCTCCATAAATCCTATCATATGCTTTATTTATCTAAATACTGTGTTTAGTCTAAAGACCCTTAATGGCTAACTTCCACCAGATGTGCAGGGCTTCTAGTTTTCGCAGAGCATCAATTTAGCACAGAAAAGATCAAGAGGGATGGGAAGTCAGTGACCGAAACCAAATTAAAACATCCGGTTTATTTTCAGAATAAAACACTCCGTTTTGACAGGGCGGAAATATGTCCTTACTTGTGTTTGATTGTGTGTTTTGTGCGGTTTTATACCATACATACATACATTGTAGGCCGGGGTGATATGACCTCAAATCAACATCACGATTAATTGAATATTTTACCTCGATTACGATTCATGACGGATTATTTCGTTTTTGTTTTTTTGCCCTCAAAGTTCATTGACAAGGTCTCTACTGTAAATATGCTAAACTATTAAGGCTGGTTTTTAATGACAGAGTGCATATCTGATGAACTATTTTGAGGTTATTAATGAATATTTCGAACTGAAATCAAAACGTCACGAAATGAAAATGACACATTTTAGTTTTAGAGTATAAATGAACTTCTCTAAAACAGAAGAAAATAAATAACTTGCATTTCTTGCAAACAGTTTTTCCGCAGTGTTTACGTTTAACTTTTTTGTTCTGTATCATATTCCCAGAAGACAAAATGTTTCCAAACGTCGGACATTTCTTCCATGTCCCAAAATGGACGCGTGACTGCCCTGGAAATAATTGAAATAATTGAAATCGATTAGAGGTTCTGTCCAGCAGTGCTGATCCGTGCTGCGGACGGAGGACGCAGCCTGTGGGTGTTAATTACGAGGGTGCACGCAGCCGTAACAGAGAGGACACGCATGCACACTCATCTGGGTTAATCACGACATTTAGTCGCAATCAAAAGCACAACTTCTACTTGGATCAAAAGTCAACAACTCGGAGTGGATCTGAAAATTACAAGAACAAATACACAAAATCAGCGCTCTCATTTTACAGAATCAGAAGAATGCTTGGTGTTGGGAAACTTCTCCTTGGCATGTGACATGCAGTAAACACATCCACATTTCATGATGAGTTCTGCTTTCAGTATGAGTACTCCTTCTTTCTGCATGACATGCTGCATGTAATGTACTGCTGGTAGCCTTTTAGTGCTTTTTCAGGAGAGCAATGGTTGAAATCACCCAAGATGAATTTGGGAGTCCGGTGATATGAGTTCCAGTTTATTTAATACGTTTGTGTTCAGTGGCTGTGGCTGCGTTAGCTCTGGGGTGGATGTAAACCAGGATAAGAAAACGCTGTGGAAATTCTCTGGGGAGATAGAAAGGGCGAAGGGAGACAGCCAGAAGCTCAATGTCCGAGGTGCACAGTTTCTCCCTCACGACAATCGTCGAGCACCAGCGTGTGTTTACATAAAGATACACGCCGCCGCCATGTTGTTTCCCAGTGAGCTCACTGTCTTGATCAAGTCTTAAAGGGGGGGAGAAGCCATCAACGTGCAGCGTGTTATCATCGTCGTTCTTATTTAACCATGTCTCAGTAAAAGCAAGAACAGAGGCAGTCCTGTTCTCATGCATGTGGTTAATGTTGGCCTGTAACTCGTCCGTTTTATTGCGGAGGGAGCGTACATTAGCCAGGATGATAGATGGAAGCGGCCGTTGTTTACATGTCTCCCGTTTGAGCCTGGCTCTGATTCCTCCCTTTCTCTTTCCCCTCCTGGTTACCTTGTTATTTCTGTGAGCGGAGTTGTCTTGGCTGACTGAGTTATCCCGGAGAATTTCTTCAGGAAGCATGTCTGTGTTGATGGCGTGATGAGTTTTAAATCCGAGCTGCAGCAGAATGTCTCTTGAGTTCACGACCCGCCAGGAACGTTGTTTCTGCTCGCAGTCACAAACTCCCAGAGGAGCCAAACGTGCAGAAATGTCCAAAAAATAATTCGGGTATCCATGCCTATGGTAAATAATTCCGCACTAACTATAACACTCACATACTTTTATTAGCAGCAGCAGCAGACGACCACCCTGGTTTCTGTTCATAGTTTCATGTAAACTGTTCTACCTTACCGTGGTGTCAGAGTTCTCTTGGAGTTCTGGCTCTGTTTATCCCGGGAAAATTGTCAGTACTGTCCTTAAGAGGTTAGTGTGTACCCACTGATATTACTTTATCACAATTGCTGTGAAATTTAAGTTATTAGGGGAGAGTGGACACTACAAAGGACGAACGAAATCTGATCCACGATCTATGACTTTACTTTCTTTGGACTTGTTTGCCTGGATGGCTGGTGTTGCGCTTTTTCCGGACTCAAAACAACCAAAACTTGAAGGACATTTTTTTTTTTTTTTTTTACTAATGTTGCTATGTTGTTGTATCTACCTGTACGCTCCAAATAAAGATACGATTTAAACAAAAAAAAACCTTAGCAACAAAAAAAGACATAGCTGCCTCCAATGCTTCCTCTAAATGAAAATAAAAATCACATTATTGTATCAAACTCACATGGTTTCCATTTCACCACATTTAGTTCCATCTCTGGTTTTCTTTGTTTCTTCTTCTAAAGCATGAGGACGAGAAGAGGAAGAAGAGAGACCCAATATTACAATCCTGGACATTTTGGACTGAACTGGACTCTCACATCTTTAACTTTTGTTTTTTTTAATAACGTTAAATGATTCATTAGCAGTAGAAGTTCAAGAACTATTTATGAGACAAAAGTAGAATCTATCTGCTCACCATGCCATTAAGTATTGTTAAATTTACGAGTTTTATTGAAATTTGAGATTACCATTGACTTCAACACATTGTGTCTTTACATGGTTAATATATATATTGAACCTGACTTCACTTCCTTCATAACAAGCTTTTAAAGGTTATAAAATAATAATCAGCTGGTGAATGCAGAAGTGAAACAAAGATCAAACAGTCTAAAACATGTTTATATTCTTGGTGATTTTTAAAATATGAAGACAGATTGGTACCTTTGAGTCGATGATGAAGACAGTCTCATGTTACGGCGGTCTGGGAGGACGTCAGAACCTTTTATAGCTTCTTGGTGTGGGCTGACCTCAAACAGCATGATATGTTTCTTCTTTACAGGCGTATGAAATTGGAATTTACCACAACAACTGCTCAGGTCTCATGACCCAACCCAACATTTAAACATGGTCACTGGTAACTTTCCCAGATTGCAAGACAACATAAAAAAATTGTTGAATCAACATTAATGTGTCGTTGACATTTGAATCTGATTGTTGGAGCTATTTAATTGGGCATAGAATTAGTTTTTGTATTTAGTTTACTAATATTTGGGTGGTGTTGTTTATTTAATTATTCTACACGTTTTATTTATTTAGAAAAGATTTTGGGTAACGTTTTCTTTCTTTTTTTGCTAGTTATTTGTTTAGTAAATTTAGTTTTGTATTAGTATTTTGTTAGGTATTTGGGTAATACTGTGGGCACCGGAGATTATTTAAATCAGAGGCAGGTGGTGGACCGGCATGCACCTGGGTGGGCATATTGTTTTAACAGGTCAAGAGAGGCAGCGGGAGCCACGATTTTCTTTGTTCTTTTGTTTGTTTTCATCAAATAAACCAGCAAAATACCGCAGCTCCTGCATGGACATTGGATTTCTTTTGCCTGCGTACATTACGTCCCCCATGGTGTATCAGTGGTCATTTGATTATTTTTATTTAGTTTTTTTTGTTGTTTTGGACAAATAGCCACTACACTGATGTTGGATCAGCGTCACTTTTGCTTCCTCCATTAATATTGAAACCACTTTGAAATCATAACTAAAAATCAACAACGATTCAACTGTTTTTCAACCACAGCAAACTCCTCTCACCGTAATTCTTCTAATATCTGCTTTATCTACAGCCAGGATAAATGTCATGAAATATAGCTCTATATTTAAAATCAGGTTTTAGGGTTAGGGAAGGGAAACTGAACCCGTCTCACGAAGGAGACAGGAGGTTCATGGTCCTGGTTGATCTCATTGCCCCGGTCCCAGTTGGGTTGGCAGGGACGTTGGCGTTTCCTGCCGTGACGGACCTCCGTCCAACCCTCATCAAAGTACACCATGTTTATGGCTTTTTCAATTTTGTGTTTGTGATGTCGCCTTTGTTATTTATTGCTAATGTTTTGGTGTTTTATTTATTAAGTGGATATGAAATACAAATAAATATTTATTAATGTGTTTTTAAATGAACTTTTTAAATGAAAAGGGCTTACAATGAAATTAAATAAAAGTGTTGCCACGGGCAACATTTCGACCCTTTGCGGGTCTTCTTCAGACCAAGGCACACTGAAGGTTAACGAAAGAAAAAAATAGCTGGCTGTGTATGCCATAGACTGTAAACTGATAAACTATGCTGGCTGTGCTTCATGATACTATAACTTAACTGTGCTCGAGATTCATATTAATGAACGATCAGATCTGTAGTCAAATTCAGCATATAGTTGCGCATCACCAACAATAACTTTACTTTATTTATTTACTACGGTCTGTTAAAGTAAAATAGAATATGTCCTGATGGTCTGCATTATATAACTTTACTTTACAGTCTGTTACAGTAAAATAAAATATGTCCTGATAGTCTGCATTATATAACTTTACTTTACGGTCTGTTACAGTAAAATAAAATATGTCCTGATAGTCTGCATTATATAACTTTACAGTCTATTAAAGTAAAATAGAATATGTTCTGATGGTCTGCATTATATAACTTTACTTTACGGTCTGTTACAGTAAAATAAAATATGTCCTGATGGTCTGCATTATATAACTTTACTTTACGGTCTGTTACAGTAAAATAGAATATGTCCTGATGGTCTGCATTATATAACTTTACTTTACAGTCTGTTACAGTAAAATAAAATATGTCCTGATAGTCTGCATTATATAACTTTACTTTACGGTCTGTTACAGTAAAATAAAATATGTCCTGATGGTCTGCATTATATAACTTTACGGTCTGTTACAGTAAAATAAAATATGTCCTGATAGTCTGCATTATATAACTTTACTTTACAGTCTGTTACAGTAAAATAAAATATGTCCTGATAGTCTGCATTATATAACTTTACTTTACAGTCTATTAAAGTAAAATAGAATATGTCCTGATGGTCTGCATTATATAACTTTACTTTACAGTCTATTAAAGTAAAATAAAATATGTCCTGATGGTCTGCATTATTAATAACATTAATAGTTGGTCAGTCTGCTCAGTGTGCACAGACTGTAAGAATAACAGGCTCGACTTTCTTCCGCTCCCCGTGATGCTGCTGCGGTGCTGAAATTTAACATTAATATTTGTTAGGCAGAATATTTCTTCATGTGTTCAGATAACACTAAAATTATTATCTGGTTCAATAATGTCTCTAACTGTTCAAAGAAAAGAAACAGAATGGACATGTTAACATGAGCAGCCGATGGTGAAATGTAATATGAACCAAACATGATTTGTATAAGGACTCAAAACGGGCTGATCATATTCTACTAAGACTTCAACAGGTTGACTTTAGTGTTCATTTACTTTAGTTTATATTTAAGACTTCAACAGGTTGACTTTAGTGTTCATTTACTTTAGTTTATATTTAAGACTTCAACAGGTTGACTTTAGTGTTCATTTACTTTAGTTTATATTTAAGACTTCAACAGGTTGACTTTAGTGTTCATTTACTTTAGTTTATATTTAAGACTTCAACAGGTTGACTTTAGTGTTAATTTACTTTAGTTAACATTCAAGACTTCAACAGGTTGACTTTAGTGTTCATTTACTTTAGTTTATATTTAAGACTTCAACAGGTTGACTTTAGTGTTCATTTACTTTAGTTAACATTCAAGACTTCAACAGGTTGACTTTAGTGTTCATTTACTTTAGTTAATATTTAAGACTTCAACAGGTTGACTTTAGTGTTCATTTACTTTAGTTAATATTTAAGACTTCAACAGGTTGACTTTAGTGTTCATTTACTTTAGTTAATATTTAAGACTTCAACAGGTTGACTTTAGTGTTCATTTACTTTAGTTAATATTTAAGACTTCAACAGGTTGACTTTAGTGTTCATTTACTTTAGTTTATATTTAAGACTTCAACAGGTTGACTTTAGTGTTCATTTACTTTAGTTTATATTTAAGACTTCAACACACTACCAGGAGTCAATTCAATAGTTTACAGTTGATTTGTTGTGACTTTGGTTCAGATTATTCAGAATTTGTTCAGAAATACTCTTCTTGCTTTGCTCCATGATTATGTGATTCATATGTTATTTCATAACTTTCCTGTTATTAACACTATTTCTGTTCAACAAGATTCATTTCCATTTAAAATGCTCTTTTGGTTATTTCATTATCATATTTGTCTGTTATAACTTTTTAGTTTTAGACTTAAATTTTAACCTCTCAAATAACAAAGCAGTCTCAAATCTTTTTGAGGAATTACAGCTAAAAAAAATTCTACTTTGCATACAGTACATCCTCTGATAAATAAAGTGAAGTACTTTGATTGTATTTCTGTGGTGTTCCTGTAGGTGACCATGATGTAGCCAGACTGAAGCAGCAGGTTGTGAAGGTGGACGCCATCATCTTGTCTTTGCAGTGCTGATTCTGAAGAGAACGCCTTCACATAGGACTCAAAGGTAAAATTATCTCTCATATGATTGGACCGTGTTATTGTAACCGCTATCAGCATCAAAATAATTTTAGTAACAATTTATAATCTTTCTTAAAATGTAAGGAAGACTAGCAGAAGATTTTAACAGCCTCTATGGTTCTGCAAGAAGTTCATGTTTAAATTGTTCTTCTTTCTGTCTTCAAGGAAATCAGTGCCCAAAGGAAACAACAGTCCAGATTCTGATTCCAGCTCCGGTGAGGTTCTGCACACAAATTGGCTGTCTGATTTGTTTAATGGGTAATTACCACACAACACCAAATCAGTATATTGAATTGATTTTTTTTTAGCTAAATACTGAAGCTACTTCTGCATATTTCTAGTGAAGCACAAGAATCCAACTGACTGCAGTTTCTGCTCACACTGCTGAAATCATGTCTCACTGTTTAAGTTTCACAGTTGTACTGTGAGTAGTTAGAAATAATAAATCAACAGGAGACACTGTGGTGCAGTGTGTGGTAAAATTATTACATTCATGTACGAATGAACACAATACTTTTCTGCAGGATTGTTCTCTCATTCCTTATCAGCAGTTGCAGTATCCTGTTTTACCAAATTAACTTCATCATCACACCTCATTATATTGGACCGCCTGCACTCGACGCTTTTGTGAATAAGAATGGTCAAAAGATGTTTCACATGCGCCCTTTCTGTGACGTGGTGAGAGCCTGAAGCAGAACGCCTGAGTTAACAGACAAAGTTCATAATCAGCTCATACTATCAGATATCTTTATCTGGAGCTTCTGGCTTTGCTGAACCAGCTTTCTTAAAGAAAGCCTGGATATGTTGAACTTGTTCCAGGTATACAACAACTGACCCAAATACTGATCAATAACTTAAACAACAGCCAAATACCGCCACCTAGTGTCTAAAGTGAGTTTTGTCTAAACTAAATGTGTTGATGTGTTTGCACTTAAGAAATAAAAGTTTACAAATAATATAATAAATAGGCTCACTGCAGATGTGAAGAGAGAGGACACTTGGCTTCCATGTATGAGACACACAAGTCCAAGATTCAATTCAATTCAATTCAATTCAATTCAATTCAATTTATTTTTGTATAGCGTCAACTCATAACAAGTGTTATCTCAAGACACTTTACAAAAAGCAGGTAGAATACCTTACTCTTTGTCTGTTAACATTACAAAAGAGCAGGTAAAAAGACCTTACTCATTGTTATGTTACAAAAAGCAGGTAAAAGACCTTACTTATTGCTATATTACAAAGATCCGGCCTATCCATCATGAGCACTTTAGCAAAGCAGCAAAAGTTACAGTGGTAAGAAAAAACTGCCTCATTAAAAGGCAGAAATCTTCAGCTGGATCCCCGGCTCATGACGAAACAGCCTTCACAGGCCTAGACTGCGCCGGGCTTGAAAAGGGATAGG